TCGTGAGAACAATCTGAGGATTAGATCATTACAAGAGGCAGAAGAAGGAAATTTAACTGAATTTTTGACCAAAGAATTCTCCAAGTTCTGGAATTTGGAAGAAAAGGACTTTAAAATTGTGTCAGCTTTCAGACTTGGAAGATTCATAAAGAAGGAGAGGCCCAGAGACTGTTTGATAACATTGAGATCAAAGGAGGAAAGGGATAAGATTTTGGGCCTACATTACGGAAAGTCACTGGAGGTTTTGGACAGAAGAATTGAAATATATAAAGATATTCCAAGACAACTGCTGGATCTTAGAGCCGCCTATTCTGAACTTGCTAAACTACTAAGGAGCAACGCAATTCCATTCAGGTGGGAATTTCCCCAGGAATATCTTTTACTTTTAGAGGGAGAAAGGTCAAAGTTAGAACATTGGAAGAGAGAGACAAATTTTTGACTACATACGGAGAGGACCTTCAAAAAGGAATTGAATTACCTTCTGGGCCTGGGGCAACGCCAGCATTAACACCAGCACCTGGGGAACCTGAAGACTCAGAGAAGATACCACCCCTAGAGAAATAACCAGATTGATCCAGGATGTCTCTGCAATTGCTGAGCTGGAATATTAATGGTTGTAACATTCCGGAAAAAAGGAAGAAAATATTTCACATATTAAAAAAAGAACAATTGGACATTATCTGTTTACAAGAAACACATGTGACGAGGCTCCATAGAAAAGTGTTAATAAATAAAAGATTGGGCCAGGAATTTGTATCGTCGGACAAAGTTAAGAAGAGAGGCGTGGTGATATATGCCAAAGAGAGCCTGTCACCTAAATTCTTATTTAAAGATGAACATGGAAGAATCTTGGCTATTGAGATACAACATCAAGGAGAGAAACTGTTGATATTAGGAATCTATGCACCTAATGAAGGGAAATCGGAATTTTACAAGAAGCTGCACGAGACAATGCTGGACTATCTGGATTACAACAACATCGTAATGATGGGAGATATGAATGGGGTCGTATCAACTAACATGGACAAGTCACAAAGTCAAAATGTCACAAAAGACGGCAGACTACCTAAAACTTTTTTTGAAATGACTGACAATATGGATTTGATTGATATTTGGAGGACAAAGAACCCACTAGGAAGAGAAGGAACATTCTTTTCTGAAGCCCAACTGACCTGGACAAGAATCGACCAAATATGGATTTCTAGAGGCCTGGCACCTAAGGTCAGAAAAGTGGAAATCTGCCCAAAGACCTGTTCCGACCATAATGCAGTAAAGATGGATATGATACTACTACCAACTGGATCCTTTAGATGGAAGATGAATGACAATTTGTTTAGAGACCAGGAAATTACCAAGAAGGCCCAAAAGTCTTGAAGGATTACTTTGAGATAAATATGAACACTACGGTGGAAAAAGAATCGTCTGGGACGCAAGTAAAGCTGTAATGAGGGGATTCTTGATACAACAGAATGCAGTAAAGAAAAGAACACAAAATGAGAAAAAAAGATAAGATTTTGGATAAAATAAAAGAATTAGAGAAGAAATTAAGAGTGAATCCGAAGTCACAGCCAACTCTGAGAGAAATTAAACTTTATCAAACACAATACTCTAAATTGATAAATCAGGAAATTGAATGGAAGGTTAAATTAATGAAACAAAAACGTTTGAGTCGGCGAATAAATGTGGAAAACTGCTAGCTTGGCAGTTGAAGAGAAGACAAAGATTAAATACGGTTACAAACTTAGAGGTTGATGGAAAAATCATTCAGAATCCAGTGGATATTAGAAAGTGTTTCCAGAGATATTTCAAAAAACTATACACCCAAGGGCCGCAAGACGAAGTTGAGATTAAACAATTTTTGGCAAAAAATGGACTATCTAAATTGTCACAAGAGAATAGGACAATCCTGAACTCTAAAATAACACGACAGGAGATTGAACAAGCTATCCAGAACATGCAACTTGGCAAATCTCCAGGGCCAGATGGGCTGACCTCCAAGTACTATAAGACATTAAAAGACTATTTGATACAACCTTTGATGGAGGTCAGCAATGAAATTATGGAGGGGAAGAGGGCACCGGAGTCGTGGAAGGAAGCGTTTATCACATTAATACCAAAGTCGGAAGCTGAAAAGACACAACTTAAGAACTACCGCCCCATCTCCCTTTTAAATGTGGATTACAAAATATTTGCAGACATTTTGGCAAGTAGATTTAAAAAAGTTTTAAATGAAGTAATTCATAAGGACCAGGCCGGCTTTCTCCCAGGTAGACATCTGTTTGCAAATACAAGGAACATTATTGACATCTTGGAACTTTTGCAAACAGATATAAATACAAAAGCAGTTTTAATTTTTATAGATGCGGAGAAGGCCTTTGACAATATCTCCTGGAAATTTATGATGGGAAACTTAAAAGAGATGGGAGTGGGACGGGGTTTTGAGAATGGGATTGAGGCGATATATTCAGAACAGAAAGCTAAATTGATAGTTAATAATGTGGTTACAGAAGAGTTCAAAATTGAAAAAGGGACACGACAAGGTTGCCCTATCTCCCTTTGTTATTCATTTCGGTTCTGGAAGTGCTATTGAACATAATTAGAGGGGATCGGTTGGTGGAAGGAATTCAGGTCGGTCAGAAACAATATAAATTAAAAGCCTTTGCAGATGACCTGGTTTTGACCCTGCAGAAGCCAGAGCCCAGTACGAAAAGAGTATTACAACTGATTAATGACTTTGGTCGGGTGGCTGGATTTAAATTAAATAAACAGAAAACCAAGGTTTTGGGGAAAAATTTGACAGATACAGAGTCAGAACGGTTTCAGAATGAGACGGAACTTAATGTGGTTAAAAAGTAAAATACCTAGGGGTAAATATAACAGCAAAAATCTAAGTCTATTTAAGGACAACTATGAAAAATGCTGGACAGAAATTAAGAGAGACTTAGATAGTTGGTCAAAATTGAAACTTTCTTTGTTAGGCCGAATTGCTGCTATTAAGATGAATGTATTGCCAAGGATGTTGTTTTTATTTCAAACACTTCAGGTTTTGGACAAAACGGAGTGCTTTCAGAAGTGGCAGAGAGATATTTCTAAGTTTGTCTGGCAGGGCAAAAAGCCCAGAATTAAGTTTAAGATATTAACTGATGCAAAACAAAGAGGGGGCTTTGCCCTGCCAGACTTAAAGTTGTATTATGAAGCCGCAGCGTTCTGCTGGCTAAAAGATTGGCTACTCCTTGAAGACACTGATGTGTTGGACCTGGAAGGGTTTAATAATGTTTTTGGATGGCATGCATATTTATGGTATGACAAGGTTAAAGCAAATAAGGCCTTTAAGAACCATATTGTCAGAAAATCACTGTTTAATGTCTGGACAAAATATAAAGACTTGCTGGAAAATAAAACTCCCAGGTGGCTTTCACCACTAGAAGCTAAGGCCCGAAAAAGACCCAATATGGAGGCTAAATGGCCAAAATACTGGGAAATACTAGAAAAGGATGGAGACAATTGGAAATTGCAGAGTTTGGAGAAAATGAAAGACAAAGTGCGAGATTGGTTACATTACGCTCAGATTAAAGAAGTTTTTAAAAATGATAAGAAATTAGGGTTCCAGGTGGAGAAATCGAAACTAGAAACAGAATTGTTAGAACCAAAGATTAAGGTACTATCAAGGATGTATAACTTGCTGTTAGAATGGAATACACAAGATGAAACGGTTAAATCGGCTATGATAAGGTGGGCACAGGACATTGGGTATAATATTATGTTTGAGGACTGGGAAAGGTTGTGGAGTAATGGATTGAAATTTACTGCATGTAACGCTTTGAAAGAGAATGTAATGAAAATGATTTATAGATGGTATATGACCCCAGTCAAACTTGCAAAAATTTACCACCTGTCTGACAATAAGTGTTGGAAATGCAAAGAGTGTGAGGGAACGTTTTTCCACCTCTGGTGGACTTGCCCTAAAGTGAAGGCGTTCTGGGAAATGATTTATAATGAATTGAAAAAGGTATTTAAATATACCTTCACTAAGAAACCAGAGGCTTTCCTTTTGGGTATTGTCGGCCAAGGGGTGGCAAAGAGGGACCAGACATTTTTATGTATGCAACAACAGCAGCAAGGATACTTCTCGCAAAATACTGGAAAACTCAAGATCTACCCACACTGGAAGAATGGCAGATGCAACTGATAGACTACATGGAACTGGCTGAAATGACCGGCAGAATTCGTGACCTGGGAGAAGAGAGGATAGAGGAGGATTGGAAGAAATTTAAGAATTATCTACAAAAACATTGTAATTTGAGTGAATGCTAAATAAGATGCTAGACTAAAACAACTGAGCACCACTAAATTTAGAATTTTTTCAAGAAAACAAGTAAGATTGTGAAAATTTAACTCCTTTCGAGAATTATAAGATTATGAAATATAGAAGGGATATAAGAATTTAAATAAGATGATAAATTGCTGATAAAATGTTATAACGATGAAAGTGGGAGCGGGAGATGTGAGGAAGTCCAAAGAAAATGTGAAACTATGTTAAGACAAATGTTATATTGTTTATCATGTTTATTTCTATTGTAAAACCCAATAAATTGCTTTAAAAAAAAAAATAAATGGTAATATTAAAGCACTGAACAGACCCAGATCTATTTAGCTTCAGCAAGGTTCCTGTATTGTGTGCTTTCAGCCTATGCCCTGAGGCTAGAATGATAGCACCAGAAACATCAAATGGAACCTCCCAAATACTCCCAGACTAAATTGTTGACTAACCTGCCTTTCCCGCCTCTTACTGTAGTCGCTTAAATTAAGGTTGTAGTCCACTAAAAAGGGGTCGCAGGTGAGAATATTTGTTTGCAGGAAGCAGACCAAGTGTTCTCAGACAGTGGCGGCCTGCCAACAGTTCCTAATTTTTAAGTATTCCTTTTCATGCTGCTGCTGGCCTGAGCAATGCCACTTGGGACCAGTGGCGTAGCGTGGGGGTGCAGGGGGGGCCGGCTGCACCGGGCGCAACATCTGGGGGTTAGGGTTAGGGGGCGCAAATCCACAGGTTAGGGGGCGCAAATCCACAGGTTAGGGGGCGCAAATTACTTGCCTTGCCCCGGGTGCTGACAACCCACGCTACGCCACTGCTTGGGACTGGCCAGCTTCGAGGCAGTATGAAATACCCAGTTCAGTTTTGGCTTCACTGCTTCCTCAGAAGTGCTAGAGCCCAGGCAATGGTTACAGCAGCCAGACATCACGCTCAATTTTGTCTACTTAGCCCAAGCATAAAACAAGTTATTGAAGATCACGTGCCACTTCGGAACTAGATCTGCCTTCCCAGCATTGTGGCAGATTCTTGGACTATTGATGCTTTAGAAGAACAAAATGTGAACAATGAAGTAACTTTCAAAGCTGGTGTTTCACCCAACCTATTTATTGTTCAAATTTTCTGTTGCCTTATTGAATGGCCGCAGCCAATTACCAGAAAAGGAGCAATATTGGTCCTTGTAGAAGTATAAAAGCAATGGCTATTTTCTCCTCTTTTGCACCCTGATTTTTTCATTCTAGGTCTGTTGTTGTCTACTAGTTGGCTTTATTAAGAAAAAAAATCATTGTCGAGAGAGTACTGTCAGCAGAACCCAAGCTTGAGCTCTGCTTACGAAAGGACCAATCAGCAGAACTAGCTGAAGCCTTTTATGGCTATAGTTCAACTGTAAGGCAATGCTGATACATCATATCAGACAACAGTGAAATAACATGGCACATTCTCATTACAGCAAAATCTACTAAGTTTCACTTTCAAAACAAAACATTAATCTCACTGGTGGCTCCCATTCCTGAATGAGAAGGACATTTAAAAATAAAATAAAATACAGGAACTCCAATATGTTCCTCAATATTACCCTGTCCTCCTTAGTGCAGTGCCCTAGATCTCAGTTTGGGATCATTTCCAGATAGGTGTAGAATTCATTTTGCAGTATTTCTTGAAAATGCCATTTCAAGAAGTCTCAGCATGGGAAGAAAGAGCAAATGGTGAGAGCCCCTTGAACCTGTGGCAACTTTCCCTGTCAAATCTAGGATGCAGAGCAGTACAAGTGAGAAGTCAGTCTTATCGGGGAGGGAATATATATCATACAAGAAAGCAGCTCCCATAATACTGTGGGTTCAGAGATGACTGAGGATAAAAATATGGAGACACCATCTTTGCTGGGAGATCAGAAGATGAGCTTGGCAAAATAAATCTTCTCCATGTTTCATTTCCTTGTCAGCTGAGCTTCCCCTTTCCAAGGGGTTGACTGGATGAGAGCAACTGGTTGGAACTAGCTTCTGCACAAGATCTCTATTCACATGATGAAACAGACAAGAGTCTGAATATTGTCAGGTGAGAACACACATCTTGGAAGCCTGTGTGACTCAGCAGTATCACTGTTTCTGTTTTCCAAGTCCATTAACACAACTCTTCTACAACAGCATCACACCACGAGGGACATCCTTGTTGGGAACTCATTCTGAGGGGGAAAAGAGAGGCAAACACTGTGAAACACTAAATCACATCTCTCATAACATGAAGAGAAAAATGTATCCTCAGCAGGGAACAAAAACTGGGTGCTTGGCTTCTGCTTTCAGAAGCTTTAAGGTAGCATCTTACAGTGGGGCTTCCCTACATGCTAACTAGCTTCATGGTGGCATTTATCAAATCTATCTTTTACCACCTGCCCACCAATATCACAGCCTCAATATGAAGGGGCCAATTCGTACCTTCTGAAAGCCTGCTGGAAGACCCCGTGTTTTCATTCCTGGTTCAAACCATGTCCAGGTAATTGTTCATTTAAGTGCTTCATCATGAGCTCAGGGTGCAGTTTCTCAAGGCTCCACACAACCTTTTTGTGGCATTGTCTATATTCAAAATTAACTGCTCATCCAGATTTCCTTTTGTGCTGTAATTTCCATGCACAGGTTCACACTTTAAAGCTCTGTGTCCGAGTGGTGTTTTTTTTTGGGGGGGGGTCCCAGTGCTTTCCCTGGGAAAATCCACATTTACCACTGAATTGACACAAACAGCAATCTGCGAAAAACCTGGTTGCCATTTGCTTCAATTCAGTTGTAAAACACGAATTGTTCTGGGGAAAGGACTGGGTCAAAAGAAAAACCACTCGGACCTGGACCTGGAAAGCCAGGACCTGTACCCAGAAACGTGGCGCAAAAGGGAGTCTGGATGAATCTAGATAAAAACCAGAAATCTCACCACAAGTACAAGGGTCAGAGCGGCTCCTTGTAAGCTGCCAGATGGCACTTGGACCTTCCTTTCTCCATCACCCAAGCCAACATAATTGCACTAACTGATCTTCCTCAGATCAGTAATTCTCTAGTTATACATGTGTTCTCTCAGTACTTCTTTATGGCCAGAGCTGCCATGAATGTGCTTCCTTTAACTGAGTGATCAGTGGGCAATTTTCTGACCGGTCAATCACAAACTGCACCAGGCAGCCTTCTAAATTAATTTGGCACATCAGTGGATTATCAGCTAGTGCAAATACACTTTTAACTACTCAACAAGTTATAAGCAACAAGTTATTAAGAATGAAATATATAGGTTTTCAACTTTCCCATCCAAACACCAGTAGACAGATAGTTAACTGTTCCAACTGCTCAAAAAATAAGGTGAACAGATGCCACTTCCAAATGTTGTCTAGACTCTGAACTTTGGAAACTTTTAAAATAATTGCCTTTCTACTCAGGTCACTAGGATCAAATCAAGCAACTATTGCTTTCACCCATCATCAGTGACCCAGAATTCATTTACGATTTACTAAAATTAGATTATTTTGCTTCCTTTCTTATTATCAACCCCTAACCTGCCACCTTCTGCTCAAGATATTCCTCTTTGTACTCCTCAGTTCTCTGAATCAAGGCAGATTTTTTTATAATGCATTTTGTACTCAGATTCCAAGGCCTAAGACTGAAACATGAAAGTGGCCACGATTTTCAGGCTCCCCCTGCAACAGCTGTGCAAGCAGGGCTGAGATCTTTCCCCAGTTGCAACTTGAGTAACAGAACCAGAGTACAAAAACATTGACTACGAAGCGGCCCTAAGTTGTTGCCCCATCAGCCCAGAACCTAGCCACCCTGCCTGGTGATTCTTGCTCAGCCCATTTGGATCAGGAGTGTCAGACATGGCCTCACTGTTTTCTTGGGTTCTTTCTTCCTTTTCTTATCTGAGTTATTCAGGCTTGGTTGTTCTCTGCTTCTGTATGAAGGGCCTCGGCTCAACTCCCGTTCGCTGTATGGCGGCAGAGTGTCTTCCCCTTCCTCTTGCTGTGGAGGTTGTTGTTGCTGCTGCTGCTGCTGCTGCTGCCCTGGTTTGTAAGTGGATGGTGGTGACCAAGCATAGTATGTCCCTCCTCTCTGGCTGGATTGCGAGCTAAACTTTGAAGGTGTCCCGCCATGATCACCACCTTCATCATAGCTTCGTGATTTCCTCTCAAGGGCACTGGTAAGGTAGGAGTGGTCGTACTTCTGACTCCCTCCCGGTGTCCGACACACTAGCCTAGGCAAGTGTTTCTCTTCGTGGGCACGTCTCCTGGGTGGGCTATACGTCCAGCCCCGATCCGAATCTGTCAACGGCTCACGGTTTCCTGCCCTGTGCTTGCCATAATACTCATCGGATGAGTTTTCTGGGTGTTGCACTGCACCTCCACGTGCTCCTCTGGATCCTGTCCGCTCAAAGCGCCGGGGCTCCTGAGGGCCTTCTGTCCGACAGACGTGCTGACTGTAGGACTCGGCGAAGGCTGCAAGTTCATCCATGGAGACAGCCGGCACTCCCATGGAAAAACTCTTCCTTGAGAGCATTTCTGACTTGCATCTCTGCTGGCTGAAAGAGACGGGAAATGGTTCGTCTTTTTTGTTTCAAATCAGTAAGCCAGTCTTGTAACTGGACTTGCCTGCTCGCCTAGGGTGAGCAAGCAATAAACCCCAAGCAAAGCACCTGAATGACATATGCCAGCAGCCTAATATCCTTCTGCCTAGCAAAGGACACACACACACACACACACACACACACACACATATGTATATATATAGAATTGCTATCCCATCCTTTCTCCCAAAGGAGCTTAGGAGAACAAATAATGGAGTAGCAAAAAGAATACAATGAAAATAAAGTAAAACCTATTTAAAACATTTAAGAACAATGAAGAATATTTTAAAGCATGTAAAAACAGTCATATAACCTCACAACAACTAATAATTCCAAGGTTGTTGCGAATAGGATCTTTCACCTGTCAGGTGTTTGGGTGAACAGGCATTTTCAAAAATTCCTCTTCAATGTTTATAATGAGGGAGTGGGGAAAGAGAGAGAAACCTCACCAGGGAGGGCCTTCCCTGGTTTGTTTTAATTCATGCTGGGAGAAAATTGGGATAGATAGAAAGAAAAATAAATAAATAAATAAATAAAGGAATTTCCACAAATGGGAAACCACTACTAAGAAGGCCCTGCTGTGGGTCAGCACCAACAAGGCAACATCCAGCAGCGACAGCATCAACCAGGGCTCCCCGCTGATTGAAGGACATTTTCAATTACCTTTTATATTAATCTCTTCTCTGGACGTAAACACACCAGGGTCCTCCAACCTTTATTCACAGGAATTTTTCTCAAAGCCCCTCACCATCTTGGTCACTTTTGACTCTTACTCTCTTCATTGTCATTCAAGCACCTACCCCTGCCCCCTCCTAAAAAATTTGGACCGCAATAATTAGAAAGAAAAAGGAGGGAAATCAGGAAAGCAAAAGGCATTCTCCCTCCCTTCCTTTTCTCCCCTTCTCCCAGGAGCTGCACTCACCTGAGCCTCAGGCTGCCCCTCTCTGCCCTGTAATCAGAGCATGTCTGTGGCCTAGATGTGCCACCTCCACTGATGACTCCTGCCCAGTATTCTGCATCACCATCCATGTCTCCTGAAGGGGGAAGCGGCTTCCTGCGCACCTGGCGGTAAGATTGGCGGAAGTTGGCATCTTCCTCATGCAAGGAGCTGAGCTCTGAGATGGTGTTATTGTCTGGGATGAAAGAAGGCACAGAAATGCTGGAAACCATGGAGATGATAAAAATAACTCAGAAGACATTGGGGAAAATAGCAATCTAACACTCATGGATTGTTGGAGAGCCTTCACATACCGGAACAGAATTAATTCCTCAAGAAACACTAGATGTTGTATAGAATATCTAAATATTGTATAACAGATCCATCCTTTCTGGATGGATGATTACCTGTAGAATTTTTTCTTTTATGAAAGTAAACATTGTGTGAATGGGTGAGAGAGAACTATAAAAATGGTGAGGGGGCTATTGGGTCGTTGGTTTTATTTTTATTATGTATTTGTGTGGTTTTATATTTTGATTTTATTCTGTAAACCGCCCTGAGACCCCCAGGTATAGGCCTGTATATAAATTCAATAAATAAAATAATAATAATAATAATAATAATAATAATAATAATGGTGGTGGAGTAAGACTTGTCCCTGTTAAACCAACCTTATCAGAAATGTGGATTTAGTTATCAAAAGCAATGCTAAAACTGTTTTTCCTTTACTCTTTTTTAATTAAAAAATATAAACCAATAAAAAAAATCAAAGCAGTGCACATACAATAATTATCAATGCTACACAGATAAAATCTGCAATTTTAAAAAATTAGGATACATGACTAAATTATATTTCATTTCTGGGTAGGTTTGCTGAAATAAAGGCACTAAAAACAGTATAGTGAGGGCATCTGCCTAATAGGCGGGCAGTTCCAAAGCATAAGTGCTGCCACAGAACAAGACTACAGAACAAACATTAAATGGCACTTGTAAAAGCACCAATTCAGGAAAACATGAGAAAAAAGTGGATCCAAAGAAGGCAAAAAGGGAAAGGGAAAGGGAAAGGACCCCTGGATGGTTAAGTCCAGTCAAAGGCGACTATGGGGTTATGGAGCAAATCTCGCTTTTCAGGCCAAGGGAGCCAGTGTTTGTGTACAGACCAGCATGACTAAACTGCTACTGGCACATGGAGGACCGTGACACGAGCAACGCCGTTTACCTTCCCGCCGCAGCAGTACCTATTTATCTACTCGCACTGGCGTGCTTTCGAACTGCTAGATTGGCAGAAGCTGGTATAGAGCAATGGGAGCTCACCCCGTCACACGGATTCGAACTGCCGACCTTCCAATCAGCAAGCCCAAGAGGCTCAGTGGCTTAGACCACAGCGCCACCTGCTCCCTTACAGATCCAAAGAACCACAAGGCTACCTGTATGTGTCAGTGAGAGATACAGTACTGTCTCTCACCATCAACAGTCTTTCATGTAAGAAAGTAAGAAGGTCTTGGAAAAGCATTTCTAACTTGGCGTGAGGGTCTGCTGCTCAAAAGGAAAAACGTACAGGGAATCAACAGGACATGTTCCAGCCCCTGAGTGCAGCCAAGTAGTTTTTTTGGATTCTTAAAGCAAAACCAATGTAAACATTGTATTGCTCATAAAGATTTCCATATGCATTTTTTCACAGGTACTCCTCCATAGCAATAAAACATAGGAGAAGCACCCTACTGTGTGTCAGAATTATATGCATTCTGTCTCACTCTTTCTGGAGTGGGAGATAGACCGGCTCTGTGTGATTCACCAAACTTAGCTTTTTAAAATGACACGCTCTTTCCCTCCCATCACCCCCATTGCCTAACCCACTGCACATAGTGACATCTGGATCCTAGGCATCCCAATCTGGAGGAAACCTTTTTATAGTATTTCTTGTGGGTGGAAATGGCAGCATGTTCAGTGATGACTGCTTGAGTACACCATGTAATTTTTTAGTTTTTTTCCCTCAAAGCTGTGATTAAAGTCATTCCTTGAGTCTGTCAAGTGATTGAGGCAGCTTGTGTATCTCTGACAGCCAGGACCAAGTGGCACTAATGGGCTGAATCTATTGAATGTGTATGCTAAAAATAGAGGGCAGCATTTTTATCGGTTGGTTTAAAAAAAACAAAACTGTATTAGACGTATCTGAATGGACTTGATGAGTCAGTGACTTGGACCACCTCAGTGTGTAGCAATTTATTTCCTGCCGTCTTTTGCTAGAAATGATGGATGTGTACAGACATACATAATGTGGGGGTGAGCCCTATGTGGAAATGCACTCACTGTGTTTTTCTCTCCCGGACTGAACTCAGAAGAAACCATTTCTGTGTCTTTACAGCAGAAGGCAATTGTTCACCCTGCTGGTTGGTGGAAACTGATGGCAATTACTAACTCACATTCCACCCCTTTCCTGAAGCACTTTTTTCCAATATTTTAAAAACTGTTTCCAACTTTTAAAAAAATGGCAGGGAGGGAGATGAATGTGCATGTGGTGCAATTACGAAAGGTGGATGCCTTGTTGAAGAAACATGTTACTTTGCATCCTGTTAGTAGCCCAGTCTTCTACATTAACATTCCATTCTATTTTGAATGAAACATTGTTGGGTTTTACTAGAAATAGCTGAACAAGTTCCATCTCTTACATCTCTCTCGCATCCTCCTCGATGGGTCAAACTGAGCCAATTCTTTCTCAACATAGTACAGCACCTTCATAGAATCTCTCTCTTTGTCAGCCTGGATTCGGTAGCCTTTCCGCACTATTGGAGAAGTAGTAAATAACTGGTCAGTATGAATTCTTTCCAAAAAATAACTTTCAAGTCCTAAGAATCAAATCAGGATGCCTAACTAGTTCCTGATTGCAGGGGAGAACAGAATCTTATGTGTTCGTTAACTCAAAAGCCATAGGGAAATTCACGAACAATTACACACTTCCAAACCCTGAAGATTTTAGTGGAAAAGTCAACACATTCTTCTCTGGCACTGAAATAAGTGGACCTTTAAAATATGGAACTATAAAGTGTGGGGTCATGCCTAATTTGAATAACAGCAGGGAATACCAGTTTCCTCAAACATTGTGTTTATTGCGTCTTCCCAACAAGACTGTCTATGACGTGGTGCTTCTTCCAATATGAATGTCTCTTTATTATTACGATAAAACTTTATTCATCTTATCCATTTATGAAAGTGACTTTTTAACTGCTAGTGACCTTGATGGAAATTAGAGTGGCATTATACAGTCATCATCTCTTGTAGACCCAGAGGTTATTTTGGCCTTTGGATATCTATTTGGGTAGCTTGCATAATTTCTGTAATTGACAGGGAAATTAGTCATCCCTCCCCCCCCCAATTGCAGCTGTGTAGTAGGAAAAATTTATACCCTATTTTGTGGAATGTAGATATTAATATCAGAGTGAGTTTAGATCTGTTGACTGATCCCAAACAATTAAGGAAGACACTCCTAAAATAAAAAATGATCTTAATGGGACTTACTCCCAAGTAAGTGCAACATATTTGCAACCTTAAAGAAATGTCTAGTGTGGTCAGTAAAGTTCTTGTGAGTCATTCAGTCAGGATTTGATTCCATTAGCTATTCCATATAAATCAGAGATGATTATAGTAACCCATGCAACAGTATTTATAACAATTGCCCATGCCTGGTACCTGAGAAGTGAGAGGGTGGGAAGGATTTAAGGTAAAGGTAAAGGTACCCCTGCCCGTACGGGCCAGTCGTGTCCGACTCTAGGGTTGTGCGCCCATCTCACTTAAGAGGCCGGGGGCCAGCGCTGTCCGGAGACACTTCCGGGTCACGTGGCCAGTGTGACGAAGCTGCTCTGGCGAGCCAGCACCAGCGCAGCACACGGAAACGCCGTTTACCTTCCCGCTATAAAGCGGTACCTATTTATCTACTTGCACTTAGGGGTGCTTTCGAACTGCTAGGTGGGCAGGAGCTGGGACCGAAAGACGGGAGCTCACCCCGCCGCGGGGATTCGAACCGCTGACCATGCGATCGGCAAGCCCTAGGCGCTGAGGTTTTACCCACAGCACCACCCGCGTCCCAGGGAAGGATTTAGCCGTGCTTTATAATGTATGCAACCAATTTAAAGTACCGTATTTTTCCCCTTATAGGACGCACTTTTTCCCCTCCAAAAATGAAGGGGAAATCTGTGTGCGTCCTATGGGGTGAATGCAGGCTTTCGCTGAAGCTTGGAGAGCGAGAGGGGTTGGTGCGCACTGACCCCTCTTGCTCTCCAGGCTTCAGGAAGCTATCAGCAAGCCTGGGGAGCCCGCGGGAGTTCCTGCAGGGCTCCCTAGGCTGCGGATAGCAGCCTGCTGCCCGGAGCGCACTGAAGCAGAGCGCCCCGCGCTTCGGGCAGATATCCGCAAGCCTGGGGAGCCTGCAGGAGTTCCCACAGGGCTCCCTAGGCTGCGGATAGCAGCCTGCTGCCCGGAGCGTGGGGCACGCTGAAGCCGCGGCTGGGGGGGGAATAACTTTTTTTCCCCTTTATTTCCCCCCAAAAAAACTAGGTGCGTCCTATGGGCTGGTGCGTCCTATAGGGCGAAAAATACGGTAGTTTCAGAGAAGCAGACCCAACACCATGTCCGATACCAATGAAATGAAAAATGCAGTGGGTTGTTGGTTTGTTTTTCAAAGTATGTGTTGATTGAGCATCCTAGTTCAGTACAGCCATTTCTGTGCAGTGACATTTAAATCACACACACAACATGTTGGGTTGGTTATGATACTTTTCAGTTCAATATAATTCTGCTTTTGGTCAAATACTGATTTATCACTCCTGAATCTGCTCCAGATCTTTTTGTTAATAATGAAAGAATGTTTTAACAGTTCCCCTTAACTCATCCATTCTTATTTTCAGTGGAGGAGAGCAGAAATGCACAGATTATTTAAACCCTTTTTTCCAATGACTTTTCCAATGATCCCTCAAAAGGTCAGTACACTAGTACAAGGGCACAGGAGCTTTATTGCCAGCATTTGGTCATCAATTGCTTTTCCAGGAATGTCATCTTAGTGCAGTGCTGCTATTACCAATTAGATTCTTCCTTCCGAAATGCCACATGTCGTTTCAAGAGCTAGTAGTACAAGCATTTGATCCTAACGTATTGCACAGGACTGTTGATAAAGAACACCTGCCATTTTCTTTGGCTGCCTATCACTGATAAGCAAAAAGGCATGTAGCGCTATCCTAAGCACATTCCACTACGTTCAGCAGAACTTGCTGCTGACTAATGTCCATAGGATTGCACAAAGTTTTTCTCTGTCTCTTAATCACAGATCAGTACTGATTCAAGGCATGTGTGACATAACCAAAAGCACATGGAAATATGCACTGGGCATGCTGCCACCACACTGAACACTTGAAATGGGGCATGGCTTTCTTCTAAAAAGTTCCAGGCAAAATATGTGGTGGAAAAATATATATAATACCATAAGTTTTTGCTCATGAGTGGTAGACATGAAGCAGAGGTGCAAAAAGGATTTGTGTTTTTACTTTGCATGATTATGCAAACTCGCACATTTCTTAATTTTGATATACAACTGTCTATCAAAAAACATACAAAGAAGTTTGTACCTTATTTTTCAGGAAAAGTCACCCTTTCCTAATCTCGAAACATTCCTAGTTAGAATGAGGATATCCCTTGGTTTTGTTAATTTAATTCCATGTGAATACACTTGTATACATTTTCCTCCCATTCTGCTTCATTTGAGGGCCCTGCTGATATATTCTGACAAAGACCCAGAAAGCATCCAGATTACCACTTTGTCCTCCTGCGCTGGATTCACTTGCTGCCAAGGGAGGAAGGTGTGACTTCTCCATCAGGACAGCATGAGATGGGACTCCAGCCGCAGAGTGGACAGAGGGAATATAATAAGGCCCAGGGATTGATGTAACAGTTGAAGGGTATCCAGCCTTCGCAGCCTTTCCTGCTTCATACACTGGGGGAAAAAAGGTAATAATTAAAAATGAAGCATTCACCCTGTAGTGCTTCCCATTTAACAGTTAGTAACTGCTTTTGATTTTAGCAACAGAAATTGCAACAGCCAATTGATTCGACCAAGATCTTTTAAATGAGATGATACTGAACCCATTTTAAACAAACAAGCTCAGCAAGTGTCATCAGAAATGTTTTCTGTTTCAGAGATACTACGGTCTATATATCTTCAGCAGCAAAATCAGGTTCAGGTCATAACAAGACTTTCTATCAAGTATATTTCTGCAAAATAATCAGAGGATTTGTTTATTTAAAAAGGGGGTTAATTAAAAATAATTAAACCACCGAGCAAACAAATGCAGAACCTAAATGAAATTTGAGGGAAATTACCCAGAAGCCTAATTAGCAAAGAGCATTCACCATGTAAATAGATTCTGTTTAATTTATCTTATAGCGTCATAGCAGTTCACCTTTAATACTACTGGAAGCCTCAAGCATGTATTAAAAGCCTGCAACTAGTTGGCCAAAGATTCCAACTTATATCAGAATGGGATTTGGCTTCTCACAGCAGACACAGGTGTGCACTGAGCATTCATGTGACTGATATTTCTTTCCACACAGTCACCCTGATCCAGCAAGATCTGTGTGTGGAAGAAAGCTTCTGTGCATGCCACCAGATGGATTTAAGATGCACACCTGGCTGCTCATTTACATCTGCATTGCTATGGACATCCAGTCACCATTCAGCTGACTGGTCCATCTTTAGATTTATTTAACATATGATCATTTGGCTTCTGCTGTTGACTGAAGTCACTCACAAACATCAAGGAGACATCAAAATTCATCAGTAATTATGCAGTCACGTTTAAAAAAAACCACCAACCCACCTTTTCAAAGTTAACAGTAAAAACAATGGGTTGATTCCATTGCTGGCTTTTGAAAATCCCCCTATCTACTGTATCTCTCCACATTATTTTCCTTCTGTTCAGAGGGTTCACCAACCCTCATGAGGTGTTTCCCAGAAGGAAAAAGCAGCTGCAGTAGAAGGTAAGACCAAAATTGAGTGCCCCAGTTTGCACAGGTGTATTTGCTTACTACTGATGGAAAGCCACCATTGGATGCAAGAGACCCAAGGAAGCTGCCTTATACCGAGTTGGATCATTGGTCCATCTAGTTCAGTATTGTCTACACTAACTGACAGCAGCTCTATAGGATTTAAGAAAGGGTTCTTTCCCAGGTGTGCCAGTTTGAACCTGGGACATTTTGCATGAAAAGCAGGTGCTCTACTATAGAGCCCAACCCTATACAGATATATACTCCTCTCATCCAAACCAGTGAAAGCCTGAACAAATAGATAGGCCTTCATGGATTTTTCAAAAGGCTAGCAGGAAGGAATACTGATAATCCTCTTTCCAAGGGGCTGTTCAAAGGGTGTTTTAAAGCCTCATAAGAACTAGCTGCTCAACTCCACCCAGAGCCCACAAGTTGAACATAGCTGCGGCTGGATTAGAGCCAATCTATTTTGCAGTCACCCCATGGATGATTGACATCCATATGAAACTCTGCTCTGTGAAAGGTCAACCAATACACGTTTGGCTTCTCAGTTCCCAAGGCAATTCGTCAGCCTGATTTTAATGAGCAACAATACTTTAGGGCTGACAGCTGGATCCTTCAGTTCTGTGAGAAGCACAGGAGGAGAAATATCATTTTAGCAATGAATATGGCAAGGAAGATGGTGTATCTACATGAAAAAGTGCTTCACAATTTCGTCCACATTGTGAACAAGTCACTCACATGCCCGTGGACAGCAGCAGGTATCTGGGCAGCAGGGGCAGCGGACGTAGCAACAGCAGCTATGAGGACAGCACTGGCACCAGCAGATCCCAACCAGGAGGAAGAAGAGGAAGACCCCCAGGATCACCAAGCCCACAAACACCCACTCTAGAAAGAGAGACACACAAATGTATCAAAATGTTAGGACCGTTAGCCAGTTAAGATTATTTAGATTAATTCAGTGTGTGTGTGTGTGTTTACAAAAACCTCGGAATGAGTGTCTTTGGGGAATACTAAAGGACATGTAAATCAACTGAATTTGATAAATGAAAACATCTATTAATGCTTAGAAGGAAAGGCCACCTTCAATATTTTTCACTCCATACAGGCAACCCCCTATTTATGCACGTTCAATAAGTACGCAACCACGCACATACGCATCATACAGAATCTGGAAATGACCCAAAAACGTCACAAAAACATCACCAAAAGTGCAGAATGGGGCGGGGGCCCAGCCCCTTCATAAAAAACTGCCTCGGCCCCTAGTAGTCAGCACCTATGCTATGAACTATAGATTGCTTCCATTATACCTAATGTTTACCTGGAGACCTAAATAAAGCTATAATTATCCAAAGATTGAACTGCCCCAAGAAAAGAAAAGTGCTTTTGCCCATCTCTCATAGCAAAAACCAAAAAAACAATGGGTAGGCACAGACAGCAATCGACTAAGTGGTAAATGGCAGTGATTTTAAGAAAATAGCAGCTCCTCCATGTAGCATTGTACAGTTGTATTGTGTTCAGTTGTATGTGCAAGTTAGGATTTTCCCAGTAGTAGCAGTCTCCAGCTACACCAAGATAGGGATACACACAACAGCTTTATATAAACAACACTGGAGTATCCATCGCAGCAGTAGATTGAATAATACCCTAAATCTATCTTGCCTGTAGGGTTTTTAAAATATCAACCCTCAAATACTACCAAACCGCCTATCCATGTATGTCTTGGTTGCTTTAGCTGTGGGACGCTACTAAACAAAAAACTTAATTACTTACCAAAGCTGCTTCTAGACCGTCACTAATTTGCGGGTAGAATGCAACATAGCAGCTAATACAGAATGCGGCAGCTAGACTGGTGACTGGGAGTGGCCGCCGAGACCACATAACACCGGTCTTGAAAGACCTACACTGGCTCCCAGTATGTTTCCGAGCACATTTCAAAGTGTTGGTGCTGACCTTTAAAGCCCTAAACAGCCTTGGTCCAGTATACCTGAAGGAGCGTCTCCATCCCCATCGTTCTGCCCATACACTGAGGTCCAGCACCATGGGCCTTCTCACTGTGAGAAGCTACAGGGAACCAGGCAGAGGGCCTTCTCAGTAGTGGCACCTGCCCTGTGGAACGCCCTCCCACCATATGTCAAAGAGAAAAACAACTACCAGACTTTTAGAAGACATCTGAAGGCAGCCCTATTTAGGGAAGCTTTTAATGTTTAATAGATTATTGTATTTTAATATTCTGTTGAAAGCTGCCCAAAGTGGCTGGGGAAACCCAGCCAGATGGGTGGGGTATAAATAATAAATTATTATTATTGTTGTTGATGCAACATCATACAACCTCCCCGCAAACAAATCAGAAAGAATACTCAATAAACAGCAGGCATCATAGAATCTCCCTGCAAACTTTGTGAAAACAAATCTGGATGAATGCTTGATGGACAGGTTGGTATGGAAGTGACCCAAGTGAATGGTCCCATGACTAACAACAAAGTCACCGTTGTCTTTGCATGCTCCGTGTCACTTGCTAAAGCCCCGGTTATTCTCCCCAATTGCTAGTTGCAAGCAGTTATGGAAAAGATGGGGAATCAAAGGCACATGCACAAACAGATGAATGCACAAGATGCTGTGGATGAATGGGAAGATAAAGCAGAAGAAGAATGGATAAAGTGTTAGATGACGGAGTACCTGGCATAATCTCCACAGCAAAACTGGGCAGGAGATCAGCAAGCAGCCCTGTCCTGCCTAGAAAAGACAGAGGAGGAGAAAGAAGGAGAGAGGTTAGTGCAGGAAAATCACTCCCTTGCCTCAGCATGAAGCCTGCTCTTATGTTATGATGAGGTCTCTATGCTAGAGATGGGGGAGACATTTGATTCAGTTTCACATTTAGAAGTGAATTCACACTTTCCAAAACAGTACAAGAACAAACCCACAGCCATCCTGCAAAATTTGCATTATTCCAAATTTTGCAGTGGACTTTGCCAGCCAAGTAATGTGTAAATAAAAAGTACCTGCTGGAGTAAAGTGTGCATAAAAATGCATATAATAGTGAAAATAACATACAAAATTTATTCTGTTGGAGAAAACTACTACCAAAAAGGGTATATTAGGTGAGATTATGTACAAAAAATATTATTAAGAGAAATTCACGCTAAAATGCTGATGAATTTTCATGAGGACTTTCTTTTTTAAAAAAGAAATGTGACGTGTAAATGTGGATAACTGAATTTAAGATTAGAAAAATGAGAAACTAGTATGATTCATGTGTGGTTTCTCTCCTTTCTTATTTCTCAGTGAACTGTACAGGAATGGATGCAGTTCCCTTTCTCCACATCTTTAAACTGATAGGGATTTAAAATAGGTAAAGGGTAGATATAGGAAATAGCTGCAGGAAACACTGCTTCACTGGAGAAATAATAAGTATACATATTACATCGTTTAGCTTCATGCATACATATGTCTCTTAATGAAACAAGACAAAAAAAATAATTTTGGCCTAGACTTTCAGTATATATGACCTATTCCTTTTGAGACTTTATTATAGGTAGCAGTCATAAATTCTGCATTGAGCCTGCATAGATTGCTTCCAGTTGACATGGAAACAACCTGGTTCAGCGGTGCTTTACAGAAAGGAAAGGCTTGACATTGTAAAACAGTACTGTCTGCGTACTCCACATCTGTGTTAATAGCAACTTGGGTCATTCCAACCTTGACTGCCTCTGGTACTTTTAGAGATGTCTGGTAAAAACCCAGAGATGCAGGGAGTTGGGGATAAGGTCTCTTAAAGAAAACTGATATTCCTAAAATTAGCATTGTAATCTGGATTTTTTGTTGCAGTTAAAGCACTGATAAGATCTCAGTTAAAATGGAAAATGCAAAGAGCTGAATGATTGCCACCATCAATCCTGGCTCTTGTGAATACCCCAGCTATACAAAAAACATTGGCCCAATTTCAACGAAAATGTAATTTTATCAGCATGGTAAGTAGAAACCTCTACAGAGTTTAACATTTTCACCTTCTACGTTTATGCATCTATATTTTGTTACAGCTCTTGATTAAATGGTTGCAATCGAACATTTTCATATCCAATTCAAGAGCCAGCTCATTAGCATGATTAGATATCATCCTGAGACCTGCAGGTTTCTTAATTGGTCAAAAAGTTAATCACCACAAGGAGCCATCCCAGTGTCAAAATAATCCACAAAATTACTGTGGATGACCTACAGTAGAATGTTCAGATACAAATGTGTATGGATTAAGTCTCTTGGCACTCAGAAGCTCCACAAGCGCACCATGAATGGAAAGAAAAGGAGAGTCATCTTGAATACAGTGTTACGTTGCAACTTGCTCTTAGTAGACTTATACTGCAATCCTAATGCATCTTCATTTAGCAGTGCTATTGGATTCAATGGGACTTAATGCCACGTGACTGGATTGCAGTCCAAATAAACTGCATGGAGCATAAGATCAGTCCATTTTGCTTTACTGTATTTATTTAGAATCCATTCATGAGAAAGGGCAATATTTTATCTTCAGGAAGTTATAGGCCACTGGCTACAGAATTCTAGATACAAACTTGTCTCCACATCCGTCAGCCAGTTCTGCATTAAGCAAAATTTAGACTAAGATCACCAACTGGAATTAAATTCTTTCCTACTTCTAGTTTTCCCCATTGAATAAAAAAGAGGGCTATACTTATTAAGACTACAGTATATGTTTCTGGTCCCCTAACCATGAGGCTATTGTCAAAGCAACAATAAAAGCACTCTATAAAGTCTAGTAATGCTTTGCTACCTGTTGCATTTCATCAAAGCTGCTGTTATATCACCACTGTAACATCATCAATCATGAGTGGCTCTTGGAACCATAGTGGAACGCAAAACTGATTCTGCAGATAATGTGCTCACATTTCCTTATAACAATAATTGTTTCTATCACCAATAGTTTTCTTGCAACTATCTTTGGGCTGAACTATATGTTACACATATAACAAAAGGCCAGAAACTCATTTTCCTAGGGGAAAGCAGTTTGCACTGGAGAAGCAACGGAACAGGGAAAGGATCTTTAACTCTTACTATTCAGAGTGCTTCTTCCTACCAAATCCTGCTCTCTTTTCTACTGCTATCCCTACAAGGTCCCAAATCCATGGTTTAAGACACCTGGTGAGGATACGAGCACTGTTACGCTGGAAAAGGGTGCTACTTTTTTACAGTATAGCATTTTCTTGATCTAACTGTGCCCCTCCAAAGTTCCTATTTTCCTTGCTGTGGGTAAACATATGAAAGGTATCGATCAGGAAAATGGCATGGGCAAAAGGCTTCGAAACAACATGGCAGTCCTGATTCAATTCTCCCCTTCCCTTTAAAGAGAAACTAAACATTGGGAGATCCCATCACAAATCTCCCACATTTCATCTGAATGTAACACTGTACCTATTCCTTCATACACATTTAAAACAGCAACTGCACTAAACACTAGTCTCAGTTGCATGTATGTTTATGACTTTCAGTCACAAAAAGCAAATATGTAGGGAGAGAAAACTTCTAAACCAGCCTTTTCTGACCTGGTACCCTCCAAGTGTTTTTTTACTGTTAACCCCATTGTCCCTGACCATTGACCATTTTGGCTGGGGCTAATAGTGGTGGGCCAAAACTATCAGAGGCTACCAGGTAGGAGAAGCCTGCAGATATCTGGAGCGTGGGATCATGTTTTCTAGTTAGGGAATTGTTTGAGGCCAAGTGTGAATGCCTAAAGATCTGGAGAGCTGAACATCCCTAGCACTCTCAAACTGTGATCTGGCCTCCAAAACAAAACAGATGTGGTAGCCAACCTACCAACCCCTGTATTCCAGCACATCCTGTCAAAACAGTCAGATCGGCCTCGATTGCCAGGGACTATGCTGCACCCTCCACACTCCCACAGAACGGTTTACAGCCAGATTCCAGAATACAGCATACACTTCAGACAAAGCACACACACCCGCCCAAAGACTGTGTGTGTTTTGTTCTCGTCTCACAGATTTCTTCTCGCCCTTCCCTCCTGCCCACCACCCTGTCTAATGTGAAGAATTCAATCTCTAAAGGAATTCACTAAGCTCTCTCCTTGGGGGCTAGTTCAAAGCACGGGGGTGAGGTGGAGGCGGGGCAGAGGCCATGCCTAGGTCTGAACCTGATGACTTGAATATTCCAACAGAAATTAAACAGCACTAAATAACTGTGCTATCGCCCACCTTTCAGCATTTTGATTCCCCCCTCCTTTTACACAAGCTGCATTAATTCAAAGATAACCGCTCTTCCCAATGCTGCGTAATTCCACCCCCCTTCACAGAACCTCCCACTGATCCTAGTTTTTAATACCGGCTGTTAAGTAGGCTGCTGAAAAACACTACAGCTGACCCAGCCGCTCTTGTTCATACCAGTGGTAACCACAGCAACGGTAGGGGGGAGGTAACACATGGGCCTGTCATGAATGCTTGCTAATTGAAGGCCAACTTTCCTCCCACAGGGATGAGCAACAAGTGAACCAAAAATATATAACGAACGAGGACAAAAGAACAGACTGGGTGAGGAAGGAAGAGGTCTGAATACCTCTTGGAAATTTTCAGGCAGAAAAATTGAGACATTTTGCACATTTAGAAATTTGATAATCCAGGCGCAAGGCAGATGTGACACAAAATGGGACTATATTTTTTTGCGGGGGGGGGAATAGAAATTTGAAGCGTACAGTCAACAAATACACAAGGGCTGCCAAGATGCAGCTCTAATATTCTTAAAGGTTTTGGTTTTAGCAATCTGCTTGAGGAAACACACAAGTCTATTCCACTGCCAACATTCAGTTGCTATTTGCTTCCCAACCCCAGTGATGCAGAATGAGAGCATGAGCATTCAGGCTTCCAGCCAAGGGGCCACCAACATTTTTGGGTACGTCCAGGGGTACATTTGCAAAATGGGGAGTCTGCCATAGGTCTCACATGCGCATTGCAACCAAGCACACACTGCAACCTAATCTATTGGCTGCAACAGAATGCCTCTTTCAAATCTAATTTCAGCAGGCAAAGGAGACCCTACGGGTACCAGAAAAGGCCTCTGCAGGTGCAGATGTAGCCAAAGGTGCCACAGTGGCAACCACTGCTCTAGCCACCAAAGTTGCTTCTGACCCTTTCCTCTGAAATTGCCATCCTTTGTACACTCACTTTTTCATGGGACACCTGCGTTGCATCATTGCTTGCCCACTGCATTCCAGAAAAAAAATGAGAGGAAATTAGTAATTGAGATCTCTGTCTCTCTCTTTTCTTCCTCTGCCCCCAAACCATGTGAGAGCAGAAACTGACATTGGTGTAATTAAAAGACGCTTGGGGTGGTTGTACCTTCCTCTAAATAAGGCAGTCAAACCCTCCCCTCATGACCATCTTCTTTAAGAGATAACTTCCTCAGGTTAAACCGTGACCTGAGCAAACCTTCATTCCTGTACAAAGGTAAGGAAGGACATTTATTCACCTATTCTCGTAATTGTACACTGGGAATTGATCTGAGTCTGGCACTTAGTGGAGGTGCCAAACTCAATTCAAAATCAAAAGCAGGAGAGTACAGAGAAGGAACAAGCTGGCAGGGGAAAATAGCATATTAAGCGATCCAGATAACAGATCATCCATCTTGGCTTCCTGTTTATTATTGCTATTTCTTGCTGGAAAGGGAACTGCAGACATTTGATAAATCAATTGCAACAGTAGCATAGATTTCAGTGTATTTCACCTCCCCATAAACATATTTTTATCTGTGCGGGCTCCAAGCCCTCCTGTTTTCATGTGTCAGTAACTCATAGCAACTATCCTACTGCTAGGCTGACTAGATGGCCCAGTTTATTAGGATTGTCCCAGATGGTTATTTCCAAATGGCAAATTTGTCCTTGTTTCAATAATAAAAAGAAAATCTAGGACATGCTGTCATTGTCTCTATTCCCGCTGCACTGCTGATTATACCTTTTGTATAAGTACATCCAGCAGCTGCCTCTCTGCCGTTTCCCTAAATGCACCTGCTGCCTCTTAAACCATCAACGGAAGTTTGAGCCAGACACATAATCAAGTTGCAAGGAGTGGGCAGCAAAGTCTACAGAGAAGGAGCAGGCACTGATTTGGCATAGCATGTACAAAGCAGAGAAAAGAGCAGATACGGGGAAGTGAGTTACAGTGTTAAAGCAAAGGAAAGATATGCTGATCCAAATGGCAGGGGAATAAATCAGAAGGGCAAACTCAAATATGGGGAAGGATGAAGAGAAGTTGTAAAATTTTGACAAAGGAAAAATAAATAAATGAGACAAGAGGTAAGTAGGTTATGGAAAAAGGGAAACATCCTATGAGACAAGACACACAAAAGGTTGAAAAAACACCATGGATGGTCAATGTGAGGGGGTGAAAACATGCAAATGTAAACACAGTAAAATAGCAAGTGCAGCTAAGCACAGAATAGGAATTTATGATAACATTGTTTTTGGACATATTGGATTACAGCAGTCTGGTTCTGCAGCTCTCTAATGGGAAAAAGGAACTATTGTTCTTCTAGCGGTGGCAACGTGTGGCTATTTGGCAAAACCGTAGCACTTGTTGGGCCTCAACATTTAGGCATGATCCCATAACAGCATAAAAAAGTTGTAGAGAGGAAACGCGTCTCTTGTAAATCAGAGGGGCATCCAGGAAGCCACTGAGAGATTTATTGGGAGAGTGTGACCATGTAATGAATTCCTCTTTCCTCCCTCTGCTAGAAATAAACTTCTTCTTTTCTGCCCATCCCTCTCTTTCTTGTTTTGTCAATCAAGGGAAGAACAGCAGCAGCTATTTGCAGAGATCAAAGTTTTAACAGGCAACAGAGACCGCCAAGCAGGCTGTTACCATAGAAACCTTAGTAACGGAGGCCTTTGAATTGTGCCGGTATCCTTTGTTAGCAGCATGTGGCGGAGGCTGGCGAGTGAGAAGGAATGATGGGGAAATCTTTGGACAACAAGCACCACTTCTAAATAGCATTAAAAGAGGGGAGTAGGACTGGGCAGAGGAGACTCAAAGGCTGCTAACAGTGCCATGTGGGCTTGAGGCAGAAAGGGGGGGGGGAGTTACAGCACACTGAAGATGCAGATGGGAACTACCACTCCATCAGAAACAGGCATTCACAGATCATGACAAAAAATAAATAAGGAGTTACTTTGTTCTACCCTTTTCATATTACTACTATGTGTGCTATTCTGTTAAGTTTTACTCAGAGCAGTTCCATTGAAATTAATCAACATGGCAAAGTTAGGTCCATTAATTTTAATACCACCCAATGAATACCACCCACTGTTTGCTTACTGATTTGTTTATAGGTGTCAGGAGTCAAGCCTGCAGCAGGATGGTGGGACCTTGGCCCCTCATATAAAGCAGAGATTTAGGCTGTGTGTCACACCATGCTCTTGGCAAAGAGCCAGAGTCCTTTGTTCTGAATTGGCCAAACTAATGAAACTCTGAGAAACACATGACCAGTCTCCCAATGGCTTTTTATTGTTACTGAAAGGCAATAAGGGGTCAGGGATTAGGTATCTGACTGGAGAAGGAGCAGAGGAAGGAGTGCCTAACCCTTTCCCCTCAGGCCATTTTTCTCTATATACTACATTTGCACTTTCCGTCATCATGCTGCTGAACAAATAAACAACGAAAAAGAGAGCAGGCAGACAAGTGGCAAGGCAGGCCTTTCCATGCACTTCCTGCCAGACTGGGGTAGGAAGAAGAGGGAGGGCAGACAGACACCACAGGGAGGCAGGGTGAGCAAACAGACCAGTGTGGTCTGGCAGGCAGGTGGCCCAGGAAGTTCTTCCCAGATTCCTCCTGTTGTTGCTGCCATCACCACTGGTGTGGGGAGGGGAGGGGAGGGGAATGAAGGGGAGAAAGTTGCTCTCCACTTTGTCCTGCTGCCATCACCACCTTCTCAACTTTCTCTCCTTCATTCCCCTCCCTGCCCCACAGTGGCAACAACGACAGAAGCAAAAAGGGATGGGGTTAGGGAGCTGTGAGGGGTTGAGAGGGTTTTTGGTGGCAAGCTGTGTGGGAGGGGGTTTGGGGCCAACTGCGAGGCAGGTGTTGGCAGTAGGTATGTTTGTGAGCAACATAAGCAGCGCCAGAAGTCCCTAGTGCAAGTGAAAGAAGGGGCAGGGAGAAGCCATGCCATGAGGAGAAACGCTCTTTACATACATACATCCTTCCTGCTTGGACAGCTCCTTTATCAGTGAGTGTGTGGTGACACCACTTTCAAATGGCAGGCAAACTCAGCTCCCACCCACAGTGGCTGCCCACCATCTTAACTTCCTCCAAGCGCAATGCCTGTCCCTGGCCTATTGAGATTGGACAGCCAAGTTCAGCTTCCATTCAAGAGTAGTACTGCTACCTGCTCTCTGCTCTTCAGCCACCAAAGGACCCAGCAGCAGGCAGCTGGGTTAGGCCAATGAAGGACCCTACTGAGCCCCTTGCTGGCTGTTGGTGCTACGCCTGCTATTCATCACTAATCTCCTAGTCAGGATCAACATGAAGCAATAATATGGGCAGGACCTGCAAACAAGGCACTTTTAATTATAGGGACAGGAGCCCCCAAAAGCTTCAATAGCACTTTGCCTGTTCACACTAGAACAGCTGGTGCTGCAATTACATGTTGTTGCAAAAAGGGAAAGAAGCCCACCGCCACAAATCAAGTCTGAAAGAAATATGGGAGGGTAGACAACAAAGAAAATATTTGACTGCATTTATTTAGCAACATCATCTGGAATTCTCTATAAAAAGTAAATGGGAAGAGGATGGCAGTTCCACAGAAAAGAGTCTGTGTAGAAGCGACCTCAGACGCTATTCATTGCAGCTGCTTGAAATGCAGTTTCTTCACCCAGTCTTACTTCCTCTGTCTGATCATACTCAGACCACCACTATTGATTTGGCAACCACAGGATCAGATAATAGGCCTATAACTCTGAGGGAGCAGGCAACAAAAGTGTCTGCTGTGAAGCCTTCTTCCCCAAACTACCACTTCCTCCACACAAGTCTTCACTTCTGCTTTGGTGACAGGGGATGTGATAAGACATCTACTCTCCAGAGAGTGCCAGTTGCTAATCTGCAGTTTAGCATTTCAGTGGACTATGTTGTGGGATAACAGCATCCCACAACATATCAAAGATACCAACACCTGTTTTAATCACAAGTACAGTGGTACCGCAGGTTAAGAACTTAATTAGTTCTTGAGGTCCGTTCTTAACCTGAAACTGTTCTTAACCTGAGGTACCACTTTAACAAATGGGGCCTCCTGCTACTGCCGCTGCGCCGCCGTCGTGCGATTTCTGTTCTTATCCTGAAGCAAAGTTCTTAACCCAAGGTAATATTTCTGGGTTAGTGGAGTCTGTAACCTGAAGCGTATGTAATCTGAAGCATCTGTAACCCAAGGTACCACTGTAGTTGCTGATATACGATTGGCAGCTTTTCAGCAAAACATTATAAAATCAGTGGTTCTTTTAACTATCATATCTTTATCATATTTTAAGTAGAAATTCACTTGAAGGATTCCTCTAACTCTTGCATCCATATCACCTTGTCTAATGCATTTTTGCTGAGGCAGAAGAGATCACAAAAACTGACCTAAAGTAGCATGTCATCCAGCAGGGCCCTCACCTCACGTGGAGTCAGACTTTCCTCTCCACAGAGGCTTTTCACCCACTCTGCTTGCAGCTATTTTATTCTATCCTATAGGGTTGTCACATGGAAGATGAAGCAAGTTTGTTTTTTCCTGCTCTGGAGGCTAGGACCCAAACCAATGGATTCAAAGTTACAAGAAAGGAGATTCTGGATAAATATCAGGAAGAACTTTCTGACAGTACGAGCTCTTCAACAGTGGAGCAGGCTTTCATGAGAGGCAGTGGGCTCTCTTTCCTTGGAGGTTTTTAAGCAGAAGTTGGATGGCCACCTGTCATGTATGATTTAGTTGAAATTACTGCATTGCGGGGGGTTGGACTAGATGACCCTTGGTGTCCTTTCCAACAATGTGATTGTAAACATATCCCATCAACACATACACAGACAGGAGGCATGAACTGATAAAGTAAGAAGGTGTATTTCCATAGCTGGTGATGACAAAACGATCCTTTCTGAAATCTGATGGTAGGGAATCTTCCCATTTCTTGTCCTAAGGGGGGGGGGGGAGATATTCTGGCCACCTCCAAACTGTCAGTATTTTGCAGGAGGGATTTAAATAACATGCCAGAAATTTAGGTTTCTGCAATTAAAATGGATTAAAGCATCCTGTCACAACATATCTACTTTATAAAACAAAAAACAAGACTTCTGGGATAGGAAAGTGACAGGGAAATGTACTTAATTGTGTCAGATATTTGATTAACAAAAAGACGTACAGTATAACCATCATACGCAAGCAGTGTAATGCCAGTGAGCAACCTTTTGATAAAGTCTTGGTTTGCTACAAATGCACTTATGAAAAATCTTGTGAAACTGCATGCTCACTTTTATATATCTAAATCAGAATATATGTGTTTCCTGCCTCAATCGGAAAGATTCAGATGTTGCTCTGTCTGTATGATTAGTTATTTTCTACTTCTACAGTTTTAAGAAATATTGCACAGAATGAGCAAATAAAACTTTTGAAATAAATTTGTCAATAGGCTAGTGAAGTAGGAATGTTTTAAGTTATCTCAGTTATGTAGGATGACCCATAAACATCTACTTGCTCCTAAATAACCCATATTTCATGATTTTCAAGTACTTTACTTTTGCCACATAAAAAGCTACCCTTCTCACTAAAGTCCAGGGGATAAGGCAGCCCCCAAGGTGTTGCATAATTTATAGGCAGCCCCTAATCCCTTTCCTGTTCTAGTTTTGCATCCCCCTCTAAGGGAATAAGCCTCCCATCTGAATATCAGCAAACAGAAAAACAAAAGCCTCTCACTCTGACTCTCCAAGAACTAAGATATTTTATCTAAGCCTTTTCTACAGTTCATTAATAGTGGGATGGGGTTTAAATGTCCCAAGAAGCTACAGAACGACAAACAAATGCTCGTTTCTAAGTGTTTGTTTTCTCCTTTGAATGATGAGAAGAATGCTAAGCATTGGCAATGAAATACTACTGGGTGTGCAAAAACAAAAAACAAAAAAATATGCATTTTTATAATGTATTATGCACACATACAAGAATATAAGTAGTATATGTTTCTGGTCTTGGATCAGACCAAGTTGGAGCCAATCATTTGCTTCTGAGAAGCCCAAAGCAGGGCATAGAGACCCCTGATGCTGCCCTCCCCTATAACAACTGGTGTTAAAAATATTGGAATTTCAGCTCCGGTAATCCGAGCTGATATGGCCCATCTTCTTTGAGCCCACCCAGCAGAGCATTAAAACAACAAAGTCCACAACGGAAGGATGGGATAGTATGGGCTACTCGCCATGCTTTATTACTAAGCTATGCAGAGAGCAAAGAAATATACATGTTCTCTCTATGAGAAGCAGAGAGCAACTGAACAAAAGAAACGAAAGAAACAAAGGAAACAAGAAACCAGTAACGTCACATCCCGTCTCCCTTTCCCGTGAGTATCCAACAGTATCTGGACTCTGGAATGTAAACAGTCCTGTGACTGCAAGCAGCTGCTCAGTGAGGAAACAGAAACTAACATAAACTGCTTCTGAAGTGGAAGTTCCAATTATACGCAATCCTATGCATGTTTACGTAGAAATAAGCCAAACTGAATTTAGTTGTACTTGGCCCCGGGACTGCAGTCTTAGCCATTATGACTAACATCCTTTGATAGCCCTACTCACTCCTACTACGCTGATATTTATGTAATCCCATCTAAACCCAAGGCCATTACCACACTTTATATACATTGTGTGTGACATGCGCTACATCTTCTGCCAACTGATTTCATTGAGCAACCTCAAGTTTTAGGATTGTGAGAGCAGAAGCAGAGGGGAACCTCCTACCAACTAACATGGCCAATTTGGGATTTCTGGAGGGCACCTGTGCAAATGGGTACAAAGAGCATACATGCTAAATGAACATGCTTGAGGAGGGAGTCAGTATTGGCGCGGCAGGTTTTATCTCATCAGGGGTGCCAGAAACAGGAAACTTTCAATAAATAGGAAAGCCCTCAGAGGCCTAGCCAGCTTCTTATTTTGGAGTATGTGATCCTTTTCTGTCTTTCTCTCTCTCTCTCTCTCTCTCTCTCTCTCTCTCTCGTCCAAGACTTTGTTCATCACAGGGTATCGCTAAGTGACACAAACATAATCTCTCTTCATCATCATAATCGCCCAGATAACCCCTCAAGTCCCTCAACTAGTTTCCCCTCTTTCCTGAACTCCAGTGTGGCTCAGCACTGGGCTGAACCTGACCTTTCTTCCTTCTTTCTGAATATAGCAGGGCCTCTCTGAACCTTGCCTTTGCCTTCTCTGAGACATGCTCCTACTCTTCCTCTTTTGCTGCTCTCCTTTTCCCCTGCCGGCCACCCAGCGCATCAGATGTCCAAACACCACAGCACTTCAGGTCCACCCATGTTTACATCTGGTTATTTCTGACCTTCCACATGATGGTTTAAAATAGAGTTGAGCCAAAATTATCTGCAGACGTATTAACAGTAGTGTGAAGTGGATCTAATGGAGACTGTCGAATCCAAAAGTTACCCTTCCACTCATGAAACAGAAGGACTCCTTGCAGCAGAAGGTGACCTTTGGGTCCTACAAGTGACTTGTGGCTGATAGAACCAACATATGACATCCACAGTGAATCTGCTGAAAACATCTGGGAACTGATCAGGCACCACAGAAGTTGGATTTGCACAGTTCATGCTGTAGAAATTTGCCCCAAAGTTCCCTTCTGCTGCTTCCAGGGTTGCCATTTTGCATTGTAGTTTGAAGAAAAGGGCAATAGGATACCTGGCAAACCATTTACACCAATCCCACCATTTCAGGGGGGTGTTATTGTTTTTTAATATTTTTTTTTGAACAATTGTTATTTCTCTGCCCAATTTTTCTAAGAATTTTAGATAGCTGTTTAAATTTTGAAAACAATGCAAAAGCTGTGTTTTTAACTTGTAGGCTATATTAATGAAATTCATTGTGCATGTTGGCACTGCAACGTTTAGTGTAAAAGTATTTTAAATTATGCACTTATTTTTGTTTTAATGTGAGCCATCTGGAGTTTCAAAGAAAACAGGATCCGATCATTTAAGTAAACACTGATCTTGGAATACTGCTTCAGTGGAACTTTATCATTTAAATTTAGGAGGAAAGAATCTGGCACTCTCCATCCTTTGTTACATGTTGCCTTACAACAGTGCGTAGTGATTGCAAAACAATACTGGATTGTATCTCTTTAGATCAGCTTCACTCTGACACAAAGCAACAATGCAAGGAACAGAAAGACCAGAGAAGGACACCCAGGAAATGTTGCAAATCTTTTCACGTATAGACTAATGTCATGCATTTAAAAACAATTCCCAGAGTGGTTTACCAATAGCTCCCTCTTCCCAGAGAACTCTGGCAATTGTACCTCTACAAGGGGCATAGGGGATCTCCTAACAACTCTCAGCACCTTTAACAAACTACATTTCCCAGGACTCTTTGGTAGGAACCAGATGGTATAACAGTGCTTTAAATGTATGGCGTGGATGTGACCTTAGATAAGTACATAGAAATTAGTAGAGAAGTAGGCTGTGTTGAATGGAAAAGTACACTGAGAACATAGCTCACCCAGAACAAGCAGCTCCACTGACTCTTCCGTCTTGCCCTCCACATCATCAGGTGTGATAATGAGGCAGTAATACAACCCACTGTCTCCCCACATCAGTTTTCCAATGTGGAGGTCTGCATCTGAAAAACAATGTAAGAGAAATAGTAGAGTCAGAAACACAGAGAAAAGGTGAAGGACTAAAAACAAGGCTTTCACTAACAGTTGTTACTGGCAGGAGTGCATTTTTCTTCCTTAGAGAAATAAGCACACTCCAGTGAGCCACAGTGCACTCCAGAGAGCCAGCAAACTCCACTGGACAGTGATTTGGATCCAGGAGACCAAATTCCTATTTACTGAGGAACACACCAGATTGTCTTTTCCACAATGAAAGTAGGACACATATAAAACTTATCTCACAAGGCCATTTGTTCCCATGCCCTTCAACACAGAAGCAAGGTATAGCCCCATTCACATCACAGGCTCCTGCCCCAATCCACATATACAACACAAACATCTGTAGGGAGGGGGCCTTCACATATAGCTGAACATGCAATGGCTTCTTTGGAATCTAGGATCTGGGTGGTCAGGGTTCCAGATCACAAGAAAGCCTTCATGCAATGCAAAGTGATTGTGAATAGTTTTTATTTCTATAGGAAGGGACATACACCTCAACAACACACACGAAGAAAAAGATCTTCTATTTTACCAAGGTTTTTACAACTTAATTTTTGCTTAGTGTTTTACACTGCCACTAGATGTTTTTACATCTAAGATCTCTCTGCCTTGTTAGTTTTTATGTTTTATTGAAATTTGTACTTTAACTGTTTCGCAGGTTTTTTAAATGTAAACTGCCCTGGGAATATGCCTGAAGAGTGGAATATACCTGCCTATAATAAATAAGCACACTGATCCTCGTAAGAGAGATCCAAAAAACTGATGTAATTTTCTACCATTCATAATAGCCAAAGAAGCTTTCCCATAATTAATAAACTGCTAGGCAGGCAGTTACCATGGAGAATGGTGACATCTCTTCCCTTGTAGAATTCCCCAACTGTGACCGATGGGCCCTGCTTGGAAGCCACAATGCGGACCGTTCTTCTGCTGTCCACGCAGTCCAAGTATGGATCCCATTCCAGGTTCCTCTTGCTCACAGCCTGTAAGCCTGCAGAGACCACTCCCAGAGCTTCTCCCATGCGGTCTTGGCAATATGATTTGAACTTCCACTGCACCACAGCTGGTTGTGTGGAAGAAGTTGAAAAGTGGCATCGAAGCACAACAGACTGAAAGAGCATGGCCACCTTTTTCTTTTCCGGCACCATGACCTGAAGCCCTTCAGTCACAGCTACAAGACAAAAAGTATGAACGTTATTGATTTGTGAGGTATCAACCATCTGTTCAGTGGTTCTGATCAAGACAGAATGTTATACAGGAGATTGCCATCTGCTTTTGGTGCCAAGAAGAAAATGTGCTAGAGAAATACTGGCAGCAAGGCAATAGTGCTATTTAATGCATCAAAACTATACTGAGCTGGTTCAGACATCAAGGTAAACTGCAGTTTGTCATGACAGGAACAAGCCGCAGCAAAACTTGGCCTCACGTGCTCTCCAATTCACCTCTGCTGCAGCCACAGGAACATCAAAAGCTTTCACTAGGGATGGTTGAAAATGTCACTTTGAATTTTTGGTTATCATCTTTCCAGTCTTACCATAAGTTCAGTTCTCCATGTGAGTTTGCATTGTTTTTTTAGCCCACATGAAAATTCACCAGCATTTTAGTGCAAATTTATCCTAAGGTACGAATTTTTGCACGGCAATTTTCCCTAATACAGTGCATTTTTGTCTGTTAGTTTCACTTATATGTGCATTTTTTTAACACCCCTTCCCTAGTATATGTATTTTGGACACTTTTGTTGGCTGAAGAATTGCCTTGCAGTTCAGACTTTGATTTTGCTAAACTTCCGAAGTTGATGTAAATAGCTATGTGGAAAAACTTACAGATTTATTATGGGGAAAGGTATTACAAGCTTCCAAGGAACTAAAAAGCCTGGTCCATACACTATTTCCAAAGTAGTTAACATGTTTATTCTCACTTAAATAAATGGGATAAAATGCTGAAGCCTTTGAATAATAATGAAAATTGTGTGGAATCCGGTCATAAATGAAGTTAATAAATAAAAAAAAAGTCTAAACCTAACTCTACAGGCTTGGGGAAATTTCACACCCTGGATTGTGTTCAATCTTAATCCTACTGAGTGGACCCACTTAAACTGATGAACACAACTAGTTTAGCTCCATTAATTGCAAGGGGTCTCCCCTGAGTAGAACTTTTTGGGATACTACCCTTTATATTTAATCCTAGCATAACTAGCTGCTGAATATCATAGCATATTTATATGCTTATATTTATATTCTGCCTCTTAATTTCAGAGATCCCCAAAGATAAAGAATATTTTTTTAAAAAAAGAAATCTCTATACAATCACAAAACCCAGTTAATGTTTTAAAAGTGGCAGCAGTGTCAAACCACATTGAAAACTGAAACAGGTTGTGGGGGCAGGTGCTGTCGAAACTGCTACTAATAGCCTGTGAACTAACCAAAAATCATCCAGGTGGAAGGATGAGAGTAAGGGAGAAAGGAACAAGTTGTTCAGCCATTAGCAATCAGTGGAAATAAACATTTCTGATAATCTAACAATACATTTTCTCCAAGTGATAGAACAGCTGCATTCTATGCTGGCACAGTAGACCCCAAAGATAATGTATGGGAATTAATTACACGAATGGAACTCCATCAACAGCTTCCGCATTATCCCTCTTTATTATAGGGCAAATTTTCACAATGCAAAAAAGGCTGGTTGAAAGACAATGTGTTGCTCTTACATACATCTAAGGGAACAGCTGGACAATGCAAGCAATATCACTTGAGCCACCCCCACATTAATCTGCACCATTGGCAAAGCTATGGCTTTAAAAGCATCTAAGGCACCACTAATGCATACATGACTTTTCACAAATGAGCCCTCTGTTCCTGAAATATTTACAGGTCTAAATAAGGCAACGCAAAGAACAAGCTCACAGTTCAGAAGAAGAAAGGTGAGATTCCTCCTCATGGTGAGAAGGGATGAGGAATTGCTTGCAGAGATTGTAGGAGTAGATTTGAAATAAAGAAAGAAAAATCAATTATAATATTAGTATGAACAGAGTGTGTTCAGGAACTGACAAAATACAGGAGGGAAGTTAATACAAAAAGTAGAACTGGGGAACTGATGTGAGCAAAGAAAACAAGAAGCTCAAGTGAAGATTCAGTGGGCCTACAAAGTTTTTAAATGTCATGTTCAATGTTAGTCTCTTTAAAGGCTAACCTTTCATTTACTGATGACTACTACCTGCATTCACTGAATTCCTGAGGTGAACAAACATATAATGGAAGCTTCAAAACACCAGACTCTTAACATGATAATTGTAACAATCAGAGGAGAACCTGACTGCATGCATCCACTCTAAACCGATGAAGATAAGAGGAATTAAATTTAGGAAAAAATAAGTTGTTGGCTTTGGCAACAGCAGTTTCTGTGCAATGGAGATAACAGAAATCAGTGCACAGGATAGGAGCAAGAGTAAAATGCACATTAGTCATAGCTTTTTGAGCCCTTATTTTGCCCATAGAAGCGTTGCCCTTTTTTTAGTGAGGCTGTACAAGTTTATATTGAAAACTTCCAACTCCTAGAGATGCCGAAATCAGAAAACTACAAAGCAAAGCCTGCACCTGATACCAATGACATGAAGCACCATACCATATTTGTATGTTATGTTAGGGTGTCTTTTTTCACTAGGGAGCAATTACTTTAGACTGGCGGTGTTCAACTGGCGTGCCTTGAATGATGGTTAGGGGTACCGCGGGCAACACTGGTCTCCTTCCCTCTTTTCTCCCCCCCCCCATGCCCTCTCGTGTCTTTGCCACTCAAAGGTTTGTGTGGCTGTTTGTTGCAGCGGCCCTGACTACAAGCTCCCCAGACCAATGGTGTATTTGGGGCTGGCCAGGGGGTGCTGGTTGCCAGGAGCTGAAGCAGCCTTGGAGTAAGCAAGCAAGTGAGTCGGCGTGAGGAGGCACCTCTCTTTGGGGCAGGAGGGTGGCTGCCCAGAGGACTCCTAAGGAAAGAGAAGGGGAGAGGAGGCCGAGGGAACACTCCACAAGGGAGGGTGTTTGAAAAGGGGTGAGGGGCTGCCTGCTCTGCAGGCAAGGGGCAACATAACTGGGCTTCTCAGGCTTGGAGCATGTTTCCTCACAGGGGAGCCACAGGAAGAATGTAGTTGGTAAATGGAGCCTTTCAAAAAGGTTGAAAACCTCTGCTTTAGACTGATGAGCTACAGTGGTGCCCCGCAAGACGAATGCCTCGCAAGACGAAAAACCCGCTAGACGAAAGGGTTTTCCATTTTTCGATGCGCTTCGCAGGAAGAATTTCCCTATGGGCTTGCTTCGCAAGACAAAAATGTCTTGCGAGTCTTGAGATTTTTTTCGCTTTTTCTAAGCCGCTAAGCCGCTAATAGCCTTTTACCCGCTAAGCTGCTAAGCCACTAAGCCTTTAATAGCCGCTAAACCGCTAATAGCGCTAATCCGCTAAGCCGCTAATAGGGTTGCTTCGCAAGACGAAAACACCGCTAGACGAAGAGACTCGCGGAATGGATTAATTTCGTCTTGCGAGGCACCACTGTATCTGTAAACTAGAAGAAGCCTACCACTCTAGACAAGGATAATCGTTTTGAATGGGCTATGGACCCAAGATGGTGTACTGGGAAAGCTGAGACCTACAGATGACAATACATGGTGTTCTGGTAATTTTTCTGCTGGGACGTTCCTGCAATAGGTGGCTCAGAAATGTTAGTTTTGCCTATCTAATCTGCTTCTTGACTTCCCCAGCTAAGAATTATTTTTGAAGAAAGACAGAGCTAAATTGTGCAAGTGTTGGTCTCTGTTTGAAACAAACACTTTAGGCCCTGCCTGCAGACAATGCAGCATGTGATATGTTGTAGATGGAAACTAGAACCTTGCAGGAATGCACAGAGGTGAATTAGTTTCTTGGTTTAAGGTGGTGCTTATATGTCCCTTGCATGACTGAACTGTACAGTACAGGATTATCCAAAGAGCAGCAAATTGGGCAACTACCCTGGGATTTGTCCCCCACATACCAACGGCCACCGCTGACAGCCCCGCTGCCTGGCCAGCCCTGCCAGCTTCTGCCCACACAACAAAGCTCTCTACTTCCACCCTTCCTAGAACAAGACATGGAGAGAGTTGATGAGAGGCACAGAGCCACATTGGTACTGTCACTGCCAAAGGGGCAGCAAAAAACAAGAATAAACACCAGGAAGAGGACACAAACCTCATGGAGAAGAGCGAGGGGGCAGAGGGGAGATTAAGGCTGGAGCAGATAAACAGTGTGCTTTGCCCTAGCCCCCACAAACACCAAAGGGTATTCCTGGTACTGCAAACCCAGGAAAAGAACCTCCTGGTGAAGTGTTCCAGGCTTAAGTTAATGGAGAGGAGGAAATTACTGAATGGAATTGTGAACTTTCTCAAAAGATTTCTTCCTATGTGAGTGCAGACACCGAAAATGTTCTCAATAGAAGCTCTGTAGAGGAGCTGATGGTAGGAAGCTTTGTTCTAAACCAGCCATTAAAATGTTGGCAATGTTGTGGTATTACTTATCTAAATCAAGGCTCCTGTGGTGTTTTTGCACAGATTTACTCCTGCACTTCTATAGGAAATTTATTCAGTACTTTGGGGGAATTCCTCAGTGGGGCCCAAGGATAATGGCAGGGCATATAAAATGTGGTGTTGGAAAGCTGGCTCTCAGGCTCCCATATGTCATATGACTTGTTCATGATGACTACGACGAAAGATTCTTTATAAGTCAGCATTGTTTTTGAGGCTGTAGGCAGCATTATCTTCTGCAGGGCCTGAGATCATACAGCAGGTGAGGCTTGCAGACATTCTCAGCCTGGTGAAATAACTCTGTAAAGAAATGCACTCTGGTGCTGCAACCATCAGGAGGAGTCCACACACAATTTGTGAAATGACTCTTAAGTTTCTCTGTTGGTTACCTCAACTTTCTCTGCCTCCCCCTCCCCACAATTTACCTTCTCCGATTTCTTATCATGTCCCTCTATTGCCCTCTTCAGCTCCACTGTACTAGTTGTAGGTTTCGACAACTTTCAAGTAGAGTATCCATATAAAATATAATTTACACAAATTGTAATGCAATAAAATAATAACATTGCTCCCTATCACATTTTATAAATTTATTTATATTTTAAGCTTTCATCTATGTTTTGGGTCAAATGCACACCTTACAGTGCTGAAAAATTCATAAACTATCTGCCAACCTTCTACAATCCTATGTTCCAGGTATTCCTCAATCATGATAAAGTGTGAATTGCCCTGCTGCATAGCAGGGACCCACTTCCTGAGCCTAGTGAAAAATATTATGTTTTATTCTTACAGCTTTTGAGAATAATTCTACTCCTTTTGGAATAACTAAGAAAATATTTTACATAAAATAAAACTGTCAATTATAAAATAAAACTGTCAACTGTTCTTTTGGTGTTATGTGCTTCACATTGTGGGGTATTACAGACCCCAATAACCTCTTTGCAACTATATCATTTTACTGAAAAAGGAAAGCTCTTAGGGATGGTGTAAAAAAAATTATGTGCAAACAGTGTCATGCTTAACACCATTCCCTCAGGTTTTTTTGTTTTTATGGCTGTCCCAGCACACATCTGACCCCAAAGCTGACTTGATCCAGTAAGTGTTTCTTATCACCAAGGGTTTAAAAAGACTCATTAAATTGCTAACTGTGTGAACAACATCACATCTAGTTTGGTTCCAATACTGAAATGAAAGAGAACGCTAGAGACTACATGCAAGAAAAGTCTCCCTCCCAGAAACATAGAAAGCTGCCTTAAACCAAATCGGACCCTCTGGTTCATCTAGCTCAATATTGTTTACATTGAATGTCAGCATCTCTCCAGCGTTTCAGGAAGGAAGCCTTTCCCAGCCCTACCTGGAGATGCCAGGGATTGAACCTGTGACCTTCTGCGTGCAAGGCAAGCACACTACCACTAAGCCATAGCCCTCTCCCCAAACGACCTCTCTGCAGAAGCAGCAAGGTAGGCAACGTTATATTGTATGCCTGAATCAGAGAACTGTAGAGCTGGAAGGGACCACAAGAGTCATCTAGTCCAACCCCCTGCAATGCAGGAATCTTTTGCCCAACGTGGGGCTTGAACCCACGACCCAGAGATTAAGAGTTTCATGCTCTACCAACTGAGCTATCCCAGTCTGGTTTTGTTTAGCCACAGAAAAGCCATAAACCCACCTCCTTCCCGCCTTTCTTAATAGGGTGCAAGAAAGAACCATTCTTACAATGGGTTGCTGGCTGTTGTGCATACAAAAGTGAGTAGGAACAGCCAAATCCCTCAAGTTTGCTTCCTGTGCTTCTTCCCATAATCTATTTGTGCAAATTCAATACTGCAAAGCGGCAGTTCCTAGAATCTTCTGTAGCTTAGCACCAAGGCAACATCCTCCTCAGTACCTTGTAAAAGTGAACTGATGACACTCATAGAAATACTCATCTGACACATATTCCTGGGATTTCCCTCCCCTCTCCCCATTCATACATTAGCAGAGGATTACCTGAGGGCATCTTCATACAGGGCACCATTTCTGCATGGATGAAGGAAAGCAACTGTGTATGTCTGCATACACCGTCATGTGTGAAAATTATGCAAGTATCTATTTTACTGTAGGTAACCATAAATATGGAAGTCTCTGCACACTGCTTTGAATGCAATAATTTTCCACAGAAAACAACCTGGAGAAAGAGATATGCGAGAAGCAAAGCTAGCTGCTGCCAAAATAACCTTACAGGAAATAGCAGCAATGAATTCTTTTTTTCTGAGGAAGTTCTCCTGACCAAAGTAAGCAACTACTTTTCCATGAAGAAAGAGGAAATGACACTCTTTTCCCCTGAGCAAGCAGAACTGCTAATCCAACCAATACAATCTGTGTTTTCCAATGGCAAAACGTCATCTTAGCCTTTTCACTTAGGCTAGACCTCAGCACGCACATACACAATCTCTGGGGCTGGCCTGTTCTCCCAAAATTTCAACAGACATGATGGGCATTAACAGTCAGCAAAACTGGGCATTTCCTTGTGACCAAAGAGAGGCTTAAGGACCCACATGAGTGCCACCACCATAACCTGCTGGTCAACACACAGACAGCCCCATCATCACCCATAACTTCTGCCTGATTTTTGCAGGAAGCAAAAACAGCATCCTGACTCCAGCCAGCCTAGTTCATGCATGTGCTGTGCTATGCTGTGCTGTGCAATGCCAGGGACAGGATCCCTGGTGACTAGCGAGTTACTCAGTGCTTGCTTTAGTGTCCCAATTCTTGGTATCCCTTGGTGCAGGCTATCCTTGTGGTCTGAAAACTCAAGCAAGGCCTCTTTGGCTCCAGCTGGCATGCGGACGTTGCAGCAATCCAGAAATGGGATGGCTGGGTTAATGAGCTGCAGTGGCTCAGGAAAGGCAAGGTGTGGAAGTGAGCCCAGAATGGTTAGTAAACCAGCAAACTTCAGGCCCCAAATGATGGAGATGAAGGATTTGGGCTCTGTTTTCAGTACAGCAGGCAGATATGCTAGAAAGGAAGAAACAGAAAACTCTTCTACATAGGGCATGTTTAGGATTCAGACCAGGGTGGGTAGCAAGCTTGTGGGGTGGGTGGTATTAGCAAGCTCAAGGGGAGGATAGCCACATAGCTCCCTAGACTAGAAACCTCAGTTGAACAAATTCTCTGCAAGCAACTCTGCTAGGGGAAATGGTGGCCTGGGACCCTCCAGGACCTAAGGAACTGGGGGTGGGGGGAGCTAGAAAAATGAGCATCATAAGCTAAGGGTTGCTTGGATGCTGACATTTGGATGTTTTTTCTACACACACACCCAGCTACAGAAGTGGTCCTGGGGGCATGTTTGGCACATGTAGCCAGGGAAGAGATTCCAATCGCTTGATGGGAAAGCTGCCCGTTTAACCCTATCAATCTATGGAAAAAGAGAAGAACACCCCCTCCAAAAAAATAATAATGCATGTGTATGAGTGAAATTGGGACATTAATCAGTTAGTGATTCAGAACCGAAGAGAGTACAGTACTGTAATAATGACTCTGCCTTAATTATCAATCTGTCTGTGCAGGACATCTGCAAGCAGAGAGCTTTGCCTGGGAGCCACAAAAACCTGCAGCTGTACCTTGCCAATTCCGATGCCCCAATACATTTCCAAAAGATGTTTTTCCCCACATCCAACTAACTCCAAAGAAATCCAGGGGTGGCACCCGGGGGGGGGGGGAGACAGCCACGCTAAAAACCCACACCCAGGCAGAGCTCGCCTGCTTCTGAATCAGAGCAGGACGAAAGAGATTTGGGAGGAAAAGTGGGGGCGGGGGGGTAAAGTAAAGATCATTTTTCCCCTTTAGAAAGAGATACGCTGCGGGGGTGTGGAGCAGTTTATTGCCTACAACACCGATAACGGGCACCTCAATCAAACACGCTGTTTACTATTTGTTCGACATTTCTAACCCCCCCTCCCTTCCGTGCCTCCCACTTGCTGAACAAGCTTGAAACCTGCTGCAACACGACACACACAGAGCTGGGGGGGGGGGGAGGGAGAGGGAGAGAAGGCAGGCAACTCCTTTGGGAATCCAAAAAGTTATTGATCCCCATGAAATCCCTTACCTGTTAGCCACAGCAAAGCAGTCCAGCCTAGTAAGACTCCATCCATCTTCGTGGTCTGTCCCTCCAGAAAGGAAAAGGAAAGGAAGGGGAGAGAGGGGGAGAAACTGGAGCCAGGAAAGTAAAAAATGAGGCTCCCCGCTACGAAGCGGCTGGCACCTCAAGTGTTCTTTCCCGTTATCTGCGGGTCTTCCGCCACATAACTCAGCGTGTGAATAGACAGAGAGTTCTGAATGGGAGCTACCACTCTGCTAGGGGGAGGGGGGGCTGCACTGCCCTCCTTCGGGAATTCTGCTCCCTGCGACGTAATTTATGCATCTCAGGCAAGACGGTGGCGGGGGGAATCACCGTTAGACAGCTGTAGTCCTCAAACCAAGCTCGGATTGACAATGGGCTGAAAACTTCCAAGGTTTTAAGTCTTTTCCTCCCCCTCCCCCCCCCCGCAACCAGAATTCCGAGGCTGCAGGAGTTTCTAAATCACATGGCTGCCCATTGAAGCTGTCCAGGAACTGGAGAGAGTTCATCACACTGGGCAGTCTTCGTGTTTAAGGACTAAGTGGAGTAACTGAAAGGCTAGTGAGAACAAGCAGCCGGATCTATGAATGTGTACCAACGAAGCCGAGGGGAAAGAAGGGGCATGTGGTCCCAAACCTGAAAAGGGATCTTCCTAGGCATGCAGAGAAAACACATATAAATGCTCAGCACCGGATGCATTAATCCTTCGCTGGTGCAGATATATATACTGTATATCCATCCACAAGTGCAGGGACAAGATAGCCAAACACCATTAGTTAAAACTCCTCTTCCAATAAATAGTTTCTTATGTATAGTTTTTTACGGTTTTCACGTTATAGCTAGCAATAGAACAGTGCAGGCTTTTATCCCCCTGTTCTATCTTATCTCTTATTCTCCCCCCCCACCCCCCTTATCTCATTTCACTGAAGCTAATGGCAAAATCTCTTTGTGTTATTGCAAAATTTAGCAGGAGTGGTTTTGGTATGCATTCAAATAACTATATATCAATGATTTTATATTTACACAATTCTAAAGAAGATAGTGCGCAAATATAAAATATATGTGATTTGAACTTTCTAGACTATTCCAGCAGTGATCAAGGCACACGAAATACTTGCACAGAACACCTCTCCCATTCTAAATGGCATTGCACTTATCAACTACAAAATAGGAATGGCAATAGTTACCTCAGCCTAAGTCTGAGCTAAATTGAATTTTTTCCAGGCACAAACAGGTACTACCACTAACAATTAAATTATCAGGCTTGGATCCAGCCTTAGAATAATAGAACTGTAGAGCTGGAAGGGACCACAAGGATCATCTAGTCCAACCCCCTGCAGTGCATGGATCTTTCACCCAATGTGAGGCTTGAACCCACAACCCTGAGATTAAGAGTCTCATGCTCTACCAACTGCTATTTGATCATACTTAAGTTGCTAACTTAATTCCTTTGATTTCAATGGGTTTACTTGGTGCATGATTAAGTCTGGATTCAACCCTCAGAAAATTTCTGGCTCACTGAATAACTATTAAATGATAGATTGAGGGGTTGCTAAATCACATGTTACTTAAAGCTGCTGTTGCCATGCACTTTACTAAAGGGCTTCAACCATAGATTTTTGCCTTCCTTGCTCTTCCCCAAATCACTGCCCTTTTCTGCCTTCATTCCCCCTCTGCTGGCAGAACAGAGATACACCCACAAAGCTTCTGTGACTAAAACATATTCCTATAACAATGTATTTATAAGAAAAGTGTCAAATACGGTAAGTGGTCCATTGATGGTCTACATCCAACTTGTTTTGGATCTAAGGCACGTGGGATAAAATCCCATCTTAGTAATGGATTGTTTATGTGGCCTGCCTTGAGTTCAGCCTCCATTCCTTCCCTATAAAAGGTGTGCAACTGTGACCTACCTTGTGGATATGGTCTGACGTTGCACAAGGCATAAACTATGAAATATTTTCCATGAATTGTTAATCGTAATATCTGCAAATGCTCAACATGAAAGTGCTGTATTAAACTTTCATCTTTTGTAGCATCTGTCAAGTAAGCCGTGGAACGAGACAGCTGTCATTGTAGAAGAAAAAGAGTAACAGAAATTAGTCAGCTAGTTAAGCAGTTGGTTTCAAACCTAGGGAGGGAATAATGGTACTGATGCTGCTTAGTAGATAACTGTGTTAAATGAATCCTTTGTTATATATTTATACAGCACTTAATATAATCAATCAAGCAATTTACAGATGAAAAATGCAAAAAATAAACACATCAAAGTAGCACACAATTAAAAAAATAATTAAAATTTCATAGTAAAATACCAATAAGCAAAAACTTATCAATATGTGATCAAAAAAATATGCAGTCAGGGTAAGCTTCTCTAAACAGAAAGGTTTTCATAGTTAATATATCCCCAATTTCCCAAGTGTGTATTTCAGATGTTAGGTGCCACAACATAGAAGACCCTCTTTTGTGATGACACAGACACCCCACTAATTTCAGTATAGTCAGCAGGACCTTCTCTGAAGATTGTAGGGATCTGCTGGCACAAAGGCACAAATCATTAGGCTGTGGCTTACGTTTTCAAATCAGATGGAAGCTGGCTTGAGGAAAAGTCCATCAATCAACAGGATTTCTCAAGAAGCTACAGGATACATGGATTGTGGCTAACATCATGTGTACTTGGCTTCAGACAGTGGATGTTGCACTGGAGCCAGAGTAAACAGTACTGTGATGTGTATGCAGCCTAAAGCTAAACTCTGCTGTTCTCCAAACACTTCAGCCTTGCCCTTTCTTTGCCATTCCTCCCAGATCCATTTTATGCCTTTAACTACAAATTCCACTATGCAGTTCACCTACCACAATACCACATGTATGCAACCCCTTCGCTTTCCCAGCAGAGGCATGAATCATGGCACCCCAGTAACACATTTCATGATAAGAATGGAGTTAGACTGATTTGTACCAGCTGAGGACTGATTCCTTATTTTATGCATAAAATATTATCTGTGAAGTTCTGTATAGAAGAGAGTCAAGTCTTCACAACACAAAGATACGGAATTAAATATTCCTTTTTTCTGCTTATTTCAACTATTTGTTAAGCAGCAAAATCTAACTCGTAGCTCCTTGTTGGAACAAATCTGCAGAAGTTTTCCCAAATTCTAAACACAAGTATTTGGTTAATGTTTTCTGTATTTATTTTTTCCCTCCAGTACTGGCAAGCAAACTTGGCAAAGACCACTTTTCTTGAAAATAAAGTTTGACTCATCGCTCAGGAAAGATATTCTCAATTCAAGGAAGTGGTATTGTTCTGTGTGCAATGCTGATTTATTCTCACTTTAAAATACCCCTGTGTTCTGAGTTTATTATTAGTTAGGCTCTGTGTGCTAAGCACAACAAACAATTTAATTCTCCTAGTATCTCAAACCACAGAACAGAACAGACCTTTGGCCTCCTTCTCCTCCTTTCTGACATTCATGCTGATTGCTCAGCTTAAAAATTAATTTGAAAACCAGAGTTCCCTAAGCCTCCCTATGGAGGTATGAACCTGTCATTTTTGTGGGGAACAGAACAAGCACCTTCCTGACACACCATTTCCCCCAGTCCTGTTGTTTTGGTTTCTGACTTAGGTCAGGAAGCGGAGTGCTAACCTGTCTCATAGCTCTACTTCCCAGCCAACAGCTGTCATCACCTGTTTATTTGTATGTCTGTTTATCTGTATACTTGTGTGCCTTTCCATTGTTTGAAAAAGCATTTGAATGGGCCAATGGAAGAGCAATACCATATTGCATACTTTTTGCTTCTGTATGGCCCCATTCTATGGACCTTCAGTGATACTACAGAACAGAGATTCTTTTCTGTTGATCTGATAGGACTCTGTCCCAAGACGAGGGTGAAATCTACCAGACAAACACTCTTGTGTTTGTACTGTCTCAGTTACACTCCAGGCAGCTCAAACAATATTTTTCTTAAATTAGGGAGGGTTTAAGTGTTTTCCCCCTCTTTACAGTGATATATTTCTTCTTCTTTTTAATTTTCAGTAGGGAAAAAACAAGTTGTTGTAAAACCTCTCTCTCAGTTATGGGCCAATTATTTAGTGGTGCACGTATAATCCACTATGGGCCAAGAAGAACAGTTTTGCATTATTCAGCACAAGCCTGCATTGTATAATGGAGTTTAATTTTGAATCTCTCTGATCCCATCCCAGTCACCAATTGCAGTTCTTAACTGACTTAAAAGGATTTATATTTGGCTGATACAGGAAAGGGCATGATTGTCCTGGTGTGTAACACATTCCAATTAGACACTGATACTTTTTAGTAAACAAACTCCTGTTAGTTCCAATAAAATATATAAATCAACTGTTGGAAATACCTTAGTCTAGCCTTTGCCAACCTGGTGCCTTTTAGATGTTTTGGACTACAACTCCCATCAGGCCCAGCTAGTACTCTTGAGGTGGCCAAGGCTAATGGAAGTTGTAGTGCAAAACTTCTGGAGGCCACAAAGCTGGTGAAGGTTGTCTTAGAATGAGTTGAGAAAGAATATCACACTAAATTCAATACCAAAACAAAACTGGGACTTCTGTGAACAAGTGGTTTTGAACTGGTGATGCCCTTTTTGTAATAGTGTCCTAGCAATCTGCAAGAGCAAAAGTAATACAATGCTATCAAAGTGATGCTGCAGACCATAAAAGCTGTTCTTCTGCCCAGTTATTCTTCCTTTCCCCCTAATTTACCAGCTTTAATCTCTATCACTAATTTCTTCTCACTATAGTCATGTTTTTCTCCCCCCCCCCCAACATGCTGCTGCCTCCTGACATCTTTACATGGACACCTGCTATCTGCATAATCAGGCTTCCATATAAGCTCTCCATATGTTGCACTTTCCTTTTCTAAAGTTCCCACATGGCAGGAAGCTAAAAAGAAGGAAGCAAGGCATCTAAGAATGCGATTCAAAATGTGGGGGAATGATGGCACAGGGTGGCCCAGCATCAACACTTCACCTGCATGTCTGCAAATATTAGGAGCATAGGGGCACAAGCAACTTGTCCTTGGCTACGCTCTGTCAGGTATAAGAAAATGGCAGCTTGAGCTGCAAGAAAATGGTAGGGTATACATCCCCTTACTTAAAATCTTCCCCTTGAATCTTTATTTGATTCACTATTCCTTTGTCTTTGTCTGCACATCCCTACAGCTCACACTCTGGATTTACCTTGTAGCAATTTCCATAGAAACTGTGATTTCTATAGCTTTTTGAGACGTGAGGCAGCATTCAACAAATAGTTGCTGCTAAATTGCTTCATTATATTTGCTAAAGGCCAGCATGTCACAAAAAGCACCATTTAATACTGCAGTGACTTCATATTGTTCAGTCAGTTTCTTTAAGACTGCCATACACTATAAAAGCTTTCCTCTGCTAGCACTCCACATTGGAATCTCTCTTTCATCACTAGCACATTCACAACAAATTGCTGCTGAAGCACTTACGGTACTTACTTTGCCTCATGACAAATATTTTTGTTCTTGGCTGAATCTAGTCAATTTATAGTCTGAAGCCTTTCCTTTCCATAAGGCTGAGGAAAGTGGGTACAATCTGTCTGCATGTGTTCATGTGTGCCTGCATGTCTTTTTCCTTCAGGGTTCTTAACATGCTGCTGAGGTAATGAGTCGTAGACGTGCTTCTGAATAAGGACAGCTTAATGCTGACTACCATGTACTGGTGCAATCCAGGGCTCAGTGGTAGCCATTCTGAGAGCATGGATAGCATCCTTCTCCTGGCAGAGATGCACAGCCTGATTATATTTTCAGAATAGCTGCCGCTGTTACGGAGGGCGCAGAAAGCTTTCAAATTTAGATTATCTATTTTAACACCACAATATACAGGATAGGGTTGTAAGTGTTCAATCTCTGCTCCTATCTATCATCAACATATCTGGTTTTGTTATACTTGTATTGATAAGGCACCATCAATGTACACTGCTCTTTACAGACCTATTAACAGTAGGTCCTGCCTCCAGAATATTGCAGTCTAAATATAAGCAATATAGGGTATGATGGGAAACAGCAGAGAAAGAGAAGAGCGGGAGGGATGTGTTGGAATAATAAGGTATAAACTTGAGCAAATGTAGCCCACTATGCATTCTTGGACTTCATTTAATTTAGGGGTGAGTCCTACTGTGCCCAATTCAAATGGGAAACTGCAAAGATATGCATTGGGGGCACTATGTATGACAATTACATTGGCAAATGATGAGGAATTAAGAAAACTCATCTGTAACATACCTAGCATAGGTTTTGCATGATGGCCAAAAATATCCTTAGGAAGTGACTCATACCCGGTCTTGCCTCTGTTGTACTTTGTTCTACATAACAGCTTTGTATGATGCCATTACATTGCACCTAACAATTATGGCTTCAGCTTGCACTTTTCTGATGCGCTGAGGCAACTAGCAATGCTAATGCACAACAAGAGATTCTGCAGCATTGGTACAGCTTGAGCCCAACTTGTTAACATTCACCATAAAAAACTGCTGGAAATTCTGACTACGGTGTTCACTATGCAAAGCCCATCTGTACTGTGTGGGTACTGGGTTACAGATAAAAATAAAAACAAGAGTCAGACTAACAGATGTATTGCTGCATAAATTTACATTGACTAGACTTCCTCCTCACCAGAGACATGAAAGGTTACTTATATAGATATAAATAGATATACTGTAGATATACAGATACACACACACCATAGCTGTCAAGTGTCCCTTATTTGAAGGGACAGTCCCTTATTCCAGCGCCATGTCCCGCTGCTGTCCCTTATTGATGGATGTCCCTTAAATGTCCCTTAAATGATGTCCCTTAAATTTCAAAGGAAGCAGCTCCTCTCCCTCCCTCCCTGCCAGCCAGGGAGGAGGGAGGCTCCAACTGTGTTGCTTGGCTGTGTTGCTCACCCAATAAGAAGTCTAAGAAAGACTGGGGGGTGGCGCTTGCATGCCTTGTGTGTGGCTAGTTAATGCAAGCTGAGGAGGGTTTTGAATGCTGGACGCCATTTTGTTGTACGTGCTGCTGCAAACTTTGCAGTGCAAAGCCAGGCCGGGGAGCCATCTTAAGTTGAGGCTGCATAGGCCTTGTGGTGCATGCGATTCAGATTCTATTCAGTTGAAGCTCTGGTTACAAAGTTGGTTGGACAGTGTTCTCGAAGCTACCAGCATGAGTTTGACCAGACTGCAGGAGGACAGGAAGACTGGAGTGCGTGGAACAGGTGAGGCTGCAGGTCCCTTATTTTGGCTGCTGGTCCCTTATTTTCAAGGCTGCTGGTCCCTTATTTTCAAATCTGTAAGTTGACAGCTATGACACACACACACACACACACACGGCTAAAGAACCGAGGAGACGAGTGTAACTAATGGGGCCAAACAGTCCTGAAATTCAAGAGTCTGGAGCATTTATGCGCAGAGGCAAAACAACAAAATGACCAATGCACAGCAGTAGACCCAGGTAATAGTACACTTTGTTTTTCCTGTCTGCGGTTTGCTAAGTGAATATCTATACAGAGTCCCAATTAAAACCAAACTGAATATACTCAAGTTGGACTTTCTGTTACTGTTGAAGTGTGGTTCAAACAAAAGATAACATTGAAGCTCCATTGGCGATCCCGACAGCTTTTTCTTTCTTAAAGAGTAGCCATGGGATCCCCAGTTTGGATCAGGGATTCAAATATTCCCTCCCTGAAGCTATTAGCCACAGAATAGGAAAATCTTCCCCACACCATGGCTGACTGCAGCTTCAGGAGGGGGGCAATAAACATTATTTGCACAGGGGCAAAGAACTAAACTCCCATTCTGGTATCTAAATGTTCTTGAACCACAATCTAACAGACAGCTAGTTAATTTTATCCAGCATAGAGATGAACTGATAAGAAAAGTTTGTCCAGTTAAAAGTACAAGGAGCCCTCTCACAAAACAGGGTTGCGATCTTGAAATACAGTTTGCAGGTTCAAACCCAATGAGCCAAGATGACTGAAATAAGAAAGGGTGGGAGGTAACCCTCCAATACCAATCATTCATTCCAGGGACTGTGAATGCATCAGCCAATGCATACCTCTCCCTTTTTTTGTATGTTTAATCTTTATTTGGATGGGGGTGTATTCTTACTTTTCATTTGACCTCCCCACCACCACCACCACTTGCCAGTTTCATAATATGTTTCGATCAAAATAAATATATAGCGGGGCATGCCAGGTCAAACTTAGCAAGCCAAGAAGGTGAACTTGAAGAATTCCATGACTCGCTTGGAGAAATTCACAAGAGGCAAACCTTTGAGGAGCAAACAAGCTCCGAGGCACCGTGGTGGGTATAGGCCTCAGATTATTAGAAAAGCATTTCACCCAACAGCCCCATGAAAACACTCTGCAACTTCCCTGCGAATTAATCTCAAAGACGTGAAAAAAGAAGAATGCGCTTGGCTAACTTCGGGTCACTTTAATTATTATTTTTTTTTTATCATTCTCATTCCCCTCAGCGAATCCCGGCTTTCCCTCGCCGCCAGCCGCGCGCACGTGGAGGCTCCGTCGTCTGTGCGGCGGGGCCCAAAGGGCGGCGCGCGTTCGGCCTCTCCTTTATAAGAGGGGAGAAGGGGAAGGAGGCGGACGTGCTGCTCCTCTCTGCTTCGGCCGTTTGCCCCGAGGGCGATGCCTAACCGCAAAGGCGCGCGCAACGCTTATTATTTCTTCGTGCTGGAGAAGCTCCCGGAGCTGAAGCGGCGGGGCCTGGCCGTGACGGGCGTGCGGGATGCTATCCCGTTCTGTTCCGACGACTGGGCGGTGAGCGGGGCGAGGCGAGGCGGGCCTCCTCTCTCTCGCCCTTCTTGGTCGGCGTGGGGAGCCGTGTTAGACCCTCCATGGAGTTGGATAACGTGTTTTTGATTCTCAAGGAGGGAGGGGGACAAGTTGTCGATAGTGGTTACGTATCAGCTGTTTGGGGAATTTAAACCCCCCATACACACCCCAGCTGAAGAATGAATGCTGTAAAATACTTTAAAAAACCAAATGTGAGGTCAACGTTTTCATTAATTAGACCCTTTTTACCTCACTTTTCCTATCAAAGACTCATGGTGGCTTAGAATGAGCAACTTAAAAAAAAAGTTTGATGCTGCCTTCAGTGGAGCCTTTAACTGCTATTGTAGTGATGGAGAGTGACTGGCTACCCTACCACTTAGGTTTGGTTTCAGCCCTCTTTTTAAAAAATGTCTGTTTGTAAAGAAATGGTGGACTCTTGTAAGGTGCATTCCCTAAATGGGTCTTTTTTCCACTGCTAGTCATATGCACAAAGAGGCATCTGCCAAGGTTTGAAAAAGTAGTCATGCCATGCTATTCGCAATAATCCAACAGGTGAAAGATTGGAGAAACTAGAAAGATGACTAAAGTCAGTGCATAGAAATATACAGACTGCAGGTTGCAGATATACAGGTTGCAGACTTCCCAAATCCTTTGAATTCTTGGTATGTGAACAGGGTTTACACCCTTTAGGTACAACAGTCTTGCTTCAGGTTATGCTACAAGCACCCTGGGATATATCCAACTAAGTTGTACTCAGATTAGACCGTTTGGAATCAATGGATTGACATTTCTTAACTGTTGTCCAAGTCTGCTCTGAGTACTGTATGGCTAATATCAGATACCACTCATTTACTGGTGTGTGAACCACATTGAATTCTGTAGGCTAGGGCTTTCCTCTAGACAAGCTTGCAAAGTTCTGAGTGGTGGGAAAGTTGCTGAGCACAATCAACCCAAAGTTAATCACTTTTTAAAGTTAGGCTGACTTCTATGAGAGTTAAGATTGTTCTTAACTTTCCCAGTGGAATTACTGAGGCTTAAAAGCCTTAACTGACTGCATCGTGTTCAGTATCTTGGTGTTGTAGTGATGGGGGGAATTGCTTTAATTATGGTAGAGAAATAATGGCAAGCCCTTATGTTACACTGGTTTTACTTCAAGATGCTGACTGAGGAACAAAAAGAAAAGTATGCAGAAATGGCTCGTCAACGGAAAGCTAAGAAATCAGAAGTAGCAACAAAAGAGGTGAATGAATGAATCTGGAATAGGGAAAATCAGTTTTATCTTTTCAGAGGCAAGTTAGTAATTATATAATTATAGTATAAATTGGAAGAAAATCCCATTATAGTCTGTGGGAACAAAAGAAAAGTAACTTTGATGTGTTTGAAAGAAGGTTCTGAGTGAGCTGGTCAGTCACAGGTGTTGTATAGTTGTGATTATAATGAGCCCTTCCAAACAAGCCAGGTAGGTTTTTATGTTGCAGCTGTTCCTGAAATAGGAGGGTTGAATCCTTTGACAAAGTTCACATCCACACTATATATTTGAGACACGTGAGTTCCACCAAGGAATCCTGAAAATTGTAGCTCTGTGAGGAGTAAAGTACAGTTCCCAGGATTCTTTGGTGGAAATAAATGTGTGGTGTGGATGTGACCTAATAAGCAAACGTAACAATAGAATGCAGGGCTCAACGTTTATAATTCAAAAACGTGAGCCTTAAAACTGGTGATTGTGTTGTATGTTACTTTTTCTTCCTTCTTGTAAAAATAGATGGGAAGTCTGAATTGTAAACTTTCTAGTCTTGAAAACTGTGAGTTAATATTTAAATAAGATATATCACAGTGTAACTGAGTTTAAACTATAGATAATCCACAAGAAGGTTGTTTTTAGCATATGGTGGAGTCCAGTGATGCCTATTTGTTTGCACAACTGAAATCTGCTTGTGAAATAGGACTTCCACTTGTTCTTCTTCCCAGTCCCCACAGAACCTGCTCTGGAAAGGTCCAAAATCCAGAGCAGATTTGCACTACACTAACTCCCACCCATAGGTTACAATGGAAGGTCTATAGGTGAGGTCAGTTCTTTTTATCTAAAAAAAAAAATGTTTAGGGATACTCTCATTTTCACTCAAGAAAATGACCATTTTATAGTTCAAATTGAGGAAAATAAATACAGTCATACCTTGGGTTAAAGACGCTTCCAGTTAATCTTTTCAGATTGCGTCCTGCGGCGACCCGGAAGTAACAGAACGGGTTACTTCCGGGTTTCACCACATGAACAGACGCTCAGAATGACATCACACGCAATCGCGGCACGCACAGACGCAGGTTGCATTCTGCTCATGATGCGAACAGGGCTCCAGAACGGATCCCGTTCACATCCAGAGGTACCACTGTACAGTAAATGGACAGAAGTACAAAGATTCACAGAATATTTAGAGGTCTGCGTCCCCCCCAGCAAAAAAAGTCCTGGGTGAGGTTTCATTCCATCCTACTTGAGAATATATAAGGTTGCTGCTAGGATTGTGTCAAGGTGCCATTTTTGTGAGGGGCAAACTTCATTAGTATTCCATTGTGGTAATTTGGACCCCTGCCGCTGGTGTGGCTGCACATCACCTATGTGAAAGTGGGAGTTCATACAGATGTCACCTCGGTGTAAGCCCAGTACAGTGATACCTCAGGTTAAGTACTTAATTCGTTCTGGAGGTCCGTTCTTAACCTGAAACTGTTCTTAACCTGCAGCACCACTTTAGCTAATGGGGCCTCCTGCTGCTGCCACGCCACCAGAGCCCGATTTCTGTTCTTATCCTGAAGCAAAGTTCTTAACCTGGAGCACTTTTTCTGGGTTACCGGAGTCTGTAACCTGAAGCGTATGTAACCCGAGGTACCACTGTAATAAGGTGACTTCATGGCAGGGGGGTGTATGTTATGTGATTGGCTCATAGTTTGCAGGTTCTACAGGGCCAGGAGAGGAAAAGATTAGTCTTAGCAGTTTTAATTGGATACTACTGTAGTTGCTTTCCCTTCATTCATATATGATTAACTGATGGATTGTCTACACTTTTCATAGCCGCCCAGCCAAGTCCCACCACCTCTTCCCACATTTCCTTCCTCACAAACTGAGAAGAGAGTTTCTGCTGCAAACCTCATTGGTCCACCTGGGAAGAGTGATAAAGGTAAATGATAGTTATATTAGTTCACCTGATCTGCCCAACCGCAATGTGTTCATTGTGACTGGAGACTGTGCTAGCAGGTCTGCTTTTTGTTGCTTCCAGGAAAGTGAGTGGTAATTGTGGGGGCAAGATATAAGTTGACTACTTATCTCAAGAACCGCCTGTTTCCATGTGAACCTACTTGGATCCTGAGATCATCTTCTAAGGTCCTTCTTTGTCTGTCCTCTCCATAAGTCCGGAAGGTGGCAACACAAGTGCAAGCCTTTTCTGCAGTGGCTCCCTGTTTATGGAATGCTCTCACCAGGGTTGTTCAGCTGGCACCTTTATACACCTTTAGGCGTCAGGCAAAAATGTTCCTCTTCAACCATGCCATTGGCTAATCAATATCCGATACCCTTTTAAATGTGGTGGGGGTTTGGGGGGGATTATTGGTTTGTCATTGTTCTTATTTTTATTATGTATTTTGTGTTTTTTATATTGTAATTTTATGTTGTGAACTGCTCAGATCTATGAATAAAGGGTGGTATACAGATTCAGTTTTTACTTTTGTAATTAATATTATAATCAGGAGTGTGGAAGTGGGGGAATTGGTCACCAGCTCAGGGGAGGCAAGAATGAATTATAATTATTATCCTTATTATTTATATGCCACCCATGTGACTGGGTTACCTCAGCCATTCTGGGTGGCTTCCAACAAATTATAAAACCACAGGAAAACATACATTAAAAACTTCCCTATACAGGGCGGCCTTCAGATGTCTTCTAGTTGTCAGGTATTTGTTTATTTCCTTGACATCTGATGGGAGGGTGTTCCATAGGGCGGGTGCCACTACTGAGAAGGCCATCTGCCTGGTTCCCTGTAACCTCACTTCTCACAGTGAGGGAACCGCCAGAAGGTCCTCAGCACTGGACCTCAGTGTCCAGGCTGAACGATGGGGGCGGAAACATACCTTCAGGTATACAGGACCAAAGCCTGAGTGCAGGACAGAGTTCAAATAAGGAGGAGGTGAAAGTACTGAACCTGGTGGAATAGAGGCAGTGGGTGGTAGAGCATTGAGAGTGGGGACTCCAAATAAGAAACTAAAGCTGCTACAGGATTTGATGTTGAAATAAGAAGTTATTGAAGCCCAATGTAATCCTTAAGAGTTGTTGTCTACATGCCTTGATCAAAAAGTTCATTGGAACATTCAGGAGCAGCATTTTGTGTCCATGACATTTTGGTCCTTCTGATGCTTATGGTACAAGCAATTTGCTTTGGTCTGATGGTTATGGTGACCCATGAAGTATCTAGTGGAGCTCTTAACATGGGCAGGTAGTTCTAGTTCTCCCAGATATTCCAACTGCTTATGCATTGTTTTTTAGTGACACTCAACTGCAGCATATTTGTGACAAGGCTCATCATTTTACAAGTAATGTTGCAGTTACTGGCACATGGCGCTGCTTTTAAATCATCCGTTCTTCCCTCTCCAAATGTATAAAACATCCAAAATCTCCTGGTGACTTCTCTGGTAATGCCTGAATGGCTGTCTGCAAGGCACTTTTTTGGTAGTGATTTGTAAGCCACTTTGGAGGATTTCTTTGACTGCAGAGCAGGCTAAAACATCATTCAGTAACTAAGGGAGTAGCTGAAAGTTTGCTAAGCAGGTTTAGAAGGATTCACTGCCTGTGACTAGCCACCAGTTGATATGTAAAGATGGTATGATTTTGGGTTTTTTGTACTTTTGCAAACTTAGGCTTTCCTCAGCCTGTGATACTTCCCCTAGTGCATTGGTGGTATAATGTGGGATGCGTAGGGATCCATACAGAAGAAATTTAACAGAATGAGTTTTCTAGTGTTACATAGGATTCACTGAAACATTTAAAGCAATAGATCTAAGATGACACTTTCCAATTCTCTTGGTGTCAGCAGTGGCTTTGTGAGTTCTGAGGTTGCATCTCAACATCCCAGACAAGTTTCTGTGATGTTTTTAGGCTCAACTCAGGGAAAATGTAGTCTCTGATCTACCAGAAAACTATCTTTTGAGATGGCCTCCATTGTTACTCAACTGCCAAAAAACATGCGTAATTAAACAGATAATGTCTACTACTTTGTGGGGAGTGGACCACTATTGACCACTTTTTCAGTGTAGACACTGTCTTATCTGAGGTTTCTTAACCACTTTTGTATTATAAAGAATGATATTAGCCTTGGTTTTATGATCTGAGATTGCTGCATCGTTATAAGCAGACTGTTTTGGCTGTAGCAGGTTGGGGATGGAACACCACATGACAATTCAAAACTTGGCTACATTACCTCTTTAAATCCCGTTTCCCCTCTCAAGGACACTAGTTTGCTACAAGTTGCTGGGAATTATAACTCTGTGAGAGATAAACTACAGTGCCCAGAATTCTTTGAGAGGGGAAATGTGCTTCAGAGTTATAATGTGCATGCAGTCCGGTTGAGGGCTGCTTGGAAATTGGAGTTGCAGGTAAGTGACTTAGTTTCATGATTTTTTTTCAGTGCTACAGGTATACATTTTACTCCAACTATTTTACTTTTTTGTTATAGTAATAATAAAAAACAAATACTCTCCACTAATATTCTTAATACAAAATCTTGTTTCAGTTGTACTTGAAACCACATTCTTCTACCTGAATATCTTCAGCCATGGAGTTCTACCCTCTCATTGCAAACAACGTTTCCTTCCTTGCGAAATTGGATGTGTGAAGTATTCACTAAAAGATGGCATAATTGCAGAGTTTCATCATTTTTTAGATCCTGGTGAGCTTTTGGAATCAGAAGAGATGAAATTTGTCTTTCATCTGTGCGGGGGTGGGGGTAGGGAGAAGATATGCAGGATTCTGTTTGTCCAGGACAGTTAATTTGTATGCATTCTTGCACTATGAAAAAATAAAAATGGCTTCATATAGTGGACAAAACCACATTGACAGCATTACTTAATGAAGAAATGAAACTTAACTGGAAACATTCCTTGTGTCAGCAGAAGACATGAATTGTCCAAATCAATATGTTCGTATGTTGTGCATTTTTAATCTCTGTGTTACGAAAGATACATTATAAAGAAATAAAATTGTACTTCTAGACAAGTATTTGGACACTGATTTACTATTCTGTAGGAAAGCAGAAAATGGTGTATTATAACCATGAAATCCTACAGACAGCTTGGTATTGCATAATAAAGCCTGAGTTCTTTTTGGTTTTTTGCAGGAGAGGTGCCAAGGGGATTTCGCTTTCATTGCCAGACAGCAAGTAGGTATTGGGCAAGAGATGTGGAACCTTTGGATTGGCAGCATTTTTTTATGACCCGCATATAGACTTCCAATTATTTTTTAATTATTTTAAAGAACAGTTCTTATGCCAGATATCCTATGGCATTTTATTTGTATCTTGTTTATTATTATTTATACAAAATATTTTTATATCACACTCATAAAATATCAGAGCAATTTACAACAGTATAAAAACACAAACTATTAAAAGAAGGACAAAGCAATCTTTAAAAGGACTGGCTACTCAATAAAAAATTTAAAGATTGTATGGGCCTGTTTCCGTAACAAAGCTTAGTATGTCTTCCCAAGTAACATGTTGAAGTTATGCTCTTAACCAGACTCATATTCATGCATTCATTTAGGTTTCAGTCATTCACTTGTGTTTCCAAATAATAAGGGTTAGACATTGCATACACCACCTTGCCCAAATCTTTGGGGATGGAAGATGAAATTAAAGTATCTGGACTGCAGTGTTAGTGGTGTTTGCTGTCTGGTTTGCCCTAATCTCTGGTTCAGTAATATTTTACACAGAGTAGTTCAATTCTTGAATATTAGGCAGTATATTAGCTGCCTTGGGACTGCTGGTGAATGGCAGGCATGTAAATAAATAGGATCCTTGGGTAATCATTTACCTTTCTAGACAGCTAGTGAAGTTCAACCATTGACAGGCCTTGACTGACCTGCACTTGGTTCAACCAGACATCTTGGGTCTAACAATCTTCCTTTACATTGGTGATAAACCCTATCTCACAGGGTTGTTGCAATGATAAAATGCTTGGGAAAAAACCAGACAAGTTCTTGAATGATATATTTAGGTGTTTTTAGTGAAACTGATATATTAATCCTGCGAACTGTAACTAAAGTTAAAAGTACAAATGCGTGTGAAATAAGGTGTTTCTTCTGAAAAGCCCTGACAAGGCACTTTGATTTTCTCTTAGGTGATGCTACACATAGGATTCCCCTATCTGGCTTTGAGCTTGTAACTGCAAATCATTCTGTTGTGTTACGTGAGCTATACTCATTTATTCAGCCACGGTGGGGCGCCTGGCCACCTGTGTATTGTAAGGTATAATGTAACATTTTTAGACTTTAATGGCTCTCTGCTTTTCAGAAGAGGTCAGAACAAAAATCTCTACCCACATGCTTCAGTTAGCCTTTTCCCTGGTTAGCTGTGGTGTGTGTGTGTATAAAAATATAGGTGACCTCACCTCAAGTAAGGTTGGAGTACACAGATGTTTTAACTTTTAAGCTGTCCATTGACAATCTCTATAGCATAAGGGCTTCACATAAAGATTTCCAGTTTTGAGGCCTTTCCTTAAGGATATTTCGTTGGTACAAAGTGGTGTCTACATTCAACCTAAAAGAGCGTATAGTTGTATTCCTGAATTGTTATTCTCCAAGGCAGACCAAATACCTATGGAGAGTTCTTTTGGCTTTGGTCAGATTATGTATCAAACAGCTGTAGACAGGAAAAATTTCTGTTTCGGTGTTGGAGCAGATACCCTTATCAATAATAAGTTTTCTCACATATCAGGAAACCTTAGCCATAGAGGTCTTATAATAAGAATACGTAGTCTAGATTTATTAATTCTGTTTATTTGATTGTATAATGTATACTTAAAACTTCTTTTGCAGTCTTCGGACCAATTTAGGGTCAACTGGTGCCTGCAGCATATGGCTAGAGAAGTGGGTAAGAAAATTTTCCTTTATAACAGGAAATAAGTTAATATTCAGATACAGTCTCTGCTGCTCCTAAAACTTACTTTTTTATAATAGGCACAGTTAATAATCTGGAGAGTCTCTGTGTGGAAGATCTTGTTGTGGAGCTGTATTATCAGAAGCTTCAAAAGGAGCCTTCTAAGGCATGGGTGTGTAACTCCCTGGATGCCTCCATGTGGGATTACTCCAGCAATACTAGGTATAATATATAGCTCTAAAAATCATAATAACTGCTGTACCTACCTGAACCACAGTGACTTGACTACTATGAGATGAGAGTCTGTTATGACCAGGAAAAAATGTGATTGACAGATTCTCCATAGTTCTACATTACACAAAACTATGGCTTAGTGTCTGGGGCAACCCAGTCAGATGGGTGGGGTACAAATAAATTATGGTGCTATAAGCGTGCATGTTGAATGCTAATCTAAAGCCTTGCACTCATTTCAGAAAAGAGTTTGAGACATTAAACTAAGGTTTAGACTCATTGAAATTGACGAATATGCTTGTGTTTGGTTCATTAATTTCAATAGGACTGCTCTTGAGTAAAATTTGGTTGAAAACACCCATAGAGCTATTTTGTAGTTTTTAAAAAATATTTAGTAGTTTTTAAAGTCTAAACAGCCAGATTTTTCTACAATGAAGGTGGGTATCATTGAATAAGGTATTTGCTTCTATAGGCCAAGCAGGATTATGCGAGTTTCAACTGGCACCCTGTGTGGGATAGTGCCTCTACACATTCTAGTCCTACCTAGCTTTGAGCAGCCGGCCTCAGAGTTCTACCAAATGTTTCACTTTGCCTATTTCAATTCTCTCTTGCCATGTAAGAAAAAGCTATTGAACATTCTTCACTACTCTCTTCCACAAACCCCCTGGATTGTCCTCTTAAAGCACTTTATACTGTGATAGAGGGTTGGGAAAATTAATGTTTCTGTCTTGAAGAAGTTTCTAATGCCAAACAGTGGAGTAGATGAAAAAAAAGGTAAGTTGTTTGTCTAGAACTTGAAAATGTCTTACTGTTGAAGCATATACAGTGGTACCTCGGGTTACATACGCTTCAGGTTACAGACTCCGCTAACCCAGAAATAGTACCTCGGGTTAAGAACTTTGCTTCAGGATGAGAACAGAAATTGTGCTCCGGCAGCGCAGCAGGAGGCCCCATTAGCTAAAGTGGTGCTTCAGGTTAAGAACAATTTCAGGTTAACTACGGACCTCCGGAATGAATTAAGTACTTAACCCGAGGTACCACTGTATTTGAAACTCGACATTCATGATGAAAGTATTATTTCTACTTAGGTGCAAGTGGCATGAAGAAAACGATGTAGTGTTCTGTGCTCTTGCTACTTGCAAGAAAATTGCGTGAGTATGAAAATACAGTGAATATCTTAGAATGTTTTTGCATCTTAAAACGATTTTGGACATTAGTTTCATATCCAATGTCTGGGGTCATCTTGTCTCTCTTTCAAGTATAACCTGTTGGTTCTTTTGGCTATTCTTTAGTAAGCATTTTGTCGGCTGCATTTGAATGAAGGAGCAACTGATGTGATTTTGTGGCACTTCTGCTATTATAGGAAGAAAGGAATTTTAAAGATCCAAATAAAATAAAATCTATTTCTTTCTGATTAAGTTTTCCAAGTGTCACTTACTAGACAGGTCAGTTGGGAAAAACTTCAGGTTTGCATTGCCACCAAAAAGGTCTCTGAATTTTGGGTATCTTTCATGAGGAAGAATTTTTTTACCTTGCATTTGCAAACTTTGTTGTGGTTTATTTATTTTGGAGGAGGATGTGCCACACATATGCAGAGACCAGTTTTAACACACACACACACACACACACACACACACACACACACCTGATTCATCCAAACTGGTTGCCCGAGGCCTTAACTAGAAGGGGCTTGAGAAGCAGCAACTTGTCTCTCAGACAACTCAAAAGATCTTCCCCTTTCTGCTGTCTCTGATAGGCTGATACCTGCAGTTTAATAACCTGGGCCTGCAAGTAGTTCTTTGGGAGGTTATAGTCTCTGCTCATGGCAGAGGGGTTCTTCAGGTCCCAGTTTCTGTAGGCTCCTGCTGCTATTCTCTTGGAAGAAGTTGCTAAAAGGAACGGCTTTTTATTGCCTCCTGGCTGATTTTCCTTCTTTAGCTCACCCAAATTGGTTGCACCCCCACAGTTCAACCACTGCCTCCTATCACAAATTATGTTCCTGTATCCATGGTCTTGGTGCAGTATATTGCCAGTAGTATGTAGTTTTAAAATTTCTGTTCAGCTTGTGGAAATGATAGCACATCTTCATGTTGGTGTTTTCCTGTCCAATATAGATACTGTATCAGCAATTCTTTAGCCAATATGTATTGTGTCCAGCTGACTGCATCTCACTTACCCTTGTGTGAGAAGGACTCCCAAAACGCAGCAAATCCTAAAATGGTGGTTCTGGATGCTGGACGTTTCCAGGTCAGCCTTGTTCATTTAACAGATTTGTTCTTCTATATCTTATCAGTAACATTTCTGGAGTGTACTTGGAAATGTAGGGTGAAATCATGATATATGCTCAAAAATAATCATATAATTATTATTTTACAAACACTTTTATTTGACCAATATTTTAATTTTTTTTAATATTGTTTAATTATGTGCAGAATATTAATACATCCATCAATAGGCACATTAGGCAGATATTCCTTATGCGCTATATCCATCTTTTCTTTGTATACAAGGGTGTCCTGAAAACCTGGTGAATGAGTCAGTGAAAGACTATCTCTGAATGTGTGGGTGATCTTGTCTTTTTTGCATTACAGAAAATGAGGGCTGCTGAGCGCACTGGAAATGAAAGGTACTTCCAATCTCTTAATGAGGAACGAGGTGCTGCCTCTTGTACTGGTGAGTGATTATCTATGTTGGAAAATTAAACATAATGAAAATGAGTTGCTGTTAGAATCATTACTAGTGTTTCACACCTGTATTTCTGTCAAAGAAAATGTGCCTGTATACTGATAAGTCCCAACACATTCTTTGCTGATTCTTTTCTGGAGTTTTGAGTGTTCCTGCTCACTGTAGTCTACCACTAAAATATCTGCATAAAGGAAATGTAATGAAGCTTGTATGTTTAAACAGTCACAGAATTTCTCTGCAGTGATACTGGCTAAAATTTTAAGAAGGCATTCTCCTTGAGTGAGTTGCTCCTCCACTCAAGTTATAACTTACTTTTATCATTTATATACTGTCCTTTGTAGACCTCATGTGAGCCAGTGTGGTGTAGTGGTTAAGAGCGGTGGTCTCGTAATCTGGGGAACCGGGTTCGCGTCTCCGCTCCTCCACATGCAGCTGCTGGGTGACCTTGGGCCAGTCACACTTCTTTGAAGTCTCTCGGCCCTACTCACCTCACAGAGTGTTTGTTGTGGGGGAGGAAGGGAAAGGAGAATGTTAGCCGCTTTGAGACTCCTTAAAAGGGAGTGAAAGGCGGGATATCAAATCCAAACTCCTCCTCCTTCTTCTTCTTCTTCATGGCAGGTTCTGCATTGATTTTATTTAGTTGAATATTAAAATCAGTTAAACCATCAAGTTATTTACCTTCCTTGATAACAAGCATATTATGCATAAAGGGCCTGACAAAAGTTGGCATCTAAAACTGTAGGTTTGGCACCAAATGAATTTCCAAGGGAAGTGAATTTCAAAACTGGGGTGTTAAAACTGAGAAGTCTTGCTGTCAAGATACTAGGAGATCTCAAGTTACAGAATTGAGGAGGAAGATTGTCTTTTGGGTAACTTTGTCCTAGGCCTTAAAATGCTTAGTCTGTGAAGACTAAGACCTTGAATTTGACTCAGTAGCTAATGCCAATGTTTAAAGACTGGTGTTACATGGTCCCAAGACCTTGTTGATCACCACAGCAGTTGCAGCTTCAAAACTTTCTTCCTTCAAACTCATCAGTAGAGAAGCAAGGCTCTTTCTACCCCCATATTCACCCACCCCCAATTTTACCTGTTTAATTCTATAGTCTGTGCCATCTGGATACTTGTTGAATGCCATAGTGTACATTAAGTGCTCGACTTGTGGCAGCAAACTTCCTCCATTACGACCAACCACCATGTCATCCTGTGGTCACAACTGCTGTCTTTTCTTCCTAAAGCAAGGAGCATAAAGTAGACAACTGTTCCCATTGCCAGAGGCATGTGAGATGAGCATTCCAAAACAGGTCCACAAGTGCCAGCTAAGCAGTTGCACTCAATATCAGCACCCATTTCTGTTACAGATCTCTCTGCGGTGCTGCACCTTCAAGACATGGTTGCTTGTACTAGGGCAATCTCCTTTAGCCACATGAAAACACCCACCTTGGTATCAATCTTGGCTTTAGTACCGAAGATGGAGATTACTAGATGTGGATCACTGTGCCAAGGCTATTTTGATAAAATAAAATGCGGCTCTTGCTATTTTATCACTTCTCCATGATTATAAAGGCCTCAGTTGAAAGCAAGAAACTGTAGGCTTTGCACGGAAGGTAGAGCAAAACCTTGTGATTCCACTTCCCTTACCAGTTTTATAGAAGCTACTTAAACTGTTGTGACTCTCCTGTGAACTTATTTTTTGAAATTTATGATATAAAATATCTAGCTGTTGGTGTTGAGTGTAAATTAGGATTTAATTATCATGGCTTCTGTGTTATATATTGACACATGCATTGTTTGCTTAGGTCAGCATCCTTCAGGAGTGAAAACAACAGGTGAAACAACTACTAGGCGTGGAAGAGGAATTGCCCGATTTCTGGAGAGTGTCTCAAAGCAGTCCAGCAGTTAGACATTTGCAGTACAGTGCCTCCCATTCAGAACAGCTCTGCATATAATGATTCCCACCATCTTTGGGAATATAAATACTTTATATTTCCTTGGTCTGTCATGTGTTAAATATTATCTTTGTTTAATGAAAAAAGCCATTCTAATCCCATTGCAAGGGGTAAAATTTAAGTTTTTAAGATAACAAATGTTATTGTGAGTTGTGAAATATTATTTTTTTATGTAGGAATTATTAGGAGAAACTTGAAATAATGAAGTCAGTAGGATAAGAGATTAGATAATGAAACCAGAAAGGCAACTTTGTGAAATGATGTCTGGATTTTTAAGTTCTGTTGTGCCTTTTCTTTAGAGCAAAGCCTACTGGTACCTTACTGAAGTAAACCTTTGCTAAGGAACCAGTTGCAATTATGTTTTTTTAATTCTAGGATTTGTTATTCTAGGATTTGGTATGGTACCAATTATATATTGTTTTTGTCAGAGGGGCAAGGTTTTGGTATAAAGCCCTTAAATTAGCCAACAATAGAAGCAACATACATTTTTTGGTAAAACTTGCAATCAGGTAATATCTCCCTCACAAAAGAAAAAAACCTATGAAGTTCTATAAAGGTACTACAATGATGTACTTTAAAAGTTGTTTTAAAACCATCTTTTTCCTTTCTTTTGTGTTATACATACATTCAGTCATTTAGTACAGAAAGCTTCTAAATCTTAACCATGATAGACCAGCTTGTGTGTTTAATTAAACACTTCTTTCCAATTTGATTTGGCATGTTCTGTCTGTTTGTGGTTCCGAATGTAGTATGGTATTGTCAAGTGCAGAAAAGGAAAACTCAAATGCTAAAGTTATTTAAACTGAGATGAAAACAAATTTTAGATTGCATTGTTTGAAGGACAGTCATGCACTGAAGAAACATGTAACTAGAATATAGATCTGTAAAAGTAACTTAGGGGAAATTAGATGTATGAAATGCATCCTTGCTTCCTTGCTGTGATAAGGAATATGCTATTGGTCCAGTGGGAGTGGACATCAAATCCTCTCCCTCTGACCCCCATCCCAATTGCAGATACTGCAATTTCTGATGTCTGATTTGTGCCCTTTCGTTTGCATAGAAGCCAGTCTGCTGTGTGTAAAAGGCAGTAGGACATTGTTGCTATAAAAATCACATTGGAAAATGCACAGGTGAATGAACCCCTGTTAATTGTAGAATAAATTACTAAGTTGTGTTGCAGAGTTGACATCTGGATCTGCCACAGAGTCAGGTTTCTGGATTTGCACCTTTTCTGGCTTTTTGCTGGAGATGAGGAGCAGTTTTAGGTTAGGGGGCCATCTGTAAGCCAGTACAGGCCTGCTTCCAAGGCCAGTGAGAGGGTGAGATGTAGATCATTGGTGATACATTTCAGTGATTTCAGCTGTGAACTACAAGCCACAAGAAGCGGTGGTCTGCCCTTTTCTGTTCTGCATCTGTCCTGTAGACCAGGCATGGAGAGCCTTTGGCCTTCTAGAAGTTGTTGAACTACAACTCCTGGTCATGCTTGCTGAGGATGATGGGATTTGTAATTCAACAACATCTGAAGGGCCGAACCTTCCCCACCCTTTCTGTAGACAACCATTGCTGGATACTAATTTGGCCTTGTTCAGCTGCTGCTGGCTTTTTCTACTTCTCATGGATATTGTAGTTAGAGGACTGCCTGTTATAAATTATTTCATTCTCACTGTCAAAGTCCAAACAGATGCAATTGCTTCTGTAACTTGTTAAAGTCACAGTTCTTGCAACCCATTCAATTCCTTGCTGCAGTGAGGTTTCCAATGCATTAAAGTGTTTTGGACTAAAGTGGGTGCTGCAGTGCACTCATGGGTACAGAAATTGGCCTTATATTCTACTACTTTTATCTCTGCAGCACTTGGAAGACAGAGTCTCAGGTATTTATTCATGCGCTATCTAGTCACCAGATATATATTTGCAGTACAGTTTCTTCCCTATGTTATCCTTCAGCCACCATGCTTGCTTTGTACTTTTGCTACAAAATGGGATATACAAAGAACAAGTTTGTTGAGGCCCTTTTCTATGAGAGAGAGAGAGAGAGAGAGAGAGAGAAACGGTAGACACCTGTAGCTTCCTAATTCTTACAGAAGAGTGTTGAATCAAACCAGTAGGGACCTGGCTGCAGTTGGGCATATGCTTGCAGCAGGTGAAGGCTGGTTCAGCTGGTCTCGAGGTATCATGCCACCTCCATTTTGTCATTAGTTGGCCTACACTCACAGCTGTGTAAATAGGGAACGAGGAAGATAATCAGAAACTCCCCTAGCAGTCTCTTGAGCAGAAGGCATCATTGTCAGATGAATCTCTGAGGCACCTCACCTCAAAGGGATGTTCCACACAAGAGCTTACACTCCTACATGTATAGATGCCTCAAGCATATAGCAGCTCTTTGCTCCAAGGGTTTGCTGTACCAAATGGCAGTCCCTACCACACTTCTTGTACCAGTGCTGCTGCCACTACCTAGAAACAACTGGCTTGGGTTAGCTGGGAGGAAGGAAAAGTTAGCTGCCACTATTTTTTGTGACTCTAGTATCAGTAGGGGGTGGGGGTGATATATGAAGCAGGCCTATGTATAGTCTCGATATTTAGCCCCATCACAACTTGTATGAAGTGCTGAGTTTGGGTATCTTCTCAAGTACTGTATCTGATAAGGAGCTTGGGGGGAAATGCTTAGTGTGCCAGCTGTGCCCATTCTTGGAGATGTCTGATCTGGCCACAGTGGCACATGCCTTAGTTACACTCCATTTAGATCACAGTAATGTCCTCTAAATGGGGCTGCCTTTGAAAAGTGCTCAGAAACTTCAACTGGCTCAAAGAGATCACACTACTCCCTTGTTACAACAGCTGCACTGGCTACCAGTCTGTTTTTGGGCACAATTCAAAGTACTGGTTTTGACCTATAAAGCCCTGGATGACTTAGGTCTAGGCTATCTAAAGGAAACGGGGAGAGGGTTTTCGCAGTGGCTTCTGCCTAGAGAAGCTAGACTGGCTCCCTCCAGGCAAAGACTATTATTCCAGGAGGTCTTTGAGAATTGGCTGTTTTTAAAGTGGTTTTGATAGTGTGCTGTACTGGGGGGGAGTGTAACCTGCAATTCAATAGGTTTTTTATATTTTAAAAAATTCCATATATAGCTTAATTACTTTTTTAAAAAAAACTTTAAATGTTAAGCTGTGTGTATTTTATATCTGTATTTGGTCTACTTTTTGTGACCTGCTTTGAGTCCCAGTTCTCGGGGAAACGTGCAGAATGAATGAATGAATGCACACTCATTGATTTCAGGATGAAAACTGGATGGAGCTGTAGTTTGTATCTTTAATAGTAGATACACAGTTTAATTTTTGGGGAACTTTGTCTGGAAACTTCTCCCTAATGCCCCGTGTGTAATGAGGTAAATGAGTCCTTTATCTGTTTTTATACATTCCAGGATTGAGCTGAGGCACAAATTAAGTCCTTGGGCAATAAGGCCTAAGGCCTAAAACGACTCAACTGGGCTGTGAACTAGTCTACGTTGCATAATTATCAGCAGCCAAATGTATAAATAAGCTGTGTCCATGTGCACCTGAAAGCAATTACAGGCAGCATCTTTGCAAACGAGGGAATTTTATTCCTAGCTGATAGCTGAGTGTGACAAACATAGAACTAACTAGCTTGTCATCTGAAGGAAGAGTCTTCTGTACAGCATGACAGCTGAAAACTTATTGAGAAGAGATCTGAGGAGGAAACTTTGGAAAGTGCTCATTTAGACTTTTGATTCAGTGGCTATTGCTTGCTTGCCTGCCTGCCTGCAAGGTATTGTCTGCGATATCCATGAAGCCCTGATATCCTGATAATACCCAAGCAGCTAATGAGAGTCGCTTTATAAACTTCTTTAAAGGAGTACAAAGAATGCTATTATTAACTTAACCTTGCATTATCTCTGTTCCCTCACTTTTTCCAAGCTCTGACTTAAACCCTCGCAAGCTATTGTAATTGCTACTTTCAGGCAATTCCACACCCCCAGGACAGCAGGTGAAGCCAGGATGTGAGTTTCTTCCAGATCTCCTTTTAGTGGAGCAGCATGTAGTACCAATTCTCCTGGTTTGTTGTTTTTGTGCATTTGTATGACCATCAAAGTTGTCTGCCCCAGGAAGTTCAAATGAAACAAGCACAATGTCTTTGGGCTGCAATAGAAACCTATTACAGGCCAGAAACACGCACACATCCTATCTAGGGGTTGTCCATTTGTGAGGTGAATGCTTCAGAAATTCTGCAGATAATTGTTTGGATTCTTGTTTAATTTGTTTAGAATTCTTGCTTAGTTTATATCCTAACAGGAAACACTTCTGCTCTTCTGTTCTGAGAACTTGGGAGGGTCTCCAGAAGCAGGAAAGTGTGTGTGTCCTGTTTAGAGAGAGCTTCCTTAGTGTAAAAATTAACCTCCCATATCTCATCGGACACTGCCAGTATAACTAAGCTTCCTGGATTTTGTTGGCTAAAGTTGTGCATGAAATTGCGGGTGTGCAGGTACTAGATAACAACACTACGCAATGATGAAAAGGGGCAGAAGGTGTTGATTAAAAAAAAAGTGACTGTGATGAAATATGACAGAACTGCCTTAAATTTGGATCCTGTAAGTCTGGCAGCTTTCCAACTTGAATTCTCCATTGGCATGTCTGCAGCACTGGAAATTACTGTATAGGGATATTGACCATGGTCATGTGATGAACTATAAACCATAACTGTCCCAGGGCTCAATGTTACAAGTGAAGGTACATTCCAGTTCCAAACCCATGTAATGGCAGCTCCTAAATAAATAATCAGGAATGGTCACTTGTCAGGTCTGAAATACACAGTGGAGGAAAGGTCCCTCTCCTAACGGGTACAACAAGGAAACCTCCAGCCGGATTGTGACCCTAAAAGAAACGACAAGTTCATAAAGGGCAGGACTTTAAGGTGGGAGGGGAAGTTCATTGCCAGGAATTTAGAGGCCTTTCCTTCTCTCCATCTGATGCTACAGGATTGTGTCATCAGATTCTCTTTTCAGTAAGCCCCACTTGCACATGTGTTACTGCTTCAGGAACATAAAGCGTTGACATTTTTATGTTTTAAATGTTGATTTGGCAGATTTCCTTTTCAGCTTTGTCCAGGTTTTCATTCCTTTTACTGCCGCATGTCATAATAAAGGATTATAAAGTTAGTAAGGGCAGCATCCCCCCCCCCTTGGTATGATTCTGTAAGTCTGTTTTCTGAACTAGCGCTTGGAAAAGAGTGGAGCTAAAATGGAGCAGACAACAAGGCTTGTAATCTTTCTTAGCGATGGCAGGTCCTAAGCATCCTTTGTTGAAATGAAATTAATGTTTCAGTGCCCCGTTGTGAGGTCTGCTCTTAGTTTGTATTTGGCAATTAGGAAAAAGAGCATAAATTTACTAACTTACTTGAATAACAAAGATAGCAGCTTTTTGCAGAATTGAGGTATTTAGGCAAGGGCAAGAATAGTGAAGGACTACAGGGAACACATTGCAAAGCAAGCTGTATGTTGAGAACAGAGTTCTGTGGTAGATGCCAAAATCTATCCACCCAGCCAGCCTTTCCAATCCTGACTCATTGCGTCTATTTCAAACTAGGTTAGTTGTTGATCAGATACTGCAATGATACACATCTAACCTCTATATAGCTTCAACTGTTCCTTGCCTAGACCCCACCTCTGTGTGGCCTACAGTTTAGTCACAGTGCACTCTGTTGTCTGCACTATGATGGTGGGACTGGGAGCTTTCCCTGTGCTGTACCTGGTGTGTACTAAAAGAAGAAGACTTCTTGCTTTGGGAATTAAGTCCTCAAAGCACCAGAAGTACTGGCATGTTTTTAAAGATTTGCTGAATTTCCCCTCCTTGGCATCCAAAAACAACACACTTGTCACCGAAAAATAGGGTGACTATATTTCGAATATGTAATTTTCAGGATTTTAAAAACTGCTAGAGGATGCACTAGTAAACTAGATTATACATGATCCAGTATGGCTGCAATTATATAGGCATGTTAATATAATGTAGACTGAGGGACAAGTACTGGACTACAATGGGGTGGAGAGAAAGCAGCGTCATTCAATGTAATTACTGTTTCTATTTGAGTTCAGCTGTGATAACCAATGCTTTGAGTAGTGGTGAAGTGTCACTTTATTTTTTTAAAAAAAATGCAAGTTCAAAAACAGCAAATTTCAAAGAAAATGCATCATTAATAACACATGTACTGAAGATTTTCCAAGCAGCTGAAAATTAATTCCCCCCAGGTGATTTTTTTATTTTTAAAAAACTCGTTAGCAGTATAATTGCACCAGCAGTGACAGTGCTTGTAGCAAGAAATTTATATATTTTTTAAAATACATTCCAAAATCAGGGAAAGTCTGATCCTTTCCTAACATGTGGGATGACTGCTTTTGTTAGACATCAAGAGTGCAGAGCCATTTTACAATAAAATAATTGAGATGGGGCATGTGTATGCATTGTCCAAGAAATGTGCATGACAGTCGTATCAAACTCCATAGAGCAGAAACAATAATGCACTGACGGGAATTAGCAGTTTCTGGTTTGAATATTGAGGAAACTATAATGTTCCGATAATAGCAACACAGTTATAGTGGGTGTTATGTAGATGCTGCACAACAAATAAGTAACAGCTAGTGTCTTAAACTGCTCGTCTAAAGGCTCTAGGTTTCTTTTTTTCTTGCATCGCAGTGGCCTACTTAGTGAAAAGTGAAATAAAAGATACCACTGTTTTCCTATATACTGGATAGTGTCAGTTCACTGTAATTCAAATCGCACCACGTGAAAACTTGAATCGAGTATATATGTCAATTTGACAATATAATGGTTGTCCTGGAGTCCCCCTTCCTTTTCCATTTTAAGGCGACTCTGATGGGCGAATGGGAAAGGAGTAGATATGCACCAAATGCATATGAGGAAACAAGTCAAGATTTTGCCTCCACAAACTTGCTGCCTATACTGTCTTGGAAAGCCACATGAGTTAAGGTGAAAGAGAAATGTTTAACGACAGTCTTTCCCCCCCTCAAATGGAAATGCTCATCTCTGGGCCACAGCTTCTTAAACCTCCGGAGACACTCTGGAAATGGGTGGCCGTACTGGGTGGTGCCTGTCTTCCTCTTCTTCCTCCTCGTCCTGAATCTCCTCTTCAGCAGGTCCCCGTATTTTTACCTCAGGTGGATGATCGCCATTTTCTGTCTCCCTAATAATTTGGTGCAGAAGAAGATAGATTTTCAGTTATCTGTATTTCTTAATTTTAACTGATGACTCAGTATTATAGGAAAGAGATGGGGAGTGCAAGCCGGTTGGTTCTCCTTGATCTCTCAGTGGCTTTTGACACTGTCGATCATGGCATCCTTCTGGAGGGGCCCAAGGAAGTGGGAGTTGCAGGTACCATATTAGAGTTGTTCTGTTCCTACCTCTGGAATTGCTACTAGAAAGTAATGCTAGGAAATTACTACTCGGCCCCATGGCTTTTGAGGTTTCATGAGTCTCCCTGTGGAGATCTGTGTGCTACCACCATCATGTTATGCTTTGCCCATGTATGTAAAAACAGTAATTCATGAACAAACCTGAAAGTGAGGAGTGAATTGGTTCTTGTTAACAACTTAACTTCAGAGACAGTTGTTTAATAATTTAGTTTGGCAAAGAGGTGTCTCTGACCTACTGGGTAAATTTCCATTTGCTTAAGCTTTCCAGAGCCCCCTCACATATGTTGTTTGTTATGCATACTAAAAAGAGGACTATCACGATGTAAATGCTAGACACTTTAACATTAAGTCGTGCTACAAATCTATTTCTGGTCAATCTCAAAATATCCTTGTGTGGTTTCCGAGTCAGCTTTATTTTATTTACTCTCACGATTGCCTAATCTCACAGGAATAACCTCCATTTGGAGAATTCATATGGTATAAATCTCCATTTGCAACATTTTCACAGCATAATTTCAAAATTGGTAATATAAAGTTGGGGCTTGCTGTTATGAAGCAGGAATTCACGAAGAAATGGTAAAGCCACATGCATTTAAACCTAATTGTTTATGTAGCTACCCTCAATGTTATAGTTGGTGGATCAAAAGAAAGTGTGTTTTAAACACCTCCCTGGTAGCAGGTAGGAATGGACATCTTGAGCTGATCCATTTTTCTTGCACACAAGTAGATCAGCAATTCCACTCCCATCAAGTATGTATGAATTTTTAAAGGGAAAGTCACACCCCCCAAAAATCTGCAGATTGAAACTGCTTTGGAACTATTTACCAAGGGGTCCAAAGCCTTTCCTCATTCTTTTGTTTAAACCAGAGCTTTTCAAGCTGTGCGTCACAACATATTAATGTGTCGGCTGCAGCGTGTAGGTGTGTCACACAAATGTTCCCCACACTCCTCCTGGGGCTGAAAGGGGTTAGTTCAACCTCCGGTTTGTTAGTAAAATGAATTACTGTGTCACAAAATGATGCATGTCCAGAAAGTGCGTCACCAACTTGAAAAGTTTGGAAAGCTCTGGTTTAAACCATTTCTGCCTGCTGCTAGCAGCTAGAAAGCTCAGCAGTTGCTGTGCTTGTTGGGGAAGTGTTGAGTACAAAGCTATTAGAAGTAGCAGTAACAGGGACATTGTAGGGGGGTAGAGAGAGATGGCTGCCTCAGAGGTGCATGCAGTATGTAATTTCTCCATGCTACTTTTATTCCACCCCACCCCCCACCTTCTAATGAAAGGCACTCACGTCATCTCATAGTCTTTTTCCTTCCCATTCCTGCAGCAACAACAGTAAGCCACAATGGCAATAATAATGACAACAGCAACAAGCCCACCAACGACTCCACCAAGTAGGGCAAAATTCATGGATGCTGTAGAAGAAAATACTAGCATTAGTCACCTCATAGTTGAGAAGCAAACTCTTCCTTTGGGGAAGAGCTCTTACTACTGTTCTCCCTCTAGCCTGAGGGTGGCTCTGGCTAAATATAATATGACAAACGAGCAACTTGTGAATGACAAGCCAGGAAGGGGGCTCATCTAGGTTGAATTAGATGGTTTCTGTAGAACAGGATTAGGGAAACTCTGTCCCTCTAGCTGCTGTTGGGGTCAAATGAATAACAGAGTTTTGTGAAAATGGTCACTCAAAACTCCACACACCCCAAGGAAAATTACCAAACAGTTTCACAGTGGTTCACTGGCAGTAGGGTAGTTTACTACTTAATTGGGGGAGGGGGTGTTTCAGCACGTTGGAAATGGCAGCTGCCACCAAGAACAACAATAATGGGGGAGAATAGTCTGGGGGGAAATGCAAAGGGGGGGCTTTTCTAGGGGGTGAGCGAAAATTTTAAAGAAATTTTCTCAGAAAAATGACTGCTCTACTTAAAAGCAGAATAAACAGGAAGTAACTTGCCTTTTGTCTAATAAACATGCTGATGAAATGGCACTGATAGAGAAAGCCGGTCTTTTAAAAAAATCATTTTTTAATTCACTGAAATTAATTTTATCTCAAATTCTATTGTATTAGTATTTGAATAATTTAAAATGGGTGGGAAGATGCAAGTTAAAGGGTCACTTTAAAAGAAACACGGCTAAAATGTCATTTGACCAGAGAAGTGATCAATGGTAAAGGAGGTGTGTGAGGTATAGATGAATGACAGTAGACTTGTTTGATCAATATGCTATTACACACATCAAAACCAGGCCTCTTAGGGAAAATAGATAGCTTGAGTTTTGGTGATCTACCAATGTGGTGCTGTTTTAGTTTTCAAAAAAGAAGAGCCTAGAGGAAATAGGGGGATGATGTGATGGTCCTATATAGACACTCCCTAAAAAGTGAGCAAACAAAGCATGGCTATTAGGCAACAAATACCTAGGGTGGAAACATAATCGGAGCCGTATGTCATCACAAAGTCTTGGGCTTATTCTCAACTACAGCCACATCTAAGCTTTGCAACTAAGCAAAGTGAGACTAGTTCTTAAAATGGGACGTGGGGTTGTTTAGGGACTTAAATGCTTTGCCGATCAGACCACAATAGCCATGCTTTCTCCCCCCCCCCCCCTTGCACATTGCAATCTTACGTGGTGTGACATTAACAGTGATGTTGCATGAACTCTCTCCGATAGAGTTTTTGGCAAGGCAGATGTAGTAGCCAGTGTTGTCTATAGAGATGTTCTTCAGCATAAGCACTCCTGATGCAAAAGAGAAGATGCAAAGGGTCATCTTTATTTAAATAGAATCAGTGTCTTCAGCCATACTGCGGTTTTAAATCCACCTTATGTGAGGAGTCTTATGGACCCTGGATGGTGGTTTCATAGTGACCAGAGCATTGCCCAGGAGCCCCAGCTCTGGCAAGGATCGATTGCAGAGAAGATGCAGGCAAGCCACACGTGTGGTTTTGCTTACTGCTTTTGTCACCATGTGCTCCCAAATGCAGTCCCTTATTCTGTTTTGGCGGACCAGTCAGTACAGGCGGCCATTGCTCCAATTTTATTCTTGCAACAATCCATGAGATGGGTTAAAATGAAAGAGATTGACTAGCTCACTAGATTAAACTGGATTAGTATCCAGTTTAGTGCACAATGCTGACTTTCTGATAATGCTTGTGACTGAGTTAGCAGTTCCACATTTCACACCACTTAGAAACTAGGCGGGTCGTCAGAACAACATGAAACCGTGTTTTCATGTGACTGTACCACAATTTTCAATGTTTATGTACTTTATCCATGCAACTTGCATTAGTCCTAACATGGATACAGCTCCATGCAAGACTATGCCAGGCCTATCCTCCGCCCTCCATTACGGGCTCCAATTGCAGCAATAACTGGACCCTGCTCTTTAAGTTGCACTTTTCTGATCTTTCTTTGTAGATTTCTTGACTGGCAATTTAATATATAAAAATATGGGCCAGAGTTAAATCTTTATTCCGAAGCAAAATGAGAAGAAAACAATAAACTAACCAATACTGATTATGTCAGTATTTACAGTGCCTGACTAGGATCTATTTTCTGGTGTAGTGGTGCCACCTATGGGCAAAACTGGTGAACAATGAGCACGTTTTGCACACATTTTTTTTGCAAATCTTGAGCTATTTTAAGGGCTTACTTAGACAATCAAAACGAAGCATGTTTTGGGGGGGTGCAATCTGCATCCACAAAGGCTAGCTGAAGAACTATTGAGAAAAATACGTAGGCTACCTAAAGCAGAGTACAAAATGAGATCAACAAAGCTTTTAAAAAAACCAAAGGCAGCTAAATTATATATATATATCTCCAGCAGATGCCTAAAATGTCAATAGACTGTGAATTCCAGAGCAGTGCACTACCATCACCTCCCCATAAATGCACAACAAACATTACATGGTACACATAAAAGTGTAAGCAGCTGAACAGGCCCACATGGGCAAGGTGACCCCTCAGCCAAGCTGGTCGCTGGCTGTTATGGGCTTTATGTACCAATTGGGAAATTTTGAACTTGACCAAGTTACAAACCTGTAGACTGTACAGACCTTTGAGGACAAGTATAATATGTGGACAAGATCTCGCTTCTGGTCCCCAATCATAGAGCCACACCCAGCACCAAGAGCAGTTTCCCAATCAGGAGCCAGGGAAGCCTTATGTAGTGTGTTGCAGTAATCCAGTCTTGAAGTTACCAATACCTGGACTACTGTGGCCAGGCCATCCCAGTCATGGAACAGGCAGCTGTCGTATTTTAATTTAATTAAAATGGTTCAATTGTTTTGTAGGTTTTAGCTTTATTTGCAATTTTATTTGCACACCACTTAGCTCTTTGATTAAGTGGTTCAAAAACCATCTAATAAATAAATAAATAAATACCAGCTAAAAATGGTAAAATGTACCCCTTGCTACCAAGACCACTAAACCTCCAGGGACAAACCTGGATCCAGGAACATGCCTAGGCTTGCTCCTTCACAAGAAATGCAGCCCTCTTCAGAGCAGGCAATTGGCCAGTTTCTCATGCACCAGAACCATAGATCCATAGGGCCTCTGTCCTGTCAGAAATAAGGCTCAATTTATTTCCCCTCATCTAGCTCATCACTGCATCCAGGTATCAGCTCAGCTCCTGTATGGCCTCACCTGATTTAGATGTTATGGAGAAATAGAGCTGAATGCCATCAGCTTGCTGACAGCATCCTGTCCTAAATTCCTTCACGACCAGTCCTAATGGCTTCATATAGATCAGAAATAGCATTGGGAATAAAACAGCACCCTCCAGTGTCCTATGGCTTAACTGCCAGGGGCTGAAAAACCATCTGCCAATGCTATTCTTCGCTCTATAAATAGGGCTAGAATACTGTAATACTGTGCCGGATATCCAGGGTCAAAGGTATCAAAAGCCACACATAAATTGCAAAGGAAGCAAGGTCATACTCCCCTTGTCCCATTCTTGATAATGGTCATCCATCAGGCTGACCAAGGCTGATTCAGTCCCGTCCGTGGCCAGGTCTGAACTCGGACTAGAGCTCGATAATCTACACCATTCAAGAATGACTGTGAGTGCCCCATCATAACCCTCTCAGCCACATTTCCTAAAAAGTGGGCATTAGCAACTGGTCAGTAGTTAGTCCAAAGCAACAGATGGGGACGAGGCTTCATTATGAGTGGCTGCAGGAACCATCCCCTCAAGCAATGAAGCATTAACCATGTTCCCAACCCAACAAGTCTGCTACATTTAATAAACCAAAAACTTTGTGACTTATAAAGTAGCACTATATGCATTGGCAGCTAAGAAGATCAGGACAAAAGAACTAGATAAAATAATGGTCAAGGTGATTCGGACATTTAAGCTGGCGCATTCTACCTGAGAACCTCTTGCTTTTCCATCATATGCAACAAATAATTTCTAGGAGATGTGACTGTGGTTCATTGTATTCACAGTGCCTTGTGTTTTTATGGTTTTTATGGTTGCTGTTGCCTTTCTTTTTGTTTCCTTTGTAAGTTGGCTAGTGCAATAAAGTTTATGATGATGATGAATAAACCAAGAGGGGCAGAGATCAAGGGGGAACAGAGGGTAGCAAGTATCTTGCTGACATCATTAGGCTGCATAAAGCATCTCATAAGGTAGTGGCGTCAGACACTTCAGCCAGCGCTACACCGGCGCTGGAATCAGCATCCCAACGGGAGCGGGTTAGGTTTGTGCAATGCTGTTCAACATCAAATGCAAACAAATGTTTGTGGTTTCTCGTTAAGGAAACAGATATGCGGAGTGCAGTGTTGCCCTCTCTTTCAACAGTGATATAATCTGTTCCAAGACAGATGAGTGTGCTGCAACCTCCCACGTACCCAGCCTGACCCATGTAGGCTTAAAAAGTCTGGATCTCTTAATTGCTATACAGGAAACCTGGTTGTGTCAGTGCCACAAGGGAGAGCTTGGAACAGGTGTATCAGAGAACTGGAGAGGCCAGAGCATGATAGAGTCCTCCTTATCACCACTTGGCAGGAGGCGGAGAGAGAAGTAACTAGATTGCCCATTAATTACAAGCCCCACTGTGGTTAATGGCCTCATGGTGAACAATTGTCTACGTTCACCCTACATTAACTAATGTATGTTTTCGAAGTAATGATTTTAATCATTGTGAGAGAAGAACCAGGCAGTGAGCATGATTCTGGATTCATTGCAATCGAGCTAGCACTAATTTTCAAGGTCTGTTGGTAGAATTAGGGGCCTGCCTCTTGCTGAAATGAAGGTCACAAGAGTGCCACTTTTGACTTGTTGCATCCAGAATTTATTACAGTAAACTCCCAATTTATGTGGGGGTTACGTTCCAAGGCACCACGCATTTAAGTGAAATTGTGTATATTTGAAGCACCATTGAAAAAGCCTGCAATTACCCCATTTTGCCCCCACCATGTTCCACTCCTTTTTGTTTTTGAGTCAATTCTGGGTTCAGTGCATGTGTGCGGTCACACACATGTGCCTAAAACGGTTGCTGCCGTTGAATGAAATCAGGAATGAAGAAAATGGCAGAGATGACCAGTGAGAGAAGGAAAACATGAGAATGGACAAGGGAAGATCGCATCTACACTGTGCTTGCTAGAAAACACTTTAAGGACTAAATTAAAATGATGGTTTTTCATTCCTCTTTTTACATTAATAATCCTCAAAATATTTGCATGCATTTAAAAACTGAATACGTACAGAAAACTGGTTTTCACAAAGTACCGACATCTCACCGCTTACCTGGCATTACTGTTCCTACGAGTGCTCGTTGTTTGTTTTCTGGATTGTAGCTTTGCCAGGAATATTCGGGTTTGGGGAATCCTTCGATAGAATTGCAGGTCAAGTTAATGTTTTGTCCGTATTCTGTGGTCCCTATAATTTTGCAGTCTGGCTTGGATGGAGACACTAGATAGGGGGAAAGAATAACTTGAGCAAATTGAGCAACATAAGAATGGAAGCTGTTGTGTTGAGGAGAGCCTAAAACATGTTCTGTCTTCAGATCCCATCACCAGCAGTAATGCATGCTGACTTTCACAAACAACACTGACCCGTTACAGTTTTATTCCAAAATCTGCACATCTTCACAATTTTCTTTAGGCACATAAACTGACTGGGTGGGGCCATAGCTTAGCAGAAGTGCACATGCGCTGCAGAAGGTATCAAGTTCATACCTCAACTACTTCAATTTAAGGATCAATAGCAAGTCATGGGAAATATTAAAATTATTATTTATTGAATTTATACAGTGCCCTTCGTCCAATGATCATGGGTCAGTTTGCAACAAGATGAAATTAGACATTTGAATTCCTGGAGAAATGCTGTCAGAACACGTAGGTAGTGTTATCTGCTATAGAAAACTTCCAACCTTCCTCACTTCTTCATATTCCCATTGAGTGAAAACTTGGTTAAAATATACGGTTGTCATCACCATTCTTTCTATTAGTACAGTGGAACCTCAATTTTTGAACATAATCTGTTCCGGGAGACTGTTCGACTTCTGAAACATTTGAAACGCAATACGGAAGCCTCAATACAAAAGGGAAACTCAAAACGGAAGCCATGTGGCATGTTCGGCTTCCAAAAATCATTCAAAAACCGAAGCAGTTACTTTCAGGTTTTTGACATTCAAAAGCTGAAACGTTCAGCTTCCAAGACGATCAAAAACTGAGGTTCCACTGTAATGAATACTGACAGTGTTATTTTTATAGAAAAAGAGGTGCCAGAACTCACCATGAATGCCTCCCTTTTTCCCTTACAATAGCAATGGTGCCCACCTGAGAGGTGCCAGAACTGAGTTCTGGTGAGTTCCGGGTGGGGGAAAAAGCCATGAGTACCAAGTCTAAGATCATCTATGGCAGGTATCTTCAACCTTTTCAGAACCAGGATCCATTTTTAACCTGAACATGCATTTGGGGACCCATTTCTTAATCTTTTACCATATATTTGCATGTGGCAGTGCTCCTATCATGACTCACCTTGGATTAGGCTATAGTCCACTAGTGGGTCGTGATCCACCAGCTGAAGACCAGTGATCTATGGCACAAACACTACATGATAGCATCATCTAGAACAAATGTGCATGGCTGCCTTATGTTGCAGTGGAGCACAGTTTTAGTGATCCGATTACGCCCTGATCATTGCAAGCAGCACTTCCTGCTTGCTGTGCGCTGCTACTGAACTAAGGTGTGAGACTGGTATGTATACAAAGGGCAGAATGCCTTACCAAGGACCAAAAGTTCCATTGTTGAATGTGTCAAGGGAGGATCATCGCGAAGACGGACTGAGCATTCATAGGTACCATTGTCATTCAAGATCACCTGACTGAGGATGATGCTAATGTCATGATTATTTGTATTGCTAGAGAAGTTCACCCGACCTTTATAAGCATCACTAATCCATGTTCCACCATCATCAAGGTACCGGTTAATAAATTCTGCCTAACAATAAGAGAAGAGTATTAGTTTAAAAGACTTAATTACTGTGGCTCAAATCTTTTGTTTGTCACTATAGTATTTTTAACCACGAAATGAACAAACAAAACACAAGGAGACCCAACCTATCCCTATCTCCTGAATTGTCTCACTGCTGAGGCAATTCAGTCGTAAAAAAAAATATCAAAAAATGCATTATAGTAGGGGAAGAAATCACTTTTAAGTGTGTACATTAGTCAAGAGCTGCATACAAATATATGTTCATGATGATGAATTTTCATGAACAAAGCAAACACAAACTGCTGGAAAAATTTGGAGAACTGAATTTAAGACTGGAAAAAATGAGAAAGTGAGCAAACTGAAATTGACAGGTCCTTCCATCCCTACCTCTCAACCCTCAAGAAATACATTTTATGTACATGGTTGTCAGCAGCAGGGAAGATATGATCAGAAACTTTGAGCTTAAAGTTGTTTTAGGGGCCAAGACAATCTGCTGCATTGCCTCCAAACAATCAGTCAAACCAAATCCTTTCCTTTGGAGCCTTAAACATTAGTAGGCAATGCTCCCAGTGCACAATATTCTTATTCAGTGAGACTTGCCTCCATGTAGTCATGCACAGACCTGGGGTACTGGACATTTAGTTGGGAGTTAACTCCGCTGAACACAGGCAGACTTGCTTTTGAACCATCTGAAGCAGTACTGCTCATCCTGCTCACATTGAATTGAACTGGATAGGCCCTAGGGGATATGTGCCCCCATCTGGAGCCACCAGTTGCTATGCTTGACTGGCGGCCTCTGTCAAGTGCTGGATCAAAGCCAAAGTGACAGCCTGATGTTATGTGTCACAAGACTAAAGATCTGGAATTAAAACAAAATCCAGGCTACCATCTGGCCCCATCCTCTTGCAGCCAAGACCAAAGGAACCCTTGAAAGGCTGCTCACTGACAGAGGTCAAAGAGGCTCCTCTGGTGTCTTGGCGCACCTGTTTCTTAACAGAGTGCCATTTTCTCCCAGACACTCATGCGTATCATATGCCTTGCACCACGGCTGCCCACCTCTTCTGGCATTTTCATCCAGGCAACAATGTCCCCCTTAGCTGGAGTAACAACAGAGCTTTCATAGGTACACGGTAGGGTGATATTATCTCCTTTCTTCACGTGCACTTGCTTCTGAGGTGTGTTTACGGAGAGGGCGTGAACAGCGGCCACAACTAAAAAGAGAAAGAGAGGTCAGAAGGTCCACTGTTATCTTTGTCACTTTGACTGGAAAGCCAGTATGCATAAGTTAGGATGCCCTACTAAGATATCACACACATCTGCATTCCACATCTGTATCTGCCTTCTGTAAGAAACGCGCTTTCTCGCCTGCTCTAGGACAGGGTTGGAGAAACGTTTTCCAACCCAAAGGCTGCATCCCCTTAGGACATAGGTAGGCAGGGCAATCAATGTGACCTTTGTACAGTAGGTTACCTTCTAGCGGCACAAAAACCAGAGCTTTCTACATCCATGCCCACATTCCTCCCTCCAGGCAAGCAAGAAGCATTAGTTCTTTCCAGTATTAATAGACCACAGATGATCACAAAGTGGTTTGCAGAACAATCAGTAAAACCATTAATAAAATAATAGTAGTCTGTGCATAGGGACGCGGGTGGCGCTGTGGGTTAAACTACAGAGCCTAGGATTTGCCGGTCGGAAGGTCGGCGGTTCGAATCCCCGCAACGGGGTGAGCTCCCATTGCTTGGTCCCTGCTCCTGCCAACCTAGCAGTTCGAAAGCACGTCAAAGTGCAAGTAGATAAATAGGTACCGCTCCGGCGGGAAGGTAAATGGCGTTTCCATGCACTGCTTTGGTTCACCAGAAGCAGCTTAGTCATGCTGGCCACATGACCCAGAAGCTGTACGCCAGCTCCCTCAGCCAATAAAGCGAGATGAGCGCCACAATCCTAGAGTCAGTCACGATTGGATCTAATGGTCAGGGGTTCCTTTACCTTTACCTTTAGTCTGTGCATATCACATCAGTTTATACAGTAAAACACAACATGGGGTGAAAAAGGGTCTGGCAGAGCATCTGTGACTTCTCAGATATCTTATTTGTCCCTCCCCTCCCCCCCACTGGCTTCCATGAGGCTGAGTTCTATGACTCATTCAGGGATGTACAGGGGGACAAGGTCCTTTGAACGTAAAGTTTTTATTGTCACCACACCCAGCTGACACATAATGCAGTTCCACTTTTTTTGCCTGCAACTAGTACGATAAGGGATGGCAGGTGGGGGGTTCCATCCACTGTCCCCCATAATTCAGTTTGCACACATAAAACCTATTGACAGTAAGAGAAGCTTGGCAACAGCTTGACCACCACCTACCTCTGAATTTTCTGCAACGAGCAAGTGATTAAGCTAGATGGCCCATAAGGCTCCCTACAACTCTATGATTCTATCTATTTGCATATTATCCTATATCTTACATCCCTGAGGCACCTGTCCAACTTCCTGGACAGTCCTCCAATCTGTGGAAAAAGCTAGCTTGCTGTTGGTGGCCAGGGCTCTCAAATCCTCTCTCAGCTCAGGGAGCAAACAAGTGTGCCCACAAGGCTTTTTTTTTTCCTGGCAGTGTACATTATTATGTTCTGAGGTAACTCAATTGTGCTGGAGAAACCGGTTCCTCCAGGGGTGGGTTCATAATCAGGTCATAAGACCAGCATTCAGAGAGAAAAAAGAGAAAGGCAGAGAGAAAAAGTGAGAGAGCCCAACCCTTTTAGAGAAACTGCAGAGGAATGTCTCACTCAGAAAATTCCACCCCCCGCACACTGAAATTTAAGTTGAGGGAAGTGTTTCTATAAAAATTCATATATGCCAAGAACCTATTGGAAAGCTGTATTTGTTCTGTAACCAAGGTAACCTGGGAACCCCTTGAACTTCTCCCACCTAATGGGGGATTTAGCTGAGTTTAAAGAGAAGGGGCTTAGGGACTAAGAAATGACTCCCAGTGTTTTTATTTAAAGCACATTTAAAAGACAGCCCCCCCCAAAAAAAAAATCCTGGGGAAATGTAGTTTACCCCTCACAGAACTACAATTCCCAATACCCTTAAATTACAGTTCCCAGAATTCTTTGGTTTAAATGTCTATGGCACTGGAATTTTCTCAAGTCTAGAGACCAGAAATTAAAACTAAGGCTACAATCCTACGTAGCCACAGGAAGCCAGTCCCATCAAACACACTTAGACTAATTCCTTTGTGTGCAAACACACATACATTGTCGCCCTAAGCCATTTTGCCACGTGAAATAAGACAAGCAGCCGCTGGCAACAGGGACTGAAGCACGGTGGAAGCAGTTGGCAAGGAGGCACACTCAGAGTGAACTTGGACAGCCGGCGGGGGAGAGCCCACCCCAGTTCCTCTCCAAATCTGCTGCCAGAGACAAGTGTCTAATGATAGGGCTGGCCCTGCTTCCATAGGATCCAAATCCCAATACAACACCGAGGATATATAAATCATGGTGGGAGAGCCATAAGCATTATATGGAATCTGGGGAGTACCAGGTAGCAGGTTTAAGGTTTAAGGTAGCAGGTGATGAGAAAGGCCCCTGCTTGAGACCCTGGGGAACTGCTAACGGCCCATCACAATTCTATCTGGGCTAGATGGACAAATAGTCCGTCCTGCTTTACAGCAACTTCCCGTGTTTTTCTTGTGCTGTGAATAGGGATGTAGGAGAAATCAGATTAATTTCTCATTTAAAGGCAAGCTTATCTAATTCACACTTTCTGAACGCAAACCAAACACAGCATCTTTTTAAAAAAAAACATAAGCATAATACAGTAAATGTCAACACATTTGTAATAAAGTTATTATTTGAGATTCTCTGAATTTTGCAATGCCAACCAAGTAATGGGTAGAAAAATGCATACACATACACACACAATGCATACGCGTGCACACACACACACACACACACATATGTATGTATATGTATACACACACAGAGAGAGAGAGAAGTGCATATATTAGTGAAAATATAAAAATGAATTCTATTAGAAGAAATTTCTTTGCAACGAAATGTATATATTAGGCAAAATTGCATAAAAATGTGTGTAATAGGAGAAATTTAAACTAAATATAGATGGATTTTCTTGAGGACTTGGTCATGCCATTTGGATTACAATCGGGCTCCGCCTGCTTTCAAGCATTCATGCACCACGTGTTGGGTCCCCTGCTGTACAAGAACTGCGTAGCCTTCTTGGACGACGTCTTACTCTATTCAGACAATGAGAAGCAACATGTCAGAGACGTCAGGGAAGTGCTAGAGAGGCTGCAGAAGCACCAGTTGTGGGTCAAGCTGGAAAAATGCCAATTTCATACCAGAGAGGTCGAGTTTCTGGGGTACAAGTTGTCAGACAAGGGACTGGCTATGGACCCAAGCAAGGTGCAGGCAGTGCTGGAATGGAAAGCCCCCAAAACCCGGAAGGATGTGCAGAGGTTCCTAGGGTTCAGCAACTTCTACAGGAAGTTCATCAAGAACTTCGCCCACTTAACGGCGCCCATCACAGATTGTCTCAGTAGCAAAAGGAAGTTCGCCTGGACAGAAAGTGCCCAGCAATCCTTTGAAAGACTGAAGAAGGCGTTCGCTTCGGAAGAGCAGCTCCTACACGTTGATCTGGAGAAACCCATGAGGCTAGAGACCGACGCGTCCGACAGAGCCATTGGGGCGGTACTTTTGCAGCCAGGGAGGAGCAAGCAGGAATGGAAGCTGTGTGCCTTTTTCTCGAGGAAGCTGAGCAAGTCGGAGCAAAACTATATGGTGTATGACCGCAAACTGCTTGCGATCTATGCAGCGTTTCGCCGATGGAGACATCTGTTAATAGGGGCGCAGCACAAGATCCAGGTTTGTACTGATCACAAGAACTTGGAATACTGGAGGACCGCGCAAGTACTCAACCAGAGGCAGATTAGATGGGCACAGGAGTTCTCCAAGTTTTCCTTCGAGATCCGATATGTGCCAGGAGAGGAAAACGTAAGAGCAGATGCTCTCTCACGGAAGCCAGAGTACATGGAAGGGGAGGGACCGCCGGAGATACGACACATGATCCCCGAGGACCGATGGGTGTGTGGGGGAGCCTTGGTTGGAAAATGAGAACTGGCCGGGCTTACTAGAAACGACATGTTCGCCCAAAGTAAAATCAGGGAACTCCGAGACGGAAGAGAAAACCATGGGGGTTTTGAGAAAAAGGAAGGGGCGCTGTATGTACCGGGGGAGACCCTGAGGGGGAAGGTACTCAAACAACTCCACAACAACCCCACAGCTGTGCACTTTGGACAGCACAAAACCATGCTGCTCGTCACCAGGCAGTTCTGGTGGCCAAGGGTGAGGGAGGATGTACGGGAATATGTACGGGGGTGCGACCGCTGCCAAAGGGCAAAGGGGGAGAGGGCTGCCCCCGCAGGGCTACTGGAACCCTTACCCATGCTGGGAAGACCCTGGGAGGTGGTGTCCATTGATTTTATGACAGATTTGCCCAAGTCCAGGGGAAAGACAGCAGTCATGGTAGTAGTCGATCTACTGACAAAAATGTGCCATTTCATAGCTTGCTCACATGCCATGACAGCAGAGGAGACAGCCAAGTTGTTTGTGGATCACATCTTCAGGTTGCATGTGGCGCCCTCGAGGGTCGTCTCAGATCGCGGAAAACAATTTACTTCACGATTCTGGAGGAAGCTCATGAGCTTGCTGCAGGTAGAGGTGGGCTTCTCGACGGCACGACACCCGGAAACCAACGGGCAAGCAGAAAGAGCGAACAGTATACTCCAGCAATACCTACGCTGCTACCTCAGCGAGAGACAGAACGATTGGGTAGAGAAACTAGCGCTGGCTGAATTTGCGTACAATAACGCTGAACATGTGTCCACGGGCATGAGCCCGTTCATGGCCAATTATGGGTGTCACCCCAGGGCCTTCCCGGGGTGATACCTTCCCTGGTATCTGAACCCGTGACCTTCCCAATGCCCAGGATTGACGACATTTTAACACGGGTGAGGCAGGGGGAAATTTTCACCAAGCTGGACCTCAGGGGAGCGTACAATTTGATCAGGGTAAGGGAGGGGGACGAATGGAAGACCACCATGTTCACCCCCCTGGGGGATTTTGAGTACTTGGTCATGCCATTTGGATTACAATCGGGCTCCGCCTGCTTTCAAGCATTCATGCACCGGCGGTCCCTCCCCTTCCATGTACTCTGGCTTCCGGGAGAGAGCATCTGCTCTTACGTTTTCCTCTCCCGGCACATATCGGATCTCGAAGTAAAACTTGGAGAACTCCTGTGCCCATCTAATCTGGTGCATGAGGAAGGGTGGAGTGTACCTGCGGCCGAGCAGTTTGTGGAAGAAATGGAGGCATTGCACCAGCAACTCAAGATGAACTTGGAGCGGGCCAAGGAAGTTTATAAGAGGCAGGCAGACAAGCACCGTCGGGAGGGGGATGCCATACGGGTGGGAGACCGAGTGTGGTTGTCAACCCAAGGGTTGCCCCTAAAGGGAGGGTGCAAAAAGTTGCAGCCAAGGCGGCTGGGACCCTTTGAGGTAACACAGCAGGTTCCCCCAGCAGGTGAACCCTGTGGCATTCAAGCTCAAGTTGCCTGACAGCATAAAGATACATCCGGTGTTCCATAGGTCCCTACTCTCACCGTACAGGGAGGGGCGGGAATTCCCGGGGCGGGAGGGAGGAGTCATCGCCCACCCGCGGGTAGAGGAGAGGGAACTCCACCACCAAGCCACGGAAATACTCGATTCAAGGTGGCGAGGGCGCCAGGTGGAGTACTTAGTGGCTTGGGAAGGAGAACCCGAGTCAGAAAACACTTGGGTCCCCGCTGAGGCGGTCAATGATGGGTATCTAGTGGAAGAATTCCACAGCCTGTTCCCAGACAAACCAAAACCACTAGCGAGATTCTGGGAGGAAGAATTTGGAACCACATACGACGAGGAAGAATTTGTGGGTTTTCCTGCCTCCGAAGAGGAAGGAGGGGAAATGTCAGAGGGAGAAGAATCAGACTGGGAGGCCCACCCCGCGGCAAGATATCGGAGCAGGTGGGAAGCGGGTTTTGAATCCTCAGAGGAGAGCGACAGCTCCTTCAGGGGCTTCCCCGCATCGTCGGCCGAGGAAAGGGACGAGGTTGGATCTGAAGGTGGGCCGGGGGCGGAGGGGGTCCTGGGGGGGAGGTGGATGTCAGGGAACTGCCATCGGAGCTAGAGGCGGAGGGAAGGCTCCAAAGGGATGCAGGAGAGGGTCCCAGTAGGAGAGAGGCAGCCCATCTGCGGGGGAAGGAAATCAGCGTAACACCAGTGGAGAAGGGGGGCAGGTGGGGGAATCGGGGAGGAGGCTCCAAGACTCTTCGCTGGAGACCAGTGGAGAGAGTACGGGTACTCCGCTGCCCACACCCTCCCTGCGCAGAAGACTTCCGCGCAGGGAGAGTAGGAGGAGACTTGGCGTCAAACAACTTTTATGCTGGAAAAGGTTTAAGAAACGCCCACTGACGGATTCTGCCAGCGACTGAGACAGTCACGATGCTGGAGGCTGTTCAGTCAGAAAGGGTTAACCAGGTAACCTAGCCAGGAGTGGCGGCAACTTACGCACGAGCAACCCCTAAACCCATTACAATATGGTTCCAAAAATAATACTTGGTTTTGCTTATATTAATTTCACAGAAATAATGGGGGGGAAATGATTTAAATAAAGGAATACAGATTATTGGTAACTAATGAGAAGTGTTGAAGCTGCAAAGGGATAGAGGGAAGTCAATTAACTTATCAGGGATTCAAACAAGTTTAATGGAACAGAAAGAAAGTGATTGTAAGGAAAGAAAGCAAAGAAGAAATATTAATGCAATTTCTTTCTGGGAGCCTTTTGTATAGAATATTCAAATTACAGTTTGTATCCTTTGAACAATTGTGTGTATCTTTTTAATTCTTTTTTCCCTTTTTTCTCTTATTTGTATTTTTTCTTTTATTTTTTCTCTTTTTTTCTTTTCTTTTTGTGTATTTGGGTGTAACTTTTAATATATTATTTTCTCTGTAACTTTCAAAAATGCAATATTCTTTTAAAAAAACAACAACATAGTATATCAGATAATACAACACAATGTAATATTTAAACCATTGCCCGCAAAAAGAGGGGCAATTCAGAATATACCAGGCGTTGGAGGCACCCAGTGAGATTTATCCAGTGCTATTTTTCTAGAAAAAGAGGTGCTGAAACTCACCATGAATGCCTCCCTTTTTCTCTTATAATGGCAACAATGCCCACCAAAGAGGAGCCATAACTCAGTTCCGTCAAATTCTGGCTGAAAAAAGCCCTGAATTTATCCAAAAGCCTAAGAGAACAAGTGTGTTTTAACCATCCATTGGAACTACACTAAATTTGTGTCCATTGAGCCTCTAGCGCAGTGGTTCTCAACCTGTGGGTCCCCAGATATTGTTGGACTACAACTCCCATCATCCCTGACCACTGGTCATGCTGGCTAGGAATGATGGGAGTTGTAATCTAACAACATCTGGGGACCCACAGGTTGAGAAACACTGCTCTAGCGGGAGGTTATTCTAGTCAGGGTGCCACTACAGAGAAGGCCCTTACACATCACTTCGGAAGACAGGCGAACTAATAATCATGTACTGGATGATTCACCAGTGTTGAAGCAATGATAGTTCAACATCAACTTCGTTGGGCTGGTCATGTTGTGCAGATGCCTGATTATCGTCTTCCAAAGCAACTACTCTATTCCAAACTTAAAAATGGAAAGCGTAATGCTGGCGGTCAACAAAAGAGGTTTAAAGACTGTCTCAAGGCAAATCTAAAAAAATACAGGAAAACACTGGCCTGCAAGCGCTACAGTTGGAGAACAGCCTTTACCAAAGGTGTCATGGACTTTGAAGACACTCAAACTCAGGACGCAAGGGAGAAACTTGCTAAGAGGAAGGCACGCTTGGCAAATCCAAACCATGATCAACTCCCACCCGGGAACCAATGTCCCCACTGTGTAAGGACGTGTGGATCCAGAATTGGCCTCCACTGTCACTTACGGACTCATTGTTAAAACTGTGTTTATGGAAGACAATCTTACTCAGCTGTGAGTGATCGCAAAAGAAGAAGAAGAAGAAGAAGAAGAAGGCCACACTGGAAGGAACAACAAGGAAGCAAAAGCCTACACAGAGTCTTGCAGTAATAAGTCCAAGCAGTCATCACAAGGGCACTCAACAGTTTGGAGTGGCAACAGTGAAGTTGGCAGCCCTTAATGAAGTCATGCATTTGACATAGTTGATGAGGTAATTGCCAGAAGCAACTTTTGATGAGGTGCTTTGGAAAGCCTGGGCTGCCCTGTGTTTTGTGAAACGCTTTCCTAATCAGATTTCTATATCTAGTTTGCTTGGCAACAGGCAGGCAATGGGTTAATTTCCTAGGTGCCTTTTCTTTTATCTGTTCTGTTGTGCGGACACTCCCTGACTGGCTTGTAATCCAGTTTCAACATGGGAAGATCCTCAAGAACAAAGCATAATCGCTGCATTTTTCGCTGGGCTTTGACAACTCCCTGTTTTGTTCCATCCTGGCATGCTTCCTTCTGCATCCATTGTATTTCTTTCTCTTTTCTTCCTGTGATGTTCATCACATCGCTAACTGTCAATGCTTTTTTTAAAAAAATAAAAAACCCTCCGTTGAACAAGCAAGTTAAAATAGGCTAAAAATATGAAATAAATTGGTTTTGGAAACTGATCAAATCGTTTTAAGACCAGCAAATGCAGATACAGGACTTTAACAAAATTCCACAAATATGGGGGGTGGGGGTGCCCTATACAATTAAAAGCTTAAAATATTAAGCTTATTTTATAAATTCCCATGGATGGGTCTAGGGCAGGCATAGGCAAACTCCGGCCCTCCTGACCACTGGTCCTGTTAGCTGGGGACAATGGGAATTGTAGTGCCAAAACATCTGGAGGGCCGGAGTTTGCCTATGCCTGATCTAGGGATACCCAGGAAGAAGAGGACTGAAAAAAGGCTTTTTTGCTAGCATGATGAGTTATCAAGGCATTATGGACAAATAAAAGTAATGGAGCTCTAATATAATTCTTTTTAAAAGAAAAACAGTTTTTGGGAGGGAAGAGCAGGAAAGATGGGGTGCTTAACCCTTTCCCTGCCTGCTTTATCTCTACTACAAATCCTCCCCACGTAGACTTCCTTATCCTGTCAGATGGGTGGGATACAATAAATAAAAATTATTATAACTATTATGTCTAGAACAGGGCTTCAGGTTTTGTTTTGTTTTTCTATTGAGGGTCACATTCCCTTGGGGATGTTCTTTTGGTCGCTACATGCTGGTGGCAGGTAGGAAGAGCCAAAAGGCAGGTGGTGAGAGCCAAAAATGAGTGGAGTTTACTGCAGGATTGTATGGATCGTTTTCCCAGTGAGAAGCGGTCCAGAAAGCAAGAGTAGCCTCACCTGCAGCATCCAGAGAGCCCTGTGAAATGTGTGTGCCTGCTATAGTTTCCCCTATATGTCACCCACTCTCCTTGCCCTTCCAGTTTCTCTATTCAAAATCCTCTCCTCCCAGAGCTGTTCTTCTTTCGGAAGAAGGTCTTCACAACTTTGTTACATACCTTTGCACAAAATGCGAGTTTGGGGCTATGATCGGGCAAGTGGAAGCATGCTCATATCCGTTTGAGGATCAGCAGGATGATACAAGAGAGAGAGCGCTAGAAGTGTGTACCAGTCATAAACGGATGTCTTTCGTGAGAACTTCAAACAGAAACTTTGTACTAATTTAAATATTTTTTCCCTGTAATTCTAGAAGGAAATCCATCATCAAGAGAGAGTCAATAGACAGCCAGAAACCGTGTGCCAGGAATCCAGGGAGGCATGTCCATTCAGGGGTGTTCTTTCTGCTCCCACTCTCCATCAGCTCTCTATCTGGCCCTTGGGATTCTCCCCAGACCATACCCCCCTTCCCAGCCACATCCCCTTTCATCAGACCACAACCTTTCTTTGAGTTCTTTCGTCTGGCTGAAACTGGGACAATTGATTCTTGTTTGCCTGGATAAACAAGAGCAGGGGTGTGGGAATGGGCATAGAAACTAGCCTACTGTACAAAGGTAACTTTCACATTTGCTGCCATTCCCACTTTGGCCTTCCTCTGCCCACCACTGGCCTGTGGCTCTGGGAAGACTGCCCAGAAGGAACTGTGATATTTTGGCTGAAAATAGGTCCCCAACCTTGGCATGGGACTTACAACGGAGGACGCTACAAAAGGCAGGGCCCTTGATCACACAGAGAATAGCCTGTATCATACACAGAAAGCTATTGCATGGATGTCTGTAGAGGCAGAGGCAGCAGGTACGGACAGTTTCTGGGTGGATGGGGTCACGTTGCTGCTGTGTAAGCATATGAACTTTGCTCTATTTGCTTACGACATTTTTATGCTGCCCTTCCTGCAAGGAGATCAGAGCAGCATACGTGAATTCCTGCCCTCCATTTTGTTGCCTCAACAATACTATAAGGCAGGTTATGATGAGAAGGCTTGGCTCGCCAAAGGTCGCTTGGCGCGCTTCAGGGGATTTATGCCAGCTCGCCCCTGTGTCAAACATCCAAACTGCTGCAGTAAGCTACCTATTTGACTCTTTCAAATCATCAGTTCAACAGTTTTAGTATCAGAGTTCAATGAGTAGTTTTCAAAAGTTACAACAGAACACAGGAGAAATACTTCAGCTAGTTGTTAAAACTCGAACAGAAAGAAAATGTTTAAAAAGTGAAAATGTGATTCAGTTTGGGGGGAAATGGTGTTTTATCACTTGATTATCACAAGTTTCTCACATTCAGGTTATGGTGTTTGCTCCAATTATCACATAACTAAAGGGTTCGTGATCTACTTCTGTCTTACATTCTAGGTAAATCCACTCTTTGTGTCTTAAGAAGGCGCCCAGCAGGCACAAATCCCACAGTTAACATGGAGTTCATTTGTTATGAAAGGTGTACCTGTTGAATTCTAAATGATCACAGTTTCTCTGTAACTTATTTTGTACTGTATGTCTTCATCCACGGATGGTGAGGCAAGCATTTCAAGCAAGAGTGCTCAAATATGCAAGCGCTCTGTTTGAATCAATGTGAGCAAAATCAACGCAAGCATATAACCTGCCTTAGTTCTGCCCCCTTCCCTCCCCACCCATCTGAACCAATCCACAAAGCAAAAAAACAAAAATCCTACTTTGGGAGGAGATGGTAGCAGGACCTCACTCCCACCCCACTGCCATGAGAAATATATTTTTCTACCAGGGGCAGTATAATCATATCCCAAGATCTTTGGGAGGAAAAGATGCCCCATGCATTGCTGCTAGCTAGTCCATTGCCCCTTTCCCCAAGATAAGGATTTTTCTGCCTTATCAGTAGCAGATTGCACAGAAAAGTGCTGTTCAGGTCATAGCCCATGTGCCGCCAAGGTATCTAATCCTGAATGAAATGAGAGTATGCAACACTGTCCCATCCATCACTTATTCTTTTCTCTCTCTTTTTAATGCTGATCACTTTTGTGACAAATAGCCACACAAAGAGGTGTGAGCTTGCATCCTGTATTACTGTGGATTCTTTTTAATCTATTCTACTGGGGAGCAGGGAATGGAGAAACAATGTTTGGCATCTCTGGATAAAGGATCTCGTGTACGGATTCTGAAGTCTTAGGGATCCACTATGAATTAGAGCAATACAATACTGAGCTAGGTGGACCAATGTCCTCACTCTGTATAAGGAAGCTTCATATGCTTAGGATTTCTCCACTTAACCTAAGTGGAGAGACTTCATTCATTTAAGAAAACCATTTCAGAATGTTCCTTTCCTCATGTCAATGCACTGCAGACAACTTAGGATAATTAAAATCTTGGCAGAGCAGTGTGCCAGGGTAGCCTTCCTGCTTCTGTGTTTCTGTTTTAATCCAATGCTAGATGAACAGTCTGGCACTGCTGTTGCATTCTGGTAGCCCACAACATTAAGGGAATAATTTAAATGAAACATTAAAAAGTCAGCATTTATAAACTGGTATGGTCCTAGGTCCTGTGCTGCTTAACCCTGGAAATATCACAAAGGTACCCATAACACTGCTTCTTCATCTACATTCTACGCAGCTGTGGCAAAATACATAGGGGTGCCAATGGGGGGGGGGAATAACATTTTCTCAACAGCAACAAAGAATTGTATGAGTACAGGGTCAGTGCAGTATCCCAGTATCAGAAAGACTTTATGGGAGACACTTAGACCCTGCACAACAGATTGGTATCTACTATAAATTTGTTGGACTGCAAGGCCTGAGATTTGTACGATGAAATATCCATGGGCACCAAATATCTACTGACAGAGTCACCCTTCTCCGTGTCCATCGCACTAGCATGCCACTGGTAGGCAAAAAGTACTACTCACCTGCACTGAGTATAAACCATGTTACTTCCTTGTTCGCCATCATGGTGTGCTTTTTCCCTCACCCAAGCAAATATCCAGGTAATGAAAGATAAATCTGAAGTTTGAGGGAAGGACAACCTGCCTTCCTGGACTGTCTCCCCTCTTCTGTGCTGTATGTGCTGTTTCTGCTTCCTTCCCCTTTCACCCTTGCTCACCTTCCCGCCCCTTCAAACTAGGAGGGCAGGCTGTGTTCTTATCTTTTCCCTTTCAAGCTGAAGGAAACTACCCTGCCTGTTTAATTGACCCTATCCACAGCTAAGCAAACAACCTGTCTTTCCTGACCCCTTCTGACAGACGGGTACACAAAGGAAGCAATAACGTATCACAAACGCCCAGGTGAAAGTGCTCATGCAAGTACCATGAGAAAAATATTGTGGTAAGAAGACCACACTGCTGCTGCTGCAGGCACTACAATTTTTATGGTGATTATTCAAGAGTGCTGCTTGCTTCAGCCATTAAAGACATCAAGACTAGATGTTATCTGTGGCAGCCTAGCCTAATTTCTATTCATTCTGCTAACCTGACAGATGTGCTAAATATTTTGTTTATTCAGCACTGTTTTCATGTTGTGTGCTGTTAAAACACTTTCCACTTTCTCCACCCACTGTGCTGCAATTTACTGTCTAGGGTACATTTATAGCTAAAGCTCAGAAAATCACTATTATGTTTCTGGCGTCCTGGCTTTCCTTAATTTTCCTCAGGCACCACCTGTAGTTGCCTGAAACAGGGGCCAAAGGGTTGTGTTATCTCTCACAAACCCTTGAGAGATCACTCTGTTGTTGCTATCATATATTTCTGCTTCACTCACATACAAGAGTACCAGAAATGTGTCCCTTTCACAATACATAGAAAGTTGAACTTTGGCGTAAGTTTGGAACACATTCTGTGTACACACAAGACATCACAACTATTAGAAAATTCCGGGTATGGAGTATTTTTGTGTTCATTGTTTGAAACTGAGGGCACTTTCAAACTGCCTTTATTTTTAGGTAAGATTCTATCCATACAGAAAATTCAGGTTACAAAATTTAAGCAGGTTTGGAGTTCCTGCACCCATTTTACCATTACATCTTTGACTTCTTCATCTTTTAGGTGCCAATATAATAATAATTTATACATTTTAGACAGATTTTTTATTATTAGAGAGGAGTACTTTATCTAGTTCAAAAATTATCTTGTCAAACCCATTTTCCATTTTATCTTGTTTAAAAATTCCATTGAGTTGATGATATTGCAGCCAACTTACACCAATATGTTTTAATGTGTCATAGTCCTTTAATCTTAGTTGGTTATCTCATTCGTCTAAGACTGTACTTTTGAGATAAGGAAAGCGACATGTTCCAGTACCAACCCAGTAGGGTAGCCTAGTAAATCTGGTGTTCCCATCCTATTTCTGTCTCTCTCTGTTGCCCCCACCCACTAATGTGGCACCTAGGGCAAGGGGTGTGGGTAGGAATGGGTAGGAAATGGGTAGGAATGGGTAGGAAAAGCTTAGCAGAAATGACTATGCCTTGCTGCTGTAACTGACTGCATTGCAAAGAAAGAGGAAACTCGTGGTAATAAGTCAGGTTAAGAAATCACTGAGAGTAGCCAAAAGATAATGCCTTATAAGGTACTAGGAAGGTTTCTGGGTGACTTGGAATCATGAGGAAAAATGGAGAACAGTTAGAAAACTACTGAGCATGCTGAAAAGGGCTATGAATTTTGGTCAAACCACCCCTGGTGGAGCTACAGCTAATCAGCATGATCATGGGATGTATGTAATGGAGGGTGTACATATCAAGGGGGAAATAAGAAATAGGCGGCCCGGGAAGTCTGTAAACTGCAGTCTCCTAACCAACAGGAGAATGTAGGAGGGAAATTCGGACTGACTATAGGGTATAAAGTACCTTTAATGTACTTTATGGGGGCCTCCCTCTTTACAGGACAAGCTGGGGAGTTGCACATGCAGCGCTGTTTTGATAATAAACATTTGGTTTTGCCTGATCTCAGTGTCAGACTCCTTCTTATCATGCAGCAATTGATTCCCTCTGGGGAAGATCCCTGGGGCAAATTTGTCCAAAAGGGAGAAAGGGATGGGGAAACGGGATGACAAGCACTAACTAAAATTCTGAGGCAGGGAGGAAGCTTCCTTTCTGACCTCTGAACAGACACGGCTTAGGCGCCCAATAAAAACAAATAGCATGATTGCCCTTCATATATTTGGCCTATTCCCCAGCCAAGTGAGGTCCCTCGATGGGTGGGGATAGAGTTAAAAAGCCCAGGCAGGGACTGCACTTCTCTCTCGCCAACCTGACAGCCAGTGCCTGGAAGTGCTATTATTAGAAGGCTGATAAAATTTGAGGCTGACAGTTGTCCTGCCCCTTTGGGAAGAAATCACAGCGAGGGAAGGAGGGCAGCGGCCCTTGTCCTGACTGTGATCCCGGCGGCCTAATTCCCTGCTCTTTTTTTGACTGGGTGCTTCACTTTACTGCTAACAAGGAACATTAAACTGTCAGGAGACGTACCCTCCCAGCAGAACCGGTAAGTTGCTGTGGGGCTTTCATAGCTTCTTGCTTCGTTTGGTCTTGCTGGGTCATTGTGTGGTGTCAACAACTGCCACCGCCACCCTGCCTGCGGAGGCCTAGCTGCATTCCTGACATCTGAGACAAGCTGCAAGGGGGGCGAGAAAGGGGACTGTGTAAGGGAAGAGGCATCTTCCCTCGCGGCCTGAAATGGAGCAGGTATTTTTGTTGCACATTTATCACACATCTCCCCTGTATGGAGAAGCCTCAGTAAACAAGTGCTGCCTCTCTAGACTCCGTCCTAACAACCCAAGAGCAGGATCCCAGGGGTGCCATTTCAGATTGCTGTGGGGTGGGGGACAAAGTGCGGTGGTAAGGCTTATAGGTCCACTCAGAAAATTGAATTGCAAAATAAATAAAAAAAACCTCTAGCCCTACTTTATTCTGAGCTGGAATCTTAGTTGGGGGAGAGTCCCACTAAACACAACTGGAGTTACTTCTGAGTAGACATAGGGCTGCACTGTTAAGAGCATTTATTGTGATTTATTTTTATACTTCATAATAGCTATTACCTATGTGAACATTCACACTTTAAAAAAAAAGCAAAAGGATTTTGCTTTTAGAAGGCACTTTTAATGCATATGCCTATTCCACTAATCAGGGACCATTGGTTTAGGGCTGGATGTGATGGCCCTCACTTACTCCTCTGTGTGTGTATTGGACCTGTGTATATCTTTGGACCCACATGGCCCTGGATTGCTCTCCCCCGAGAGGCAGCCAGCTCAGTTTTGCCAAGTGGGGTGGAGGCAGGCAGACTGCTGGGGACTGTGAGCCCAGGGATATTAACACAGACCTTCCAAATGTCCCTATTTTCCAGGGACATACCTGATTTAGAGAAGCCATCCCAGATTCTGATTTGGTCCTGGAATGTCTCACATTTCCTTAAGATGTCTCTATTTTCATTGGAGAAATGTTGGAGGGTATGGAGTTATCCGACCCCTGAGCTGTCCGAAGGCACTCCTGTACAGTGGTACCTCTGGATGTGAACGGGATCCGTTCCGGAGCCCCATTCGCATCCTGAAGCGAACGCAACCCGCGTCTGCGCTTGCACGGGTCACGATTCGCTGCTTCCACGCATGTGCGTGACATCATTTTGAGCGTCTGCACATGCGTGAGTGGCAAAACCCGGAAGTAACGCGTTCTGTTACTTCCGGGTCGCCACAGAGCGAAGCAACCTGAAGCAACTTCAACCCAAAGTATGACTGTATAGGGAAGTTTTCTTTAATGTTTGCTGTTTCGTTATGTTTTTATATATGTTGGAAGCTGCCCAGAGTGGGTGGGGCAACCCCGTAAGATGTGTGGGGTACATATAGAAAAATTATCATTCTGGATTGGGACATCCCCATTTTCATCAGAGAAATGCTGGAGGGTATGTTAACAGTTTCTCTAACTTCCATTAATATAGTGCTTCCAAAGCTTCTTGCCTTCTTTCCAGTGGGTAGTATTGCTTTATGGCAAACATCTCTTTGGAAGAGAGGCCTGGGGTTTAAAGTTGTGTGGAATCAAATGTTTGATCTCAATTGCTTAGGGTGGTTCGTCGTGGAAAGGAAACCTCTCATACTTCACGTTCTCAGTAACACACAAACCCCCTTTCTGAACCACACTGATCTGCTTTTTGTAGCTTGGCAGATGGGTTTGCTTGATGTGCCTCTGCCTTTTAGTACGTTCCGATCCTCCTAATCCCACCCTCCCCAATTCCAGCGTGTTCCCACAGCAACTATGGCAAGTGGTATGGATTCAGATGGTGAGCAGGTGGTGCCCGATGGAGAAGACCCTGATGTGAAAGCCGTGCAGGCCCACTATCTTCGCAGTCCCTCTCCTGGCCGGTGAGTCTTTCGCCAAGTAGGCCTCTATATCCCTCTGATCACACGGAACAAACGCCAGCCATTTTCTAGCCTTCCCCCTTCCTTTTTTAAAATTACCTTACGCTAACCCTGTGCATTATCCAAAGCCTGAGCAAGGCAGAATTTAAAGGGTTCTTTCTAATTTCTTTTAGAAGCCAGGGTGGAGAGCTCATGCATTATTTAGCTAATCTAATTGGGTCAACTGAGGTTTTCCACAAATTCAAGTGTTATTGGGGGAAAGCATTATCAAAGTTAAGTGAGGCAGCACAGAGGAAACAGAGCCCACCCAAGCTGCCATCATTTGCATCAGTCTTTTCACAGTTCTTTGATTTGTTTGGATTCAAGCGTTTGATTCAGTTGATTGTACAAATTTGGAATCTTATGTGAAGCAGGATTTCTGGGTCTTGCATAGAGGCACGCCCAGTAATTCCAGTTAGAAAGCAATAGTCAGCCCCTATCTATTTTTGAGGTTTTCTTTATCAAACATGTTTTAGTCTCCAAGAGAGAGCCTTTTTCAATGCCCCAAACCTGTGTGATCTTGCCTTTTTCTCATTCAAAGGCATCGCTCAGTAGATTTCGACCCAGTGTGTGGCAACTGTTGGTGCGGCGGGGGGGAGAGGGGGAGAGTGAATTCCTTGCTAGGTATCATTCATTAAGAAAGGAATTAAAAATACAGCTGTTGATACCATAATGCTGTTTTGCAGAGCTACGGCATGTCCGCACTTGAAATACTGTGTGCCGTTCTGGTCGCCTCACCTCAAAAAGAATATTGTAGAGCCATCAAAGGTTCAGAAAAGAGCAACCAAAGTGGTCAAGGGAATTTGAGCGAGTCCTCTAGATGGAAAGGTTGCAGCATTTGGAACTTTTTAGTCTCTGAGAAAGGAAGGAAGGAGGCAGTGAGCAAAAGCATGGTCCAGTCTATATGAGTGTCTCAGTAGAGCCTATTAATGAACATTTGTTACACTTAAAGACGTAGTCACAAGTAACCCTCACCCCATGCATTCACTGAACATGTAAAAGGGGCTCCTGTTTTCTGGCGTGTTCTTAGTTCCATTCCGTAGGGATATTAAAGGATAAATCAGGCTCTGTAGGCTGATTCATTTTTTCTTTTATCTGTTTCTGTTCCCATGGCTGATGATGAGACTGAGTGCTGCTAGCCAAACCATCTGTCTTTCCTGCAGCTTAGATACACTTGGCCAAGTTCAGTTTTTTCTTTGCATATGGCTCATTTGCATGTACATTGTTAATATGCCCTAAACTTACTTGCAATTGCTTTTTTAAAAAAGTTCCATAGTGTTTTGAATATGTACGCGAGGGCAGTCACTTTGGCTCTAGATGTTATTGGGGTGATCTGTGCTTTCTCTTTACCTTGCTGCTAGATTATTCTTTGGGGAGGAGCAAAAGGGGGGGAAGACCACCCACTCTCTTAGAGACACACAAATCTATTTTGTGATTAAACAACTTAACAGTTAAATTCTATTCATATCTACTCAGATTGTTGTTTTCAATGGAATTTACTCTCAGCCAGTTAAATATGCCTAAATCAGGGATGGGGAAAGTTTGGTCTTCCAACTGTTGCTGGATTACAACTTCCATCATTCCTGACCATTGATTATGATGACTGACGCTGATGGGAGGAGAGTCCCATAACATCTGAAGGGCTATATATTCCCTAAATTATTGTGCCTGATTTTCAACATTTTCAACAGGTGTTTTATTTTTCCTCCTGTAAAATATTGGAGGAATTCATGGTTTAAGCAACTCAAAATGCTTTTAACTAACATTTTTCTTGTTGTTGGCAGAGAGAGGCTTTTTATACCAGCCTGTTGTTCTTCACTATGGATCCAGCAGTCCTCAATAGAGATGGAAGGGCTCTCTGTTTGTTTCCTCACTTGCTCTAGTACAACAGAGCTTCCAAACCCAAAACTCCTGTTCTTAGAGTTGCCACATTTTCCCTGCCACTGGCTGTGTACACCATACCTTTAAAGCTCATTTGAGCCACATTCTTTCCTTCCAAAAATTCTGGGCACTAGTTTGTTAAGGGTTTCTGGGAATTGTTACTCTGTGAGGGGTGGACTACAGTGCCCAGAATGTGCTTTGATGTGCTTTAAAGATACACAGCCATTAAAGGTTTCATGCTTTCTACAAATGGCATGTCAAAAAAGGAATTTGCCAGAGATAGTTTTCATATCCTTAGCTTGTAGAACAACCTTTTCCAACCTGGTGCCCTTCAGATGTTTTGGTCTACAACTCCCATCAGTGCCGACCGGCTTGATCATTGCAGAACGACCGCTTGGTGGCTTCCTTCACACATCCATGAACAGAAAGCTAATTGGATTTTCTGCATCAACACCTCAAACAGGTGGCTTTGAAAGTAGCACTATCAATGGAGCAAAACATTGTCTCTGCTACAGTTTCAGCATACTCAAGAAGGCAAGGGATCTCTTAAAAGTATGAGTGCTACTTGTATGTTTGCTTGTAATGCCGGCAGAACAACACCTTGCAGACCCTTAATTACAGATCTTCGTTTAAGTTGAGGAGGCGTAACTCAAACTGACATCCTCTGGTGCTATAAAGGAAAAAGCATCTTTGTGCTGCAGGGTGTATTGTAGAGGATGGTGTGTCTAGATTTTAAGGGTGAAATTCAACATTGCACTATGTTGATTGTTCTGCCAGGGCAAGCTTTATAGCTTGCCAGATGGAACAATCAGGTGCTGTTCTGGGGGTTCTCTTGACCATTCCTAGCCAATTTTGGGGGACACAGAAGAAGGAGAGGGGGAACCCCTGTTGTACAAACTGAAGTCCTATTGTTGGCTTCTGCTGCTGGGATGCATGAGTTGAATTCTGCCCTAAGTAATCGATTTCTAGGCAAAATGGCAGCCTTAACTTTAAAAGGGCTGAAGGGGGGGGCAAAAACTTTGTTTACCTTTGACAGAGGCAATGAAAGGGCAATGCTCACACTTGCTACATAAACACCAGAGCTCCATTCCTGCTCTTTCCTCAGCCAGTCCCTCCAGCTTAATATGCATTAGCTAAAGCCCCAGCTCTCTAGTGCTTTGTACACTTGACCCCTAGACATCACAGGCTTCTCCCGGCCTTCTCCACTGCCACTGCCTTGGGAAGCTGGCTGCCCATATAACGTTTCATGGTCAGTTGCTATGGAGACCAATTTTGATTAATGCAGCTGTCAGGCAACCCTCTGTTTACAACAGTCAGAGACATCTGGACTATCATCCACCCTCTAGTGGATGAAAAGGAAACATCTTCCTCGTCTGTAAAAAGAGACACAGGACTCCGTAACTTTACCACAGTGGTAACTAGAGTGTCACTAGAGGGCAGGGGGATTCGTGGCCTAATGCTTGGTCATTGCTCCTTGCTCTGTGCTCCCCTTTATCTCCAGGGGAGAGATGTGGGCTGATAAACCCCAGAGTCAAAGGGAGACAGCAGGTCATCGTTTGCCTCTGAGCTGCCTTTGAGCTGATACCGGGTTCAACAAGTTCCTCATCCCCACCTGCATTACTGTACAGTGGTACCTCAGGTTACATGCGCTTCAGGTTACAGACTCCGCTAACCCAGAAATAGTGCTTCAGATTAAGAACTTTGCTTCAGGATGAGAACAGAAATCATGCTCCGGCGGCGCGGCAGCAGCAGGAGGCCTCATTAACTAAAGCGGTGCTTCACGTTAAGAACAGTTTCAGGTTAAGTACGGACCTCCAGAACGAATTAAGTACTTAACCCGAGGTACCACTGTACATCAAAGAATGTTACAAGCATTATATTACAAAATCTGTGTATCACTACAGTATTTACTATGAGAGCATTCTTGCTCTTCATTTTGGAATAGGGAATGGGAGACAGTAGATTAGTTTATACAAACATTTTTTTGTTTTTGCTGGGAAATGCTTTTCCCCCACAGATTACTCCAGTTTACAAATGTGCCTCCATATGGTAAAATCAACATACAACAAAGGGAAATGTAGCATTTTCTGTAGATGAATTTTATGTTATAGTATTTTAATTCTGCACTTTTGGGAAGGAGGAACACATTGATGAGAATTAATAATAAAAGAAGCATTATGGGGAAATTTAAACTTGTTTTGACATTTTTTAAATTGCTTGTTTGTACTCAAACATGGGCTATCTCCCAGTGTCACCCCCTTCCTGTTCTGCTGTACAGTCTCCCCGCACCCTCAGGCTGCTCTGTTTTGAAATAGTTGTGGAGGCTGTCAAAGGTGAGTCAAACAACTTGTAGAAGCTTGCCTCACATCATTGTCATTTATTAACAGATATTCGGTGTTATCGGATACAGACACTGAGAGCATCTTCATGGAGCCCATCCATCTGTCATCTGCTGTGGCTGCTAAACAGATCATCAATGAAGGTAGGAGGCAGAAAGAAAAAGCAATGAAGACAATGAGTTTATGAGTAAGGGGAGGCTGGTGAGTAGGTGCCCTCACTTTTGAATAGAGGAATAAACTAGATGATTTCTGGTCCCTCCGTCTCAACTCAATTATCTTATAATATCTGGAGACCATTTATAGAACCTATGCTGATTAAGGTTACTTCCATAATCACAGTGTATTTTTTAATTGCTGTCCTTTTTACAGAGATTCCATATGACATCATCTTTATCATCATCATCATCATTACCACGCCTTCTTCCCTGACAGGGACTCAATCACAGATATCAATACTGATCACTATTCCATTCCTGTGTTTTCCTGTATTGTTCTCATATCTTTATTAATATATTTTGGGTAGCGTTGTTTAATTTAAAACATTTGCCATTCCAGTCTATCTAGCGTGTGAACTGGCAAAGTGTCACTGAAGCTTCGCTGGGCTACTGTACCTTGAATTAGAAGGTTTCTTCACCTTTGCCTCTAAATGCTTCCGATTTAGCAGGGCAATTGCCCCTTAATTCATCAACTCCCATTCAACTGGGGAGAGAGGGCTTTAATTACTGGTTCCCTCTAATACAAAAAGAATAATGAATAGAGATCAATATTTAAAGCTTCCTACCATGGGTTATAGGAGCCAGCTAGTGAAGAGGCAATGTATTAGTAATTCTACTGCCAAACTGAACAAGAAGCAATCAGAGGCAAAAGACGCAAGGATAAACCTTCTGAGTACAGTTGCTGAGGACCTTTGCTGAACAGCCCTTACTTCCAAGTTAAATATTGTAGAAGAACCCTGGCAATGGGGTTGGGTATTGTTGGATATTTAATGATATACTAAGTAGCACATGAATTTACCATTTAAATTCTATTCAGTGAATTCTACTCATTGTTATAATGAAGTGCCTTAACAAGGCTAAATGGCCTTGTATGAAAGCTGCTCTAGTACCAAACAACCCCTCTTGATATGTCTCTCTTTTACATTTTGCTAAACAAGACTCTAGGGGTTTTTCTTTTGAATTCAGTGGTGGTGCATCACAGTGCACTCTGCAACTGTAGATGAAGTGTTTGCCCTAAAAGCTAGCCAGGCTACTTTCTGCCTTCCATTCATTATTGGAATGAGATTCTACTTAACTCTATATTGAAATACTATAATACAGTAGAATGCTATGATACAGTATTTTATTTGTTCTATAACATCTGTATACCCATGTGACTGAGTTCTATGGGCAGTTTACGGACTATTAAAAATACAAACTAAAGTTCAACATTTGCATGGCACTAAAACCAGTGATGAATATATAAATAAACACCAATGCGGCAGCTAAAACAATGTGAAACCAGCAAAGGGAATAACTTGGTGAAAAGTTCTAAAAGCACAGGTGTCTCCATTATAATTAAAAGGTCCGAGAGAACAAAAAATATATCCAGCTGGTACCTAAAACACCATAGCATGGCATCAGGTGAGCCTTTTGTGGAAAGGCATTCCATACAGGAGGGAAAGTCACTGAAAATCCCTTTCCTTGTCTCACTTCATTAGGTGGGGAAATCTGGAGAAAGGTCTCAAATGAAGATCACAAGGCTTAGGCTTACCAAGATCCCATCAATATGATTTCAATATTCAATAGTCCATCAAGATTATAGCTTCAGCATTGATGTGCACATAGCTCAGATCAAGGGCCCAGGCACTTTGAGAAGATCCATACCATGCCTTTAAAGCACATTCAATGCACATTTAAAGCATATGGCTTTCCACCAGAGAATCCTAAGAACTGTAGCTTCACCCTCATAGAGGTACAATTCCCAGCACCCCAAACAAATGACAGTTCCCAGGATTCTTTGGGAGGAGCCACATGCTTTAAATGTGCACTGAATGTGCTTTAAATGAGTGGTGTGAATCTGCCCTTTGTTGAACACTCATTGAGAAGCGTGTCAAAGGTAAAGGTAAAGGGGACCCCTGACCATTAGGTCCAGTCGCGGATGACTCTGGGGTTGCGGTGCTCATCTCACCGCAGGCCGAGGGAGCTGGCGTACAGCTTCCGGGTCATGTGGCCAGCATGACTAAGCTGCTTTACCGTTGTCAAAGGTAAACAGGTGCTATTTTGAAAATGTAAGTGTTGTTTCATTCCAGAGCTGAAGACAAAGGAGGTGAAAGCAGATTCTGGGTGCCCAGGGATGCTAGAATCTGCAGAGCAGCTACTGGTGGAAGACTTGTACAATCGGGTTAAGGAAAAGATAGATGATACCAGCTTGTTCAACACACCATGTGTCATGGATTTGCAGAGGGCACTTGTGAAAGACCGTCTTGAGTCTCCAAAGGATGCCGTTGATGAAGTCTGGCCAAATGTCTTCATAGCAGAAAAGTGAGTAGGAAGACTGTTTCTCTATCATTCCTAGAGTTGGACTTCTCGCACTTTATTGGAGAAGAAGATAAATAATCCTAGGTGAAAAATCAAAATCTTTCAAGTGTCCCATCCCAAGATAAACTTATGTAAAGAATACCACTATAAAGGCAGAAACTGTTACAGACATACCTCATGTTGCGTCTGCTGCAGGTTGTGTGTTTTCGTCTTGTGTCCCGCGGCAACCCGGAAGTACCAGAACGGGTTACTTCTGGGTTTTGCCGCATGCGCAGAAGAGCTAAATAGCGTCGTGCGTGTGTGCCGACGCAGCGCTTCAGCTTACGTCAGTTCCGTGTTATGAATGGGCCTCCAGAATGGATCCCATCCATAACACGAGGTTCCACTGTATAGGGTGAATATTATAGCCTGATCTTCTGCCTGCATTCCTGTTAGTGACACAATGCATTCTTGATTTGAATGCAGTCAAGGAGATTGTACATACACCAGTGGTGGGAGATCAAAAACCCCTAAACCAAATTAATGAGGGAAGTCAGTTTCTTAGTCAACTAGTTGATGCTGTTTCTATTGCATTGGGGAATTGGCATCTCACATAATTGTTGGAATCTGAAAGTTTAAAGGACAAGTGAAGATTCCTTTCCCTCCATCAGGCCAGAATTGTACTTTGCAGCCAAGGTGCAGCTGCCACTGAAACAGGCAATCTGATGTCTCTTCCTTCTATCACCTTCATAACATTTAGTTATGCAGAACTTGTAACATGGCATTATGACTTTTCACTTCCTTTTTCCACCTAATTGGCTGCCATTTGCGGGGGTGGAAAAAATTATAACATGATGGCATCACACCATGCATTTTGCATTATTAAACGATGCCAGAGGGAAATGCACAGCCATTACTTTCAGAGGTCGAAAGGTGTTGACCATTATGTAGTTCCAGCCTCCACTTGCCATGCCCTGATTCTCTCTGATTCATGGTATGAATAAAGCCTGCTTTAAGAAGAAGACCAGCCAATGTACAAATAACAGCTGCTGTCAATGCTGTTTTAAACAAAAGAGCATGAATTATAAATAAGGTCTTCTAATTTCTGAGCCATTTTTGTTCATAAAAAAAGCTTTTCCCCCAATGGTTGCTTGTCACAGTTTCCAAATGTCAAATCACAGTGATTATGACACAATTTGGTATATGAGTCTTTTAACATTTGCAGCCATCATATTTCCTTAACCCAGTTATTTCAAAATCCCAGTACATATTGGAACGAAGGCCTTATGAGATATCTTGATGGTGTTGCACTGGGAGAATCATTTATGTGCCTTGCAGATGATTTGCTCCCTGCATTTGCCACAATGCCCAGGGCAACAATAGTAAACATTTTATCAGTGGGGCATTTATGACCCCAGTGATGAAGTGCAGCAACTTTCTAAATACCCTAACTGGTTGGTGGCTCAGCTACCCAGAAGGCAATCTCATTCCAAATGAGCATGGCCACTTATTACAGTCAGCAAGGGAGGCTCTCCTGTATGACCAATCAGTGGTGGGGGCGTGGCTTGGTGAAACATTGGCGATGGCTGCTATAGTGATCCCACCTAAATTTTGTAACTTCCTTCCTCAAGAGGTCTGTTTATTTCCCTTTCTCTTGACTATCCATTGCCTGGTTATGACATTATTATTCAGGCAGGTATTTGATCTGCCATGCTAATGAACTTTTAGCAGACTGGCCCTTTTTTAGCTGGTTTTATATCCTCCTCCTGGCTCTTTGTTTTATTATTGTATCGCTGATGTGTCTTTAATTGATTTCGTAAGTGTTCTTTAAATGTGTTGTTAGCCACCCAGAGTAATGTGGCTACACTAGAAAGGTGAGGTATAAATCTCCCTAATATAAAACACCGTTATGAGACTTCCAGAGATTTGTCATGTTGGCCTGGTGCACATGTCACTGTAAGCCAAAGTATAACTGGCACTGCACAATCATGCTGGCTCCCAAAGGGGAGCTCATGCCAACTCCACATGGCATGGCAGCTAAGTCAAGGTTTTGCTTAGCATACCATCCAAACTTGGGATCATGGTTAAACTCGCTAGTCTTCTACTACGATCTATGGCCAAAAACAAACCTTGGGATCATGGTTAAAGATGAGAGCATTTAACCATGATTGTGGAACTGGAGAACAAACAGTGATTAACTACTGTGCTGCACTAACCTAAACGGACCAGGAAAGAGCTAAGTTAGTGCAGTTTCCTTCCTGGCAGCCAGCATGTTTGCCAGGGCTGTCTTAAGCATATGTGGCACCAGGGTGCAAAGATCCGCCCGGCACCCCCCCCCCCACGGTTGGCCAGTCCAAGGCTCGCGAGAGGGCAGAGCTGGCCAGCCGCCTCAGCATCTCGCTGGCTCGATCGTCCCTGAACTCGTGGCGCAGAGCCACCCACAGCAGAAGAGCCCACTGTGGCACTCCAGCTGATGGGTGGGCTCTTCGCTGGACTCAACTCTCGGGCCCCAGACTCTCATCCTGGCTCCCTGAGAGCCTGGTGCCCTGCACCCCTAGTGCCTATAGATAAGACAGCCCTGATGTTTGCACTGAGCAATGGTTTGTCTTAGCACTGCATGAAAATGTGGCCATTGTAACCTTTTGTGTTCGACCAGATAGTTAACACATGTTGTGAACATGCTCGCACTTACAATACTATTTTAATCACCTGTGGGGTAGATCATTCATATTGCCAGTCTGCACAAACTTGCAGAGTTCCTCATCAACTCAACCCATTTTTCTATTGCTGGCCTTAGGCTAGTTTTCAAATACTCAAGAAAGTAGGCAGAATCTAACCTCTCTTCCTTTGTCTTGAAGGAGTGTTGCAGTGAATAAAGGTCGCCTAAAGAGACTAGGAATCACTCATGTGCTTAATGCTGCTCATGGCACTGGTGTGTATACAGGGCCAGACTTCTACAATGGCATGAACATCCAGTATTTAGGCATTGAGGTGGATGATTTCCCAGATATGGACATCTCTAAACATTTCCGTGAGGCTGCAGAGTTCCTTGATGAAGCTCTACTAACCTACAGAGGTATGTAGGGCAAACTGCACAACTTCTCATTTTCAGCTTCTGTTGGTTCATTATCATTTGAGAAGTAGGTATTAGGGCCACTCATACACACTAATGAAGTTCCTTCTGCTCTTCAGACTGTGTTTTTAATGTTTCTACCATGGCAATGTTAACCATTTAGGAAGATGAAAATAAATAAGTACATTGGGTTGAAGCCAACTAAGTAATCTCAGAGTGGACTCATTGAAAGCAACAGACATGACTAACTTAAGTCCATTTTAAAGTTTCTCCTCTGAATATGGGTACCACCTTTATAATTTATACACATATAATAATGGAAAATATGTTTAATATGGTGAGGGGCAAATTCTTCCCAAGTTTTGGAGCATCATTGTTCTATGGATTTGCACCAAGCTTCACCCCAGTGGTTTATCAACATTAGCGAATATAAATTTGGGGAAGATGCAGGAGTGGCCTGTGTGGTGGGAACCATGGTACCAACACTGGTGTCACTTAACTGAGAGTAAGCCAGGCTGAGCTCAATAAGAATTGCTTTGGATTAGAATGCATTACAGCATATATTCCCCCATTTGCTGCTATGCTTAAAATGTTTTAAGATGTCTGTGATGAAATATATAAATCATTTATTTAACTTAATTTACCATGTTCCCAGTTTAGGTATTAATGATAAATTAAATCAAGACTAATGATGGCAGAACCCACCCACCCCCACCAACTATTTATTTGATCCAGAAACTGTTTCAGAAATAGACTATTACATACTTCCCAAATCCAGTGTCCTCCAGATGCTGTTGAACGACAGTTCCCAGTATTCCTCTGGCAGTAGTTAACCACCTATATAATTTTACTTCTAGGAAAAGTCTTGGTCAGCAGTGAAATGGGAATCAGCCGCTCAGCAGTGCTGGTAGCTGCTTATCTGATGATCTTTCATCATATGACAATCTTAGAAGCCTTGATGACTATACGCAAGAAGCGCGCCATATATCCCAATGATGGCTTCCTGAAACAGCTCCGGGAGCTCAATGAAAAGCTATTGGAGGAACGAGAAGAGGAAGGTGAAAAAGATTCTGATGATGACACAACCAGTAGCCAGAGTTCTGTTGTCAGAGCTGGAAGCTCTTCCTTGATGTCTGGGAGAGAAGATTCTGGGAGTATCATGGGAGCCAAAGTCCACTCTATCATGGTGGAAGAAGAAGACACAACAAGCCTCCTGGGAAGTGTAATGAGTACCTCCTCTATGGGAAAATCGAGCTTGGTTTCCAAGCAGCCTACTCTTATCAGTGAAGAAGAGGAGGAACAACTCTATGAAGAATGGAGGAAGAAGCAAGGTTTGCCTGCAAAGGAACTTTCAAACAAGGATGGAGAAAGCAAACCCTCAGACCTTACATTTCAGGTACAGGAGGAATCTGAGGCGGATACGAGTCGGATGATCCAAGAGTGGCAGTCCAAAAATGAAAAGTACCAAATGGAAAGCTACTTGTTTCCCAAGGAGGAAGAAGGAGGTTCTAGAATGGGAGAAAGGCCATGTTCTGTAAATGATGTAAGTGAAACAGAAAGTGTGAGTAGCCAAGAGATCAGAATCTTGAAACAACAGCTAGAAGCAAGTGGCATTAACAGAATGAGGAGAGGGCGTACAGATTCCATGTCTACAGAAAGCAGCTGGGATATGTGGAATGAGAGGATGATGGAGATAGAGAAGGAAGCTTCTCGGAAATATCATTCCAAAACTAAATGTGGTCATGAGAAGCCAAGGCCTGACAATGGAACAAATGGGAGGGATATGGATGAGGAAAGTATATTATCTGATACTAGCTCATTTTATAATTTCTGTCAAAAGAACAAAGACAAGCTGACTGCCTTAGAAAGGTGGAAAATCAAGAGAATTCAGTTTGGATTTCACAAAAGAGACTCAGAGGCCTCTGAGAAATCAAAGGATGAAGATGGCAGCCAACAAAACAAAGAGGCTATGGAAGAGGAGAAGAACTTGTCAGATATCAACCTGACAGCTTACCAAGCCTGGAAGGCTAAACATCAGAAGAAGGTAGGCAATGAGAATAAGGATGATATTGTGGAGCTTGCTAAAGGTGAAGATTCTGCTTCTTCCAGAAGAAAGCAGAGGCGAATGGAGTTACTTGAACACTCAAAGAAAGTTCTGGAAGAAAGTCAGTCTCTCTGCAGCTGGGAGGCAGAGAGTACAATGAGTGGAAGCATCCCTTTGTCGGCCTTTTTGCCATCAACAGCTTCCATAAATGGTGCACAGGATTCTGTCTCAGTATTGAGCATGCAGACCAATCGCTCATCTTTCTCTCAGGCTAGAGGTGGTAGTGGGGCAATGTCAAACCATTCAGTAGCTACAGGTGTTCCCAACCTTCCTGTTGGCCCAGAAGACACTATATCTATAGCCAGTATTCAGAACTGGATTGCCAATGTTGTTAGTGAAACTATTGCTCAGAAACAAAATGAGATCCTAATGTTGTCCCGCCCATCATCGGTATTAGCTTCAAGTGTTAAATCAGTTGATGATGACAAGGCATCTCTGCTTAGTGCACAAAGTGGCTTATCACTACCTAGCTCACTATTTCACCAGCAGGGCAACCAACATGTTGACATTCAGTCCATGCTGTCTTGTAACACCTCAATGAGTGGAAGGACAGGAGGATCCAGCTCAAGCAGGAAAGTGACACAAACAAGCAAGCCTCTTTACAGCCTCTTTGCTGATGAGGTTGACTTGAAGAAACTTAACAGAAAGGAAAGGGAGATGCAAACCGAGATGAGAGAGAAAATGTCAGATTACCAGACTGAGAAGCTTATCAGTGACAATAAACGTAGCACTTTATTTAAGAAGAAGAAGATCAAGGAAGAGGATGAGGATGAGAAGGCAGAAAATTATGCAGAAAATGTAATTGGTGGCCTTAGGTACCCTTTAGAAACTCATAACGACAGGAGTGACACAGCATCTTCTTTCTCAGGCCAATTTGCCAGAGCAGGTGCTATAAGGTCAGAGGTAGAAAAGAATGTAAGTAAGTGGCTCAGTGGCTTGAAAACAGAAGAAAAGTCCTCATACCAGGACTTCTCTGATGCTAGTGGAGAAAAATACAGGAGATCATCATTCAGAGAGGTGGACACTGAGGCTTCTAGCTATAATTTTTGCAGATCTCAAAGAGAAGAAATTGATCGCTCTTCAACCTTTCAGTGCAAAGATGACTTGCAGAGAACCTCCTCGCGATTTTCCTCTGCCTCTGCACAAGAAGATAAGGCAGCTCGCACATTTACACGGTCCAAATTCAGTGAGACAAGTTCCAGAGAAGAAAGTCCAGAGCCACATTTTTTCAGGAGGACACCAGAACCATCCAGCAGCTCAGAATCCCCTGAACCACCCACCAGGAGCCGGATCAGGTCGCATCACTTGGAAGAGCGCGAAGAGGAGTCCAGTTCAGACACGTCTGAGTTTGGAGCCAAGAGAAAGTTCACCCAGAGCTTTTCAAAGTCTGAGGAGAATGCAGAGAAAGAAGAAAAGGTAGAAGAAAGAAAAGAGTGTTATGCATCAAGGCAGTTATTCAGACACAGGCAACGCATGCGCAAGGAGGAGGAGGAAGAAATGGATGATGATGCCATAATTGCTGCCTGGAGAAATCGGCAAGAAGAAACTACGGCAAAGCTCCGTCGAAGGAGAGAGGAGCGGAGTGATAGAGAACAAAGTCATGCCAACTCCATGTCTCCCCCTCCCATTTGAAAGAAAACTTCCACAGTGCCTACGAGAAACCAAGACTAAAATGCCCCTCTGTTTCATCAACCTCCATTGCATTTCCTATTACCCTTCCCAGAACAGAGCACTGCATTAATCTTACAGGTATTCTCTTATCTTTAATTCTCAACCTGAGATGAAGATACTAATGACAGTGGCTCTTCCCAAGAAAAAGGGATTGTGTCAATAGTCAATTATTGGTGTACAGAAATGCATCAAATTGTTTTTGAGACAATTTCTTTAACAAAACAGTAAACATAATTAACAATAATAATCAAAAGAAACAACAGAGGCTCAGCTAATTTGCTTCAGATATTCATTTGATTCTGTTTACTGCAATCATTGAAGAGTCACTCTGGGTTTGGTTTTTCCCCCCCTTTCCACCTCATCATGATTAGAATTGGAACAAAATCAGCAGCCTTTGCCACTAGTTTGAAAATGTAGCTGCTCTTACAGCATATATGCCCTGTTCCCTTGTGGATAGTACAATTGAACTTATATTATTCCTTTCCTTCTAAATCCCAAACCACAGAGCCTTTTCTTTCTCTTGTGTGTATCAATAGAAGGGAAACTACTGAGAGAATAAATGTAATGTTTGTTCCCATGACAACTTGTAACTGAGCAAAATATCAATCATTGGTCACATGGGGAGATCTTGTTTAAAGGTTTTAATTTTGTTTGCTATAAAGGAGACAACACTAGATAGAACAAATTACCTTTGGATCAAAACATCAGGCCCAGCCTTAGAAAACATATGCTACAGTGGTGATTATCCCTTTTAAATGTAAATCCAGGATATATATTGGTGTGTGCACATTAAAGGAAAGAGATTCACATCTGTTTGTTTGCTATGGATCATGGAATCATAGAATTGTAGTGTTGAAAGGGACCCCAAGGGTCATGTAGTCCAATCCCCTGCAATGCAGGAATATCAGCTAAAGTGTCCATGACTGTTGGTCATTCAACCTCTGTTTAAAAACCTCCAAGGAAGAAGAGTCCACAACCTCAGGAAGGAGACCATTCCACTGTCAAACAGCTTTTACTGTCAGAAGGTTTCTCCTGATGTTTAGTCAGAATCTCCTCTCTTGTAACTTGAAGCCATTGGTTTGGGCTCCACCTTCTGTATCAGAAGAAAAAAAGCTTGCTCCGTCTTCCATGTGACAGGCCTTGAGATATTTGACGATGGCTACCATATCCTCTCAGTCTCCTCTTTTCCAGGCTAAACATACCCAGCTCCCTCAACCATTCCTCATAAAGCTTGATTTCCAGATCCTTGGTCATCTTGGTCGCCCTTCTCCTTGCCATAAATTCACCCCACCCGGCCTATTCTTTGTCCAGAATGTCCTTCTACTTCATCTTGCTCCTCAGACCTTCCCCCTACCCTGCATAAATCAGGAGCAGCCAGACCTGACACCATCTTCAGCCTCTTCTCTACATCCATAAGAATGGGCTGGTAATAAAGTAATAAAGTGGCAGAGGCCTGAGGTGATAGAATTGACTGCATCATTTCAAATGTTGGGAGGGGAAAAGAAAAATATTTTTGAAAGCTCCTCTACATTAACAATGCACTGCAATCAGAAAAGTGATGTGCTATGGGGTGGTATTTGCAGGAAGCTTAGTACGTGGGAAAGCAATTAAAAAAAAAAAAAAAGCATACCCCATCAGCAATCTAACGTAGACCAGTCCAGGGCAGATTCAGATTTGAGGGGGCTTTTGGCAATGTGGCCTCACCAGGCCCCTGACTGTGGGCTTACCTGGCCACAGCAGGTGACTGTGGGCCTCTATTTAACATTCTCCACCATGCCCCTGACATAGCATTGTTCTGGGACATCATGGGAAATGGGAAGTGCTGGTTTGTCAATCAGGCAGGGTGGGCCAGCCCAGGAGGAATCCCTGCCAGAGTGCTAGGGCACCAGCTTTTGGCATCAGGCCTGGTGCCATCCAAAATTACCTCAGGATTCTGTTACCTCAGGATTCTACTGCATGTGTAGACTAGACCTGAAATCCCAAGTCCAAATCACCTTTGCTTTCCCCAGATAAAAATGGCACTCCTTCCCACCACCTATTTCTATCTAACCAGTGTTTTGAGTTGGTTTCAGGTAATTATGACTGTCCATCATTTTTAAAATAAGAGGCTTGTTTTTAGACAAAAGGGTGTTTGATTCTTTTTAAATGGGCAAAGTTGATTCAGCCGCATCTGCCTTTTTCGTGTGCTCTCACCTCCCTCTGCTCTCTTTGGAAACAAGGTTTAAGTCCATCTACTTTCATATTTTCAAACAAAACTCATGAAAGGGCCATAAATACCATGACTTGTTAAAATGAAAGCTGTTTTCTCTTCCTCCCATGAGACTCCTTCCTGCGAGAATGGTAGAGAGAGTTCAATTCTTTGAAGAATTCTTCTTCTGTTCAACTAGCTGCAACTGAAAGCTCTCTTCTGGGCTTTGTTCCTTGCATCATCTTGACCAGGCTTTGCCATAGCTCTTCTTTTTCTCTCTGTTGCTTCTGCAAGTGTGAAGGAGGATCAGTGCTGGATAAGGAAAATGGCTTCGTTTGCACATTCTCAAAAAGCTTTTCCGGAGGGGTGGGGGAGAGAGTGCCATATATGAAAGGCTTCCTCCCCTCTAATATAGAAAGTTGAAATTGCTATACCTTCTTTAGCATGCCAGAGGCACAAAATGAAGGTTAACCAACTCTGGGACAACCAACTAAAAGGTGTAATCAAGAGATGACATTTATTCCTGTTCATAATTGGAGATTGGCTCTGATAACATCCCCTCTCTCCTGGGTCATCCCAGGGATAAATCTTTGCAGGACCAAGGCCAGGTATTAAGGAGCGGGGCTTGCATTTTAAACTTACCGGTACCTAATTCACAGTTTCCAAAACAATACAGGAATTGATCCTTTGAAATCGGCAACTCTCCAAACTTTCCAGTGCAACCAATTGGCCCCAACCAATGTGCACAAAAAAGGGAGAGGTGTACATAAAATGGTGAAAATAACATACAAAATGCATTATTTCAGGGAAAGGTTTGTGCAAAATGTGTATATTTTTCAAAAATGCATGCAAAAATGTGTTTATTGGGAGAAATGTACACTAAAATGCCGACAAATTTCATAAAGATTTTTTAACAAAAATTTTGCAAACTGGTGCAGAGATGTGGCAAACTCAACATAAGATTAGAGAAATGAGAAAATGACAGATTTGTTCATCCCTACCAGAGACAGGTGGGATCATGCCCAAATCTACATAACTGCAAATATTATTACACAGGTCTGGGTTTGATAGTGTCACAGTTGCTGGTGGTGAAGTCTTAAATGAATTCATTTTACCTTGGTAAAAATCAAATAAAACATGGGGTAGGGATGGAACTTTCCTGCTCTGGAGGACCTATGTGAATGGGCAGTAGGGGGCAGTACTTACTTTGCAGCACCCTCAAAAAGGAGCTAGAGTTCTGGGCAGCAAAAAAAACTTTTACCCACAAAAACATGTCTTTTTGCATCAAAATAACAGACTGTCAACAAGCCAGAAGAATCTTCTGGGAATCTTTATGGGAAAGCCACTCATTCATTGAACAAATCCAAGAAGAGTGATTTTTCCCCACCATTATATCAGCCCAATGATTAGTCTTTAAGGAATTAACTGATTGTAGCCCATGCTTCCTGTTTGCCTTATAAAAACCTCATTATCCAGTAACAGGGGATCTTTTCTCCCCTGAAGCAATAACCACTTGAAACCAAGATGAAGGTTAAAAGGCCTCACCTTTTTTGCCTGGATGAGACCTTAGTTCTCGCAACAAGCAGATGAGACCCCGGGGGAGAGGTTGCATCAGGTACAATCTGCTCCCATGCCAGTCACTTGAAACAAAAGAGGCAGACAATGGTGAAATAGGCAGCAGAGCCTCTGAAGTTGATCTTGAGTGAGGGATGGGGAACTCGTGGCCCTTCAGAGGTTAGACCCCATCTTCTATTAGCTTAGACAACATAGCCAATGGTAAGGAGTTGGGGTCTAATAACATCTGAAGGGTCACAGGTTTCCCCATCCCTCACTCAAGATCAGCTTCAGAAGCTCTGTTCTGCCCTTGTGTGTCATCCAACAGGTGCAATGAGACAGGGTCTTTTAGGTACTGATGCTGACATACTGGAAAATTATCCTTAGGGAGATCTGCCAGGCATCTCTCTCCTTGTTAAGTATCTGCTAGGATGCTTTCCTTTACAGATTTACTGGGGAGTAAGACATCGTAAACACATTCGGCCTTGCTTCTAAGCAGACAGCCTTAGGACTGCTGAACTCTTTTTAACTGCAGCTTTCTACTGTTCCTCATGTCAGCTGTTTTAATATGTGCCTTTTAATATTGCTTTATTTGATGCATTTTTGTTAATTTTGAATGCAGCTTTTAGTGTTTTAAAAAACAATAGAAGGGGAGGAAAAACTTAGAAGGGGAGTAAAATAACCAATCGTAAGTACAAGGCTTTTTATTTCTTCTGCTGAAGTCTGACTCATTTTTGCTATTCTGACTGTGTATTTGTTGTATATTGTCCTTTTTAATTGTAGTCCTGCTAATATTTTGTTTCTATTTGTCTGCACTAAAACGACATTTCTCATGATGCAGGAATGCCCTTTCATTACAGTTTAGAAAACAAGTAGCATGTAAAAACATCAACAAATTAATCAGATCAACAAATAACTAATATTTATTTATTGTATGCTATAAAACAGAGCATAGTTTAAACTGGCTTGACTGTGATTTTGGTGGAGAAATGCTGCAAAGGATTACAGAGAAAACAGCCTGTTTTCACAGCGCTGTATGCCTTTCTCCAGCTGTTTAACATATTTTCAAAGCATTTGAGAAACAGCTTGAAGAGAGTCCGATAACACTAGCCACAGAAAGTAACCAAGTTCAAGGTTTTTAGTGCAGCTGCTAACAGCAAAAATAGGGCTTCCCAGAAATGTTTCATGCAGCACCAATTTTGTTTGGGCAAAATTTCAGTGTCAAAATGCATGACAAGGGTTCCCATGCAAAATGCATGGGAAATGGAACAGTTTTTCCACTTGGCTTTTTGTTTTTTTTAAATTTCACAAAGCTTTCTAAATAGTACCCAGTGATCACAACACATATCCCTATTGGTTTCAATGGGACTACAGAATATAAGGGATTTTATCCCTCTGTTTGTCAGAGCCAGGACTTGAACTTCTTTGTCTGCAACCTCAGACTGTGACTCAACCTTGACTTTATCCCACACTGGAGTATTATCATTGACACCATCAAAATTATTTATTTATTTAATATACCTCTATCCCTGAAGACACTTGCACCTCCACAGACAACAGAATTATCCCCAAGCTGCATACCTGATCCTTCAGGAGGTGTGCTGCCCTGTCCAATACATGTTGCAAACCTCTATGTAGTTCAGCTGTTTCCAGCTAACAGTACTTTCATCTTGTCTTAAGTTTCTGTTGGTTTGCCCTCATCCATCCTAAAATGGCCTCTGGGTGCCTGTTAAAAGTTTCCGTAGCCTAATTGGGATTAGTAGGTAGAAACAATGAATTGAGCTCGGTGTGCACCTGCGTGCTGGTGAGACCTTGGCTTGTGGATGACATCTCCCAATACATTATTACATAATAATTCTATGCCCTGCATTATTTCCATGTGGCAGGAGGATGAGGAAAGATGCAGTATTCTTGGGGTCTCAGCCTGTGACAAGCAGCTGTCACTTGTGCATGTGAGAAACGTTATAGCAAGACAAGCAACCGCCATCAGATACAGATACCTTGTTCCATTATACTGCGCAGTCAGTTTCATTCTTCTTTCCCAGTCAGCGCACTGACTGATGGGAAACAGAGGGATTTAGTTAAACTGCAATATCTCCATGCACCATAAGGGTATTTCTAAAATCTATTTTGACATAGCTATTGTAGTTAATTTCCAAATCGCTGGCTTTTCTCCTCTAATGATCCTTTCTGGCCAGAGTTCCCAAATGTGATTTGAAATCCCATCTCTGCGTGTCTAGGGAAAGATTGATTGTAAAACATTTATATGCCAGTTCTGTAAATCTCCAACACTGTGGAAGATACAAGCCCTGACGTGTGTTGCAGCGGCTAGGGCAGTGCACTCTGCCCTCTCCACCTTGGTGGATAAGCCCGGCTTGCAAAATAAAGTGCAAATTAGCTGGAGCCCAAAATTTTCTCCACTAGGTGGCTAGGCATCTCACAGAGTCATATGGAATCACCATATATGGAAGAAAGGGTGGGGATTCAGTGAAGAAGATAAATAACCCTTGGAGGCAGGGGGGCAGCTGCCCCCCATTAAGTAAATAAATAAAAATTCTTTCCCCCCCCCCCAATAAATCCTAGCTACTCCCATGCTTGGAGGATTTCTTAATCCAGTCAGCCGATGGATATAGAAGGTCTACCTCAAAGATCAGAAGGGCCTAAGTGGAATTCAGTTTTCTAAGATTTGTGATCTCCTTTTCCTGCTAGCTCAGTTGGTAGCGCATGAGACTCTTAATCTCAAGGTCATGCGTTTGAGTTCCATGTTGGGCAAAAGGATTCCTGCATTTCAGGGGGTTGGACTAGATGACCCTTGTGGTCCCCTCCAACTCTACAATTCTATGATCCTGAAAGAGGAGAGAGAAATTTATCAGTCAAAATGATTCTGCACCAGTAACTGTCTCCCAGCATTGTCTTGAATGAATGAATTTTATTCTTTCGGTCACAGACCAGTTCCAGCCCACATACAATATCAAGGAACTCATAAAACAAGACAGGGATACATTTGAATTTGCAATTAGGTGTAACGGGGACAATACAGATATAGCAACAGTTAAAATTATATAAATTAAAACTTAGCCATTGTTTTACAGCTCAGTTTGTGATGTGTTGTTGTTTAGTGACCTGTTTAGAGCAGCTGTCATTGTAATGCTATAGGCAGGGCCAGTTCCACTTCTGGGGTGGGGGGTCTCAGCATATTGCCTTCAGAAGGCCCCTTCCTACATCAATGGGACTTCCCATGAGTCCTGGCTAGGTTCCTAGGCAGTGGCACAGCCAGCAGCAGTTCTGTGGAGCTTAGAGCTCCCATTTATTTATTTTGTTATTACTAAACTGGGGTAATGTCAAAAACTGTCATGCCACCGTGGGGCTCATTAGAGGAAAGGGAAAGGGGGCTGCAGGAGCTGAGGCAGGTGCTGGGTCCCTGGCAGCTGCCCAAGAATATCAGGTGCTAAATCTGACCTGGCATATTGCTGCCCATATGATTCTATAATTGCTCTCAGCTTTAATATCCTACACTGCCTTTATTATGAACTCCTGAGAATGGATAAATCCAGTCAGCAGAAGGAAGCTGATGGGATTCTTTAGAGACTAGCAAGACATAACTGGAATTTTGTTTTATAAGAGTTGGTATCTCCTTTTCAGCTCTTTCTCATACCCCTCAACTGTCCCGATTTAACCAGGGCATCCTGTTTTGGGGGGCTGTGCGCTCACATAAAATCACAGCTCCGAAACACTGTGTTTTGGGGCACTGTGCTTTTGTACGGGTCACGTGACTCACGCAGGAGCGTGGCCCCAAAAGATGCACATCCTGTTTTTTCTCTAGGACATGTTGAAGGGTATGCTCTCTGTTATAAGAATGTTTAGGTCTTATATATATATAATAAATGTTCATATATGTACCAAGCAAACACATATATAAATATATAAAGCACATGTCTGAAACCCATGGGAAAAGTCCTAAAGCCATTTTGACTCTTTCAGTCACCTCAAATATTTCTTTGCAAGGTCGAAGGAAATGCAGAAACCTCCCCATTGTCTCTGTCCTCACAAATCCTGCCTTAAGGGCACATTTAAGGTGTGAATAGAGTGAGCCTGTGACCTGGCTCAGTAATTAAGTATTATCATTACAAAAAAATGGCCAGACTCCCCAGGTAATCCAGTCAAGTGACCATTAACAGGTAACCTGGCAGACAGGGTAAAAACGCACTCAGATTTCTGTTGTAGACCACCTTTTCTGTGATGTAGGTATGATGTATCTGCGGGGTGGTCTTGGACTCCAGGGTGGGCAATTTAAAATGTCTATATAAAGGCAGGCACACCTTTGTACTGGGTCCTCCTCCTCTCTCCTGCGTGTGGGGAAGCACCCTGTTGCAACAGGCTTACTAGCTGCTTTGCTTCTCAATATTCTCTGGTTGGTCTCTGTTATTTTTTCCTACTGATAGAGAACCTACAAAGGACTCTAAATGGGCTCTTGGGTACCCCATAAGGGAAAAGGAGCAGTTTTTTTACTTATATCACTCTCTATCAAGAAAGGCTAACTACAACAAAAGTAGCACCAAGTAGATGCATCTTGGGGAGAACCAAATTGTTTCTTCTGCTTGTTATGTGAGCTGTAATGTGTTAGAAACATGTGCTGCAATAATATATTATTTAAACGCTGACAATATTAACTTACGTGCTACAGCTAGAGAGCGGGTTGCACAGTCTGATTGTCAACAATAATAAACATTTGTCGGTCTGTTTTAATTAGCCATACATTTAGTCATAAAACCTATCACATTTGTTTACATATGTTTTATTACCTGTTTTTGCACCACGAGGAATCAAACTGTCAAACAGATGAACCTTGCTCTGTTTGAGGTTGTTTTGGTAGTGTGATATTTGTGGAATCACAACAGTAAATGAGGAAGAACCACACATCACCTCCAAATCATTGGGCCCCAAACTGGAACAGATGCACCTGGTGGCTGAGGAAGACAATTGGTTTGCTTCTTTTCTTCTGTTCTGTGACAATTAATTTAAAAAAAAAAAAAAACCTACCTGTTACTGGAATGGAATTTGTAAGTATTATGATATAGATTGTTGTTGTTTAGTTGTTTAGTTGTGTCCGACTCTTCGTGACCCCATGGACCAGAGCATGCCAGGCACTTCTGTCTTCCACTGCCTCCCGCAGTTTGGTCAAACTCATGTTCGTAGCTTCGAGAACACTATCCAACCATCTTGTCCTCTGTCGTCCCCTTCTCCTTGTGCCCTCCATCTTTCCCAACATCAGGGTCTTTTCCAGGGAGTCTTCTCTTCTCATGAGGTGGCCAAAGTATTGGAGCCTCAGCTTCATGATCTGTCCTTCCAGTGAGCACTCAGGTATATGGATACAGAACACTAAATTAGATTGATAGAACAATGCTATATGTATATCTAATCAGAAGCAAGGCCCACTGAGCTCACTCCCAGGTAAGTATATAGGATTGCATTCTGTCAGCTATTCCCTGTTGTGATTGATGAGGACTTGATTTGGACTTTGAGATAGGATTTTTAAAAAGACAGGCTACTGAGGCAAACATTGTCATTTATAACTATATTAGGTAGTGTACAGCTAGGATCATAAGAAAAAAAACAGAAAATTGCTATACCGATTTTAAATAGAGAGAGTCTTCCCCATATTGACATAGAAAAGATGTTTGCTGGCATTTCAGATGACAATTCTGGGGCAAGTCTATTGATTCTGAACTAAGTATTCTATTGGGCAGGTATAGTTTTTGCTTTCCCCAATCACCATGTATACTCTTACTACACCTTTTTTTACTATCCCTGAAGGAGTGCAAAAGGCACTAGTGGAACGTGTGGTAAAATCTAATGAGGAAACTGCCACTTACCTTCACACATCCTTCAGACTGAATGGCTTTTCATGTCATTCTTCAATTCCCAGTAGTGAGGTGGATTTTGAAACCTGGAAGCTGCTAATACAACAGCTACTAGTGGACTGAGAATTGCCATCAGTAAGAGGGCAAAAGAAAATTAATAGAAAGTCTTTCCCTTCCAGCTTTGAGTGTAGCCTTCAGTGAAGGGAAATGTGACGGCAGTAGAATGTTTGTCAGCACATAACTTTCTTTCCAGTGCTAATGAACAATGTGCCCAATTTCTACAGACATTCCAAAAGTCTGTGGAAAACCCCTTAGAGAATCTGAGGAGATTAAACAGTTGCCGGAGAAAAGTGTTAGAAAACGTACTTGTGGATGCCAGCAAATTCTGATGTGCAGCTGATAAAGCAATTTATTCATGGAGGTTTAGGTGATTGTGAAGCTCCATCTAAGACCTGCTCAGACAGTCATTCTGCTTCTAGGGTGTCATATTCACACAGCTGCTCTATAAGCTTCTACAATACGAGGAAGAAAATGGAGCCATTGGGGGGGGGCACACAAAGCAAACCAAGCAGCTCATGTCAAACTGCAGAGTGGTGATAGCTAATGTTTTTCAGCTGGAGGGGCTGCATCACCTGGGCTGTGCACATAGTGTACACCAGTGCCTGAGGATCACACAGATCCACTTTTTCATGTGTGATTTTTAGCATGTTTGTCCATCACACTAGTGGTGGTGCTTGAGGGGATGTATTTGCACTGTGGTGTTTCCACCTCCTACCCTGAAATTAGTACATCCCCAACCTCCCATGGTGGGTATACATGCAGGTATTTGTTTATGAGTGCATGTGGCCATTTATTATGTTTTAGATACAAGTTTTCCACTGTACCAAACTTGCACCCAGGAAAACAGCACCACACCCACAAACCCGGCCACACAATGTGCTTCAGTACATACACAGTTGGGTGACATGTGATTTTCTGTTGGATTTATTTTCCTTGTTTCATCATCCACAAATCAAGTAAATCCATATTTGGGGGGGGTCTTCCCCTAGTATGAGGAAATTATGCGCACAACATGAAAAAATGCACCCATGGAATGCATCATAAGCACTCTAAATTGCTTTGTGTACACAGCCCTGTTACAACCCTTCCATGTGGCTGTGGCCTAAAAGTATGGAAGCAGGAAGCTGTGGGCAATTTGGTGAAGAAAATCAACACAAATGGAAAATAACATGGCTCAAATTGATGTTACTGCAATATAAATGGATATCTCTTCTAAGAAGGGGAAGCATCTGCCTAGGCAAAATGATCCTCAAGGCATCCTCAGCTGCTAAAGGATCTGCTTATCTTAATGCATGGTTCTTCTATGGCTCAGTCGATAAAGCATGAGACTTAATCTCAGGGTTGTGGGTTTGGACCCCACTTTGGGCGAAATATTCCTGACTTGCAGGGACTAGATAACCCTTGTGGTCTCTTCCAACTCTACAATTCTATGGGAAAAAACAGCCTAAAGTGAGGTAAATTAGTTGTGCAATACAAATCTGGTAAAAAAGAAGTTTGTTTCCAAAAACTCTGAAAACTGACACTGAGAGGTGATACTGAAGAATTTATTTTGGAATAACTCGGGTGTTAACTAGCAAGTGAGCCATCTTGGGTCTGGATCTTCATAGATAGAGCTGCATGCAACTGTTAATAGATATTATTATTATTATTATTATTATTATTATTTTCATTTCTGTGCTGCTTTATATTTTTAATGGGGGGAGGAAATTTAAGGTGGTTTACAACACATCGAACCATAAAATAAAACAATCCAGAATTTAATGCTACTGAAGAAAGTCAAATATAAAGTATACATTCAAAGAAACGTAATTAACAGGAAGCTAAAATATTATCTTGCAGATTTCAAGATAAAGCATTACTAAAAGAAGTCAAATATAAAATGTACATTTAAAACAGCATAATTGGCAAGAATAAAATATTATCAAAAGCTTAGAACATGGCGGCTGCTGCTGCTGCTGCTGCTAATGGTGGTTCATGGCAGGTGGCAGCTGTGGAAACTCAAGCTCAGTCACCTGGGTCTGCACTAGGAGACAGCCAAAATACAGGATCCCAGGTAACCTGCATTACAGACATTTTACAGGAAACATATAAAACACACAAAAGAAAATCCAACTGAAAAAGTACTGCAGATGATAGGGGGAGATGGTCAAGAAGTTCCTTATTTGGGATATATCATTATTGCTTTTAGAGCTCCTCGGGAAGGATGTGGAACCTACAAGAGGCAAACAGGTTTTGCCCTGGTGTGTTCATTAAGACCAGCATCTGAACCTGTTATTGTGCAGGTAGTTAAAGGATAGCTGTGAACAAACTGCAGGCATGCATTTCCTGAAGAGATTGCAGACTGGTGCTTGAGGCTGGTATTTCTCAAATTGTGGATTGGGGCCACCGCCGGGCCTCCGAACCACAGCCACTCTCTGGTATTACAGCAGCATTGTGGTTGGGCAGAAGCTTAACAGCAGCTGCCCCCATCTACAATGAGTAAATAAGATGGTGAGGAAGTGGGAGTTGGTTGAGCAACAAGCCGGTCACATGCAAAGCTGGAAGGGGAGAAGGGACAGCAGGAGAACGAATGGGAGTCAATGCCAAATACGGTATGTAGGAAGGTAGAGAAAGTACAGGGAGGCCAGGGGGATAGATGATCTGAAGGAGAGGGAAAGAGGAAGCCCCCAGGGCTGCTGCCCTCTGACCCTTCAGCTTCACGCTCACAGGCCTCCTTCATCCCTGCCTGGGGAAGAGCCAGGAAGCCTCCCCTCTCTGGGAGGAAAGAGCTGCTGGAGGCGGCACTGAAGCACATTAGAAAGAGATAAAATATTCATTTTTCAAGTAATGATAATAAACTGGGAATAGGGAAGCAGGGAATAGGAGAGGGAAGCTGTTGTGGGAGGGAAGACAGTTGAAAGAAACTTGCAGTTTTGGGTGGGAATAGGATACAAATTCATTGCACAAGGAGAAGAGGAGAAAATGACAGGAGATTAGTGGAAGTACTTTGAGAGGCATGAAGAAAGGAAGAAAAATGTATAAAATGCAGAGCCTTCTCCACTAAGAGCCTGTGGATGGGGAGATTTGGCTTAAAACTGGGAGGCTGAATCATGATACCTGCAGAGTCAGTGTCTGTATTTAGTTTGAGTGCTGAACTATGGAACTCCCTGTCACTATGACAAAGAATTCAGCAATTTCCATATTAAATATTAACAGAAGATAATGTCAGTAATTGCCTGCTGATAATGTCAAACTCCCACGCTGTCTGCTGTCATTTTGTGCTTGGCTCTGCCTCCATAACACCATTTTGTGACTGGTGAGTTTCAGTACTTCTTAGCCTTCTCAGGTGGGCCTTGTGAACAGAAAGATTTGGAACCTCTGCTTTAAATTGATGCACACTGGCACAGAAAAGGTTGCAAACACACACACACACACACACTTATGAAATAATTGTAAGATGAAAAGATGCAAGCAAACATTACTTCCAGATGAGGTAAAAGATGTTTCTGGAACTGTCAGGTTGTTGCCAGGATAGAAGATACAGAGATCCAATGGGGTCGTGGGTAAAACTCAAATTACCAAGACAGTTACTACATTTTGCAACAGAATCACTGAGCAGCTGCAGCATGTGAGTTCTCAATACTGCATTGCCTAAAAGGTGTGAGATTGCAAAAGGGGAGGTTATAGAGAGGTGGTGGACAGGAATCTTTTCAGGAAGAACGCTTTTCCTTTACCCTGAACAGAAGACATTTTGCTCAGGCTTCCTTGATCTAAGTAATTCAATATCCTTTATTTGAAGTGTGGACAATAACAAATGGAAGTGGAGAAGGAAAATGGACCTAAAACAGTGTTTACCACCCTCAATAGGAAATCAGCAATTCTATATAATGCCACAAGGACTGACAAATGCTCTGGCAATCATCCAAAAGATGGTGGAAAGTGTTGTGAAAAACAACAAAGTCACATAATTCTTGAATGACAATAATATTTTCAGACCATTTAGGACAACGCACTTCAGTGTTTAAAGCTGTCAGTTGAGTTTAGACTCCCAGTTCCTAAATGCAAGCTGTTCCAAACAACTTGTTATTTTACAGGAGAGTCTATGATCTGAACCTGACAAATGACCAGCTTTGAAGGATTAGCCAAGAACCATGAAATCCAAGAACATTCCTGGGATTTTCAAGACATTGTAGAACAGAAGCATGGAAGGAGTTGTCAAGAACTAAGAGAACAATAGGCTAATGAATGTCAGAAAGCATTTGCAGCCATGAAAAAGTGCTGACAACTGCACCTGTCGGGGCCTGCAGATTGGAAGCTTCCATATATATTACATACAGATGCCAATTTGACAGCACTGTATCAAGAAGAAAGAGGGAAATGCACTGTGATTGCATATGCTGGTCAAGGATTTTTATGTTATTTATTTATTCATTTGACTTCTAAACCAACCTTCATCAAAAAATGGATTCCAGGGTGGTTTGCAAACCTTATACTGTATATGGTAGATATACATATTTACCATCAAATATAAGGCAGGCAAATTGCACGGCTTATTTGCTGACCTCATGATTTTGACATTTAGTATGAAAGCATACTAAAGTAACAAGAATATGTTTCAGAAGTGTTATCAAGAAGTAATCCTGAAACGGTGGCCTTAAGACAGCTACTATCCAATACATGCATGGCTGTGTGCCAGAAACATTCAGCTCATGTTTTGGCACAGCCTCATGGTGAATGGACCGAGTGATATTAGGTATTATATATGGAGATGCCTTTGAAGACAGTTCCAGAATGACATCTGATGGTGAAACTAGTGCTAAGATTACTGATGGGTACCAGGAAGCTTGGGCATATTACACTGGGTATCATTCACTGCACCAGTTTCTTTCCAGGCTCAATTCCAGGTGCAGATTTTAACCTATAGAATCTTACATTACTTGGGACCCCAGAACCTGAATCAACACCTCTTCCCATATGAGCCTATGTAGGTACTAAGGTCACCTATAGAGTTCCTCCACTAAATGCCCCCTCCTGCGAAGTATACAGGGCCTTTTCAGTGGTAGCTCCCTGTTTGTGAAATGCTCTCCCTTAAAAGGCTCACCTACTTTAACATATTTCTGTTGCCAGGCTAAACCTTTTCTTTTCTTCCAGACCTTTTAAGAAGCTTGACCTTTTTTTTTTATTAGCTAGTGCTTTAATATCATCAGTTTTGGAATGCTGTCTCCACACCTCCCTTATTGTCCTTATTGTCACCTGACAATGACCTTCTTTTCCCCACACTTTTGGAATGCAATTTTAATTCCCCTGCCTCGTTTCTATGTGGTGCTCTTATGACTATGGACTTTTAGTTCCTTATGTTATCTGTATTTAAATTTTAATGGCTTTATTTAAAATTAAATTGGTTAATGGCTTTATTCTTTTTTTTTGCAAACTGCCCTGGGAATATGATTGATGGGCAGTATCAAAATACTTATAAATAAATAAAACCCTCCCTTCAAAAGCAAATTGCAAACTAACACAAGCTCCACTAGGTGGCTAAGCAAGCCATATATAGTTGGAATTACTGTGGAAGGAAGAAATGGCAGGAATTCAATGACAAGGCATTTGCCATCTTCCTTTCTAGAATTACTGAATCCAGTCAGTCCTATAGTGTAGTAGCAGATAGGAGCAGGCTGAAGTTGCAGGACCTTGGATAGCTCCATGTAGACAACTTGCTCTACTGATGTCTGGAGCTTAAGTAAATCCTTTTCTTCCTCTTTGGCCAGACTACCCCGCCCAGTCTCCACCCCCTTCCTGAACATTGGAGAGTCTTAAAGGGCTAGGCCTTTGGCAGTCTGTTGCCTCTCTGTCAGTTGTGTGTTGCCAGTATGAGCTTGCACAGGAAATAAGGAGCCCCTTGTTGGGGGGGCAGGACTTTGTTGGGGGGGGAGGGCAGAACCAACGTGATTGGTCAGCTAAGTATTCCTATTGTTTTACTTGATCTAAGGGGGGGGGCAGTTGCTCCTCTCTGCCCCCCTTGGCTACACCCCTGGTCCCTGGTGTAAAGGTGGCTGATTTCTCAGGTGAGTCTGGCTCAGCAGGTGATGCCTCCAGTGGTCCCAGTCTGAAGGTCTAAGACTTGAGGCTCAGTGTCAAGGCCTGAGTCTAGCTTCAGTACCTCTGTGGCTTGAACCGCAGGCCTTCCTAATTCAGTTGGTTCCCCGCCCCCCTGTCCTGGCTGCTGCTCAGTGTTATGGTTATGGCACAATCACATTTAGCAGAAAGTCATGTTTTGTTTGTTGCTATGTTCTGTTTGTGTTTTCGTATTGTAAACTGCCTTGTGGCCCTTGGATGAAGGGTGATATAGAAATTTAATAAACAAATAAAATAAAATGTCATACTGAAGATTGTG